TAGATAGTATACCTTAAAAGAAGCCTAAATAGTACTTAAAAAGCTTTTTTTATTAAAGTATCTTTTTATCTAAAAGCTAGAAGTATATCTACTATAAAGTAAAACTAATATTTAATAGAGATATAATATACTAAAAAGAAAGGTATTAGTATATTCTTTAATAGCTTCTTTTTATATATCTATTTAATAAAAAGGTTAAATATATTAGTATTAACTTTACTAATAGAGAGAATACCCTTTATTACTACTTTATACTTTCTAGAAAGTATACTATAATAAAGTTTTAAATAGTAATAGAAAAGCTTTTTATAAAGAGTATATCTTTTCTTTTAGCTCTAGCTATAATAAAAATAGTACTTAACTTAGTAATTATACTTATTCTACTTTAGCTCTAACTATAATAAAAATAGTACTTAACTTAGTAGTTATAATTACTCTACTAATAATAAACTTTAAAAGTAATAGGTTAAAAAAAAAGTTTAAATAGTATTAAAGAAGCTTTTTATAAAGGGCGTATTTCTTTTTTATTAAATAGAAGTACGTTTATTTATATAGTAAGTTAAATAACTTATTATTAAAATACTAATAGTAATAAATATAGGCTTTAACTAGATCTTTAGTATCTTTTAACTACCTAGTAGAGTATTCTAGGATATTAATAGTAATATTAAGAGTTACTACCTAATTAAGCTTAAAGTAGTAGTAGTACTTAAAGTCTTACTTAATAATAGAGATTCTACATAGTATAAAAATACCTCTACTAATATACTTACTAGGCTATAATAGTTAAGAAATATACTATTTATAGTATAATTTAATATATAATAGTTATAAATATCTTTATATACTTATTATAAAATAAGGTATAAATTTACTTACCTATTTAAAAATAAACTATAGTTATTTTATATTAAGTTTATATAAATTTACTTTACGTTTTATACTGTATTATAGTGTAAAATGTAGTCTTTCTTCTGTGTTTTTTACCTAACAAAGCTGCGGGGTAAATTACCTGATTTTGTACCTTAGTGCTTTGTAATTCTTTAGTGATGAAAAATCAACAACACGAATACCAACAACCTTTATTACGTATACATGTCCATATCGTGTTTTTAAAAAGACCTGTTCGTCCCAATTTATGCGTCACATAGTCTCGACGCGCCGCGTCTCTCACAACATCGCATCTATATATGTTCATCTTCTTTTCGTTACAGTCTTCTCATGTTCTAGTGGCTCGCTATTGCGAGACGCGCCTCTCAATCAGTAAAAAGCTATGAGTAGCAATATCGACTGCGAAAAGTATTCTCACACTTCGCAGAGCGTCATTCTCACATAGGTTTAGTGCATAACTTATGAATTGGTCGTTATTCGTTCCTATGCTATCAATCAATACCAGATTCACCTTTTCAATTCTTACCTGCTCTGTCGCATCAGAGCAAGCATTTGCGTCACTGTTAGCAAGTTAAACACGCATCTGTATAACGATGCCTTTCGTATGTATTGTATCCTTGTCATCGATCAAACGTTGTCTCCTGCCTTGATGTTCTACTCTACATTTTCCAAAGGTTCTGTGTTCACGGTCGCGATGCTGTCTTTCCCTTTGCCGCGCCAAGACGACTTTGGGCGCCCGCCTCTTCACCTTTTTACAGCAAACGGCTCAATCCTGGTGCCAGGCTTTTCGCCTTTGCAGTATCCAAACCCACCTGATATTTCCTTGCTATGCTGCAGGTGGCACTCCACATCTAGTCAACAGTCGTCTCAGACTTGGTCACACAACTTCAATACTCCAAACGCCCTACAGTTACTTGCACCTCAATGAGCATGGCGGACCAAAGCAACCATGCAAAGCGCGTCTCAATGGCGTACATCCTCGGCTTCAGCGATAAGCCATTCAAAGAGCAGAGACCCCCACCACCACCCCAGCCGCCCAAGCCCAATGCATTCGCTGACATGGTATAGAGCCTCACCGGCCCTTCAGGTAATACGCGATCACTAACATCAATCAGGTTACCACTCCCGGCGGAGTCGTGGAGTGGGTAGCAAGCGATGGCCGCCGAGGCAAGCTCACCGGCTCGGGCAAACCCCGTCTCACTGCAGATAACCTTGCCAAGGTCCCATCGGCGAAGCAATCGGTGCGAGCGGCATCAGCCAAAGCTCCGTCCAAAGCACCATCCAAGAAGTCTGCCTCAAAGAAGGGCGACGTAGTTGAAGACACTGGCGACATGCTTGGTCTATTCGGCGCGCTTGCACCCGACGCCGAGAAAGCAAGCGTAAAGTCGAAGAAGTCCTCCAAGTCGAAGAAGGAGACTCCCGACTCTGACGGCTTTACTCAGGAGCAAGATGCCAAGATTCTGGATATGAAGACGAACAATGCAGGTATCAGTTGGGCTGTCATTGGCGAAGAGATTGGCAAAGCAGGAAATGCATGCAAAGATCGCTTTAATACTATCAAGCCCAAAGACTGGAAGCCGGCCAATGTCAAGGGCGGTGGCGGGAAGCAGAAGAACAAGGATAAGAACCAGGACAAGGGCAAGAACCAGAACCAGAACCAGAACCAGGAGGATAAGGAAAAGAAGGAAGAGAAGAAGGATGAGCCATCTGGTGGAGATGCAGCCAATGCCTGGAATGCAGACACTGGTGAAAATTGGGTTACTGATGCGAATGCTACTGGAGGCGAGAATACTTGGGAAGCCGCTGGGGACGCGAACAATAATACTTGGGGAGCTGGTGGCGACGTGAGTGGCGGCAAGGGAGATTGGGGAGCACCTGGCACTTCCGCTGATGCCAATGGCACTGGTAACGGGGGAGGATGGGACGGGGCCAACGATTCTGGGCCAGGCGGTGGATGGGGAGACACAAATATAGGAGGTGGAGACGCTGCTACTGGAGATAACGGATGGAACAACAAACCTGACGGCGGTGGAGATGCAGGGAACTCTTGGGACAATTCAGGTAACACTGGGGTTGCTGGCGACGTATGGACTACGAACGCCGACCAGAACAACAACAATGGCATCGCCGAGGCCAACCCGTGGAACGCTCCACCTGCCGTAGCTGTGTCTGAACCCAAAGTCCCCACCCCAGCACCTACCATCCGCACCCCTTCCGAGAAGGGCTCCAAAAAACCGTCTAAGAACGGCTCTGTACATGGTTCCGCAAATGCTGCGAGAGCCGCCCCCCTCGAGTTCGAAGTCAAGCCCAACGACACGTTTTCCGGCGATGACTTACGCTTGATTGCGAAGATCTTGCAGCAGGATTCTCAGATGGTGTGGGATAGGCTTAGTTGGAGGTTTCGTGATAAGACGGGTAGGACACTGCATCCGGAAGTCTTTGAGGAGAAGATCACGGGTAGGGTGGAGGGAAAGGAGAGGGAGGAGAAAAGAAGGGGCGAGAGAGATGAGAAAAAGAAGAGATAGATGAGAGGCTTGCGGTGGGAATGCTGGCCCGATCAACCTGGACAGAGCCAGAAAACCGAGAATGACTAAGGACAATGTTGAAGGCTCGACCGATATCGAGCAAGCCCTTTGAATAAGGCAGTTGGTGAGAATGTAGGACATACATGGACAGGCATAATGAAGTATGACGCAAGTGATTTAATCGTCATTGCTGCTACGATAGTCCTTCCATTCGAAGAACAGCAATCGAAGTTACTTCTTTGTCCCTGACTTCATTCGAGCATCCCCAACACACCCTCCCAGGGTCTCAATTCCACCTTGCCACCCAACGCCCGTTGTTCTAGCTCCCTCTCATCATAGTTCCCAGCAACCCATTTCTTCACTTTCAGATCACCCAGCTTCTCCCACGCTACCTTTTCGCCGCTCAAGTTCAACACTGTAATGAATGAACTCTTCTCACTCCACCTCCTATACGCAACAACCTTCTTGTCTTCGGGGTCCAGCACTTCGAAATCGCCGTATACGAAAACGTCTTTGTTTTGTTTGCGGTTTGCAAGCGCTCGTTTCCAGAACGCATGCACGGAGAGTGTGCCGGGAGAGGGGTTGGGATCTGCGAGTTGGGCGGCGGCGTTGATGGATTTGTAGTCGTCATTTACGCGCATCCAGGGCTTGGAAGAAGGTGAGGTGAACCCCCCGTGGGCATCGGATGTCCATTGCACTGGGGTACGAGCGTTGTCGCGGGATTTGCGTTGCATGATCTTCCGAGCTAGAGCTTGTTTTTCCTCATCACCGGGGTAAAGATCGCGGTATCTATCTGTTGTTAGCACCTGATATTGTAGGGGCGAGAAGGTCATTAAATACTTCTTGAGAAAATTGATGCTCTCGATGTCCTTGTACTCCTCCGGACCCCAGCTCTCAGGCACATTCCTCATACCAATTTCTTCGCCTTGGTACACGTACAAAGTACCGGCGAGAGTAGTCTGCATGAGTGAAAGAAGTTTGGCGCCATATTCACGCCACTCGTCGCTGTCGTCTGTGTACCTGCTAACACTCCGTGGCTGGTCATGGTTCTCCACGAAGAGTGAGTTCCAGCCATCGCGCTCGAGCATCAGGCGCTGGAGCCTGCTCACAACCCTTTTCAGATCCCTTGCATCCCATGGATGGAGAGTGTACTTGAAGTCTCCTGGAACGTTGTCGATGTCCACTAGATCAAAGGAGAAAATCATGTTGAGCTCCTCATTTTGTGCTCCAACGACCTGGATAATCTCGTCCTCGTCGCGGACAAACGGCATTTCTCCGACTGTCAGCGTGTCATACTTTGACAATACCTTGCGGTTGATCTCTTTGAGAAACTCGTGCAGTCGTGGGCCGTTGGCGTAGAATTTGTCGCCAGGTTGGTACTTGTTGTCTTTCACTATAATTTCTGCATCCGCGAACGTTTGGACTTTGGAGATCAAATTGATGACATCCATGCGGAAACCGGAAACACCACGATCAAGCCAAAAGCGTAGAACATCATGAACAGCATTTTGGACTGCAGTGTTCTCCCAGTTCAAATCAGGCTGCTCAGGCGTGAAAAGTGAGAAGTAGTATTCCTGCGTCTTTTCATCCCAAGTCCAGGCTGAGTTAGCTTCGCCTAGAATTTGGGCCCAGTTGTTGGGAGGTTGACGATTGCCATCAGCGTCATATTTCGCCGGTTTCCAGATGTACCAATCTCGTTTGGATGATTCTTTTGAGGATCGTGAGTCCAGGAACCAGGCGTGCTCCTCCGAAGTGTGGTTGACAACAAGGTCCATGACCAGCTTCATGCCACGCTTCTTGATCTCTTTGATAAGATTGTCCACATCTTCTAGGGTTCCATAGCTTGGATCAATATCTTCGTAATCTGCAATGTCGTAGCCCATATCTGCCTGCGGGCTTTTGTAAATGGGCGATATCCAGATCACATCGACTCCCAAATCTTTCAGGTAATCAAGCTTTTGCGTGATACCAGGAACATCTCCCCATCCATCCCCGTTGGTATCGAGGAAAGATGCTGGGTAAACCTATCAACCTGATCAACTACACACCTCGACCAATCATCTTCAAGCTCACCTGGTACACCACTGCCTCCTTCCACCAACGGTGCTTGTCGGTTCCGACGTACAAATCTTTTTTGCTGGTTGCCATTTTTGTGATTGCAATTGTCTTTGTGATGATGTGATTTCTGAGAATTACTTTGTTATATGCCCCGCGAGTGGTTGAGGAACGTCATCATCCTTCTCTGCCAAGTCGAGTGCGGAAAGAACCGCGGCAATCCTTGCTGTAAGCAGCACCTGCCTATGCATCCGTATACCTAGCATCTATACATGCGCGAGTTCGCACTCTCTCTAGACAACAAACAGTTGCGACAGGAGAGCCAAGATCATGCGTTGTATCTTCCAATCGGATCGAGTTTAGGGTCGCGGCCGTTGGCTGGGAAAGCGAACCGGCATGTCATGGGTCACGGTCACGGTCACGGCCATGCGCTTAGAGGCAGTCTCACAAAAAGTACATGGACAGAGACTGCCCCCGCATGTTTATTACACTTCTTCAGACATCCTTCTCCACATCTCGGTCCGAGTTCTCACGCCCATAGAAACGTTAACGGTCACCGAAAAACGTTCCGAGAGATGACGTATGATTCAGATGCCGAAGATGGCAGAGCTAGCGAGCATACACCGATGTTAGGTGGTTCTTCGCATGAGACGCGATCAAATTCGAAAGAGGGAGACAAGAGGAGCATTTGGACGTTTCTGCGTTTCTTCGGCGGTGGCATTTATGCACCTGACTCTTCGACCTATGATCCGATTGAAATCTTGCTCAACACCGAGGATCCAAAAGAGAAGGATGAGCTGACTAAACGATGGAGAGATAACAAACTGAGCGAGCTCAGTTTTGTGGGTGTTGTGGTACGTGTCTATTCTCGCAAATCCTTTGTCTTACGTTGGGATGCTGTTCGTTGTGCATTGCGCACTTGAAGCATTCATGGTAACGTGTACAACATACTGGCAAACCAGACGAATGAACTGCTCACTCACATATCCGATAGTCTGCACTTCTTGCTGGCGTTCTCACTTCGACTGGAAGCTGGCCCAATATCCTTCCTAACGGACAACAATCACCATGGCCAATCCGAACCTCCTGGTATTGCGGCATCATTCTCTCCCTCTTCAGTCTTTTGACTGCAGCGGATCAAACTGTACGTCTGCATCGTATCTCTGCGCACCGTGACGGGTTGGAGAATTTGCGTAGACTGTTAGCCAAGACCAACGGTGAACGACGACGCTCGACGAAGACGGGACGCCGACAACCTAGCCTCCTCCAGGTCTTCACATGGCAGATGCCGGTCATGTTCCTGACTACATCAACGCTTTGCATGATCGTAGGATTGTTCTTACACGTATGGTCGGCCACTAGACATCTCCAGTCCGCAAAGATTTGGGACGATGATTTCAAGGTACGATATCCCATCTCCTGAGATCGAACACGTGTATGCTGACAACCATGTCTTAGGTCGCTCTTACGTATACTGTCGTTGCGGTAACAGCTATCGCGACTTTCTTCGTAGGTCAAATATCCCTCTATTCATCAAGGCAGCGCAGGGAGTAGATTGTGTCAAATACACATCTCGAGAATGAGGAACAGCCCCAGCTCCGGTAGACACCTTAATTTTACTCTGTGGATACATATATATATATATATTGATGTTTCTATTGACATTCATGAAATTGAGTTCTTGTAGCAACACTTAATGGACGCATCAAGATTGTTCGCTATTTGATTCTTAGATTTGGTGATTGATTCTGAGATCGGGTTTGGATCACCTTCCAACAAAATGCTCGCTCCATGCTCATCGGGTTAGTTTTATACCCCTTCAATCTCAATACATGTCATGCCAGTATATTTCTCTAATAGCCTTCGTACAGAACTTGAGCATCAGATGTTGCTAAGCGACATTAACAATATATTAGCCAAACTGTTTCGCCGCTTAGCTAGGATGTGCAGATACTACATGTGTGTCGATTGTTTAAGATCGCCAAACATTGAAGTCTCAGAAAAGAATTTGAACTTTTTGGAAAGCAAGACAGGAAGTCAGTTTGGAATGGCAGTGTGTATGCAAAGCTAAGACCATCTAGGTGAAGGATGTGGAGCTTTTCTGTAGCTAGTGCGTGTACTATAAGTATGGATGGAACGTCAAGAACAAATTAGGGAAGATTTTATAAGAAAATTGGGTGTAGGATGACTTGTAAGTATCAAGATTGATCATGACTACGAGTCAAATCATAAAGCAAGCCACTCAAAGCTAAGTCAGAACGGACATTTTAGTCTTACTTGTCTTACAACAGCCTTTATTACAACCTGTACATTTAGATGCACGCTGTATAGCAAAAAGGTTCGCGAACATTTCTTTTGATATTGTAAACCACAGTTGCCGTGCCTACGCAAATGGTTGAAGGAAGAGTGATGACAACGTTGACACATAAGACTTGCAGGGACAATATACATGGCAGCTACACTTACGTTCTGGAGACAATGTAGTCAATTTAGTGTAAGACAGATGTATCGCAAAAGCTTGAAAAACAGAAAGCATCGAGTGCCGATCGTCGAGAACCGAGGCATGTTACATAATCGCACATTGCCTTAGCGTGAAGACCTCCGTAATTCCCCGGAGTAATTATTGGTCTTGTGATTCGTGCCTTCATAGAGCTGGAAATCTTCAGATCTTGTCTCTACTCCTAATAACGTCTCATTACTGTTTCGGCATAAGCCGTGCTATCACCGAAGCTTTCTTCCTTCTTCAACTAATGCATGTTGCGCACGAGTGTTCCGAACCTACCCGATATCATCTTCAACCGCACAATAATACAAAATGGGTTCAGATCTGAGAACAGAAGTATGGTAGAGACAAGCTGATAGGACTGTGAATTTGAGAAACTTTACGATGTACGTCGTGTAAATTTTGATTCTACCATGCAATATCCTCACTCTCATGGCGGTCTGCTTCAAGATAAAATACAAGATGTCCGAAACGTACGCAGGCAGGCGCTTGTTTCACGAGCGCCATGTTGTCCATCGCGGCTTCCTAGCTCTCTAGCTTTACTTGATGTACGCGCGACTATAGTATGGTCTTTCCCTAGATTCAACCACACGCTGCCTGGGCTTTCACCGGCCCAAAGAGCACCGTGCCACACGTGTTCACTACTCTTTGTCTTTCACCACTGACAAAGGTATTTTATACAATTCAGTAGACCCGAGTCCTATTTATAGCGGGTAACAGCGCACATCACGCCAGCCAGTGCAGCAGCCGGAACAACCAGGTCCAGTCATGAAGCGCAAGCGATCGCAAGAACCAGCCGTATCTAGTGCACGGAAGAAAATGGAAACTCAAGACGATGGCACAACATCGTGTTTGCTTGTCCGTATCCTCGAGCAATACGGGCTACTGGAGAGCATCGCTACGAATCTGTTCCCGGAAGACCTGTTGTCTTTAGCACTATCATCAAAAGCGGCCTATCATACCATTTTCCCTCGAGCCAGCAGCATGGACAATCTTCTAGGAAAGTTAAACTGTTCTGGTCGAGGGATCCAAATTCGGAACAACCGTCATTCCAAATCAATGTTCTTCTACGCCTACGAGTGTACCGAGTACGTCGAATGCGGAACGAAAGCTGAGAGACGCCATGTCAGATCACAGCCGTGTGTAAAATGCAAATTGGCGACCTGCGATGAATGCCGTATCCACTGCGTGTACCAAAGCATTTACGAAACTCCGAGCGATTCCGACGAATTGCCTAACTACAGTGGCTTCGTACTTCTTGAACCTCTGGAGGTTTCGATACTTAGTCCTCATCACCTCGCACTTGAAGACCACACCGCCCCCCAATGGCAAAATTCTTCAACCGGTTATACGAGCCCCTATCATGATCAAGGCTTTCTTGACGTCCCATTAGAGGATGCATCTTTTGCCGACCCTGAATCTCTCAGTGAGATTCTTGACCTCAACCTGGGGAAGTGTTCGCTACAACAAGTATCCACCTCCTCTTACCATGGAGTTCCATCGCCAGTCCTTCGCTCCTTTTGCCATACGACTGAAGCACGCAAAATCTCATTGTGCAAGGTGTGTTTCTTTCTTAAAGCATCGAAGGGTCCGGATGTTCTTCAGCCTGGACGAAAGCTCTCTTGGCTTCGTCCAACTAACACGTCAACGGTCTCTGAAATCAAACCCTGCCAATGTACGTTGAGGGCGCACTTTCTGGATCGTTGGACATGCTTACCCTGCTTTAAGAGGGAAGAAGAAGAAATTCGACAATACAAGGCCTGCACACCCAAGAGACAGACAGGACTTTGCTTGTGTGGACTCGATACTCACCAGATGTTGTGTCTTTGGTGTTGGGGCATCGTGAAGGAGCAAAGCAATTGATGGCACAGATTCGGATACAAAAGCAGCCATGGACAATTTGGCGATGAGCAGCTTTTCATTTCTCGGCATGGAAAGATAGTCAGATAACCATCGAAGCTCTCCTTGGCACGCAATCGAACTCATTCGACCTACACGCACAGGCCTTGAACGGCAGTACCGGTAAGTACGGCAAAATACTCTATGATCTGGGTTCTGGCGCATGGCTTATGTCTCTTCCTTGGTACAAGTCTGTATCTCCTATTCTTTGTAACAACATTTTGTACACTACTTGTATCACCGCTCTTCTGTTTCAAACGTATCCGTACACGACTTTGACCCAAGATTGCACGATTATGGGTTGTACGAAAGAATGATTATTATCGTTCTCGATTCCTCATTTTCTTTGAAACTCCCGCCCGGTGCTTTTAGCATTGTCGAACAGCCTTGTACATTATGTTTTCAGTGACATGCTGAGGACAAATCGCCAAGCTTCATCGTACAATATAATTGGGTTCGATATAATTGTGTTTTGCCCGACGTGATATAAGTTTATCTCAGACTCTATAAGTGCTCGAGCATGGCCTGAAAAAGAGAACTCATAAACGAGATTACCGTTTCTGTGTGGCTCACTGGTCTTTCTGCTGCTGCTGGTATGCTGTGGGTAGACTGTTGTGCCGCCTTCTTTTGGCGGTTGGGGTATGTCATCTTGTGCGCTCCAGTCACTGAGTTGGGTGTAGGGTACAGCAGTCAGCTTCGGGAGGATAAGAAGATGGACGGTAGGGACGAGGAGAATCGGAGGGCGGGAACGAGGAGAAGACTTAACGCCAGGCAAACGACGTGCGCAAACAGAACTATCAAATCCTGTCACCCAATAGACAAAATTACGTGCTGTAGGATTGATGTATCTCACACGCTAAGAGCGCTTTTTAGCAATCTCACATAAGGATCTTACGTATCATTCTCACCTCAACGTCTCATCAACATATAGTCCCTCGCAGACATGCCTGTGACACTTGTCTTCCGTTGAGCTCTATCAAGCTGCCCCTCTTCTTATACGCAGAAAGATACAGACACGAACAACAATGTGCACTTGCATACCGGCAGTACATTAACCGGGCGCTGGGCTCAGCGGAAAGACACGTCCTTTGGATATTGCACAGAACTCTGCCTGCTTGTCAATATCTAGTCTACAAAGAGAATGGAAATATCGCTAGGTATGTCCCCACAGCAGACGTACTTGGAGTCAGCTTAGTATGAAGCCCCAACACCGGCATAAGAACATGCACACGACAAAGTGCAACTCCATCGTTAGGTGGCAAGTGACTCAGATCTACAGACACGCTGTTGAACGGCTGCTCCAAGTACACCACATGAGCCAAGATCGGCAGACATGCTGTTAGGCGGCTGCTCCTTGCTAGCGAAGAGAAGAGAAGAGAAGACAAGTTCGAGTATCATGACTGCCGTCCACCGCACCTGCCGTCTCATACCAGATCTGACCCCACCTGCTAATCCCGTCGGGGCAGCATGAAAAGTCAAACTTCGTAACAGCTCACCTCGCCTCAACAACCTCGTCCTCAAATACACACCCCAAACAATGGCCTCCGTTCGGCTCCCATCTCGCTCAGCTGTGAGCTTCGAAAAGCCTACATCACGGCAGAGCCATGAAACCGCCGAAAGAACGACAAAGATGCAGCGGAAGACACAGACGTCGAACAGGACAGTACATTGTGGTGGACGAATCAACAACCGAGTCAAGAAGAATAATGCAGCAGCCGCCACATTCGCAGCAGCCACGACCGCCACAGCAGCAGCAATTGACCTGTACCACGTCGCCGTCAAGAGCATTTCCCCACCGATATCGCAACGTACCATCTATGCGATCTCTAGTATGACAGCAAACAACAAAACTAGGGCATGCAAAGCAATCAAAGACCAAGACAGGACGCACCGGTCGGCAATCTTCCACTGCATTATCGTACGAAGTCATCAGACTTCGCCTCACTCTCCAAACTAATGCCGGAATCTAGATGCGTTTTGTGCATTCTACGCTTGCATGGCCCAACTTCCCAATTATACACCTTCACTTCCATTCAAGCACCTTGCAAGCTTTTGAAGCGTTCATTGAACCACAAGTATCCATGATAGATAACACGACTTGGAGAGCTCACCGACGTTATAGGCAGTCATTAAAGATGAGAAAATAACATCACGACGTGCAGTAAGATCATAATTGAAAGTATAGCGAGGGAATCCTCTCGTGCATTAACAAAAAGCTATCAAGGCAAATAGGTATCATCGACTCTTACTTCACATGGCCCTTACCACACTGAGATGGCGTCCACATTCTGCATCCCAAGACGCATTACATACCGTTATATCATGTTAGGAACATCGATCATACGTATCCAACACATAACAAGCCTAAGCAGTGGAATTGGCAACCTCGGTTGCGCTGTGCCTCCTGTCACGGCCAACGTAGTTGGAGTCGGGAAGCATGTTGAGCGCATCTTCCTTCTTGTCGGTGCCGCGCTGGTGGAACCAGAATAGAACACCACCGGCGAAAGCGAGCACGGCTACGACACCGTAGTTCCAGACAAGAAGCGGGTCCTCAGATAGCGAGACGAAAGCCTGACCAATGGCGTTGGAAAAGGCGGACATGAAGTGCCAGTACGAAGTAACAAGCGATCTCATGTTCTTGGGCGCCTTGGTGAAGGCAAACTCGAGACCAGTGATGGAGGTGAAGATCTCAGAGAAACCGACCAGGACGTAGGGTACGGCCTGAACCCAGACGGAGATGTCAGCCTTCTCGTCGCAGGAGTTCATGTGGCTACCGCAAGGACCTTCCTTGTAGATGTAATACTGGATAACGCAGGCAGCAACCATGGCCATGGAGGCGAGGATGAATCCGAAAGCAATACGCTTGATAGGCGTGAACTTGATCTTGTACTTGCGGAGAGCGGGGTACAGGAAGTTGTCAACGAGAGGAATGAAGATGACCAGCGAGATGGGGTTCAGGTTAGTAATAACGTCGTTGGGTACACCGTTGAGCCTCATGGTGGCGGCTTGCGAGACCAAGTTGTTGTTCATCTGATTGTAGGAGAGCCAGTAGAGAGGGATCCATGTAAAGCAAGAACAGGCACGGAGACCACGAGCAACCTGGTCGACCCAGGCGTCGTCAAACTGCATCCATCTAGGCTTGCTGCTGCCAAGGTGGCTGGGCTTGACATCATTCCAGAAGTGTTCGCTCTTGAAATTCTTGCGAGTCTGGACGGGATTGACAGACCACTTGCCCTTGGTCGCAAGGGACAACAGCTTGATGGCACGAGTAAGGACTGAGCCTGTGGGCGGGCTGAGATGGTATTTTCCCTTGCAGAACCAGAGGACGAAGGGGCAGCAGCAGAACAGGAGGGTGGGGAGTAACCACGCCAACCAAAATCCAACATACTTCTCAACGTAGACCATGCCGATCTGGCCGGTGAGCGATCCAACGTTGATGAACATGTAGAAGTACAGGAAAATGCGAGAGATGGTAATGTTGGGGTCTGAGATAACACGATCGCCAGTTTTGGCGTCGATGACCACACGGGGCTTGGTCTGGCGGTATTGCTCTGCAATCAGGGGTGAGACGTTGGCCTTGAAAGCGCCAGTTCCGAAACCGAGGACGATAACACCAAGAATGACTGCATCGAATTAGCGAGTTGACGATATTGTTGAAAGGTGGGATAACGTACAGGGTGCAATCGCATTGCCGCTCGTGAGCACTGCGGGAATAGCCGAGATAACCAGTAGAATGTGGCCAATGATGGAGAAGGCGATGGCAATGAAGATTGTGTTGTAGCGACCAAGGTACTCATCGGCAATGATGGCACCGAGGATGGGCGTTGTGTAGGCCCAGAAAGAGTTGAAGGTACCGATACCGAACGAGGCACGCTGGCCCAGACCGAGACCACCAGGCTGACCCTCAGTACGTGGGTCCTTTCCAGTCCTCGAAACAACGCCATCGATCACGGGGAGTGACTGTTGAACAAAGTTGGTGTCTGCACATGGTCAGTGACTTGTTAGGAGGTCGACATGCAGACAACATACATAACACCTGGGACCCGTAGTAACCGAAACGCTCGCAAAGCTCGACAATGGCGATGGTGTAAGCAGTCCATGGGATCTTGCCTGAAACACGGCGCAACGTGATGAGCTCCTCTGCGGTGGGCTCTTCGCCCTCCAAGTCGGCCTCGAACTCGACGGGGGGCGCGGCGACACTCGATGAGTTGCTGGAGTGCGCGAGGGCCTGCTTCTCGCTCAACTCGTACAGTGGTGTGGCGATCTTGGGCTCAGCGGACATGGCCATGTCGACCATGTTGGGTCCTCCGGCAGAACTCATAGTGACAAGTGACTAATGGGTCGATTGCAGGTTGACGAGCGGGAGAACGGGCTGCCTGCTGGAACGCAAACAGAGGGGAAGCACACAATTAATACTCTACCCATGCAAACGGCGGCGGCGAAGAGCGGAGAAGTTGCGTCTTGGCCGGCCTCTCTGTTTCAAGCAGGTGAGTACCAACGCGACGTTACAATCGCGCTAATAGTAGGTTCTGAGCGAACGGTGTCTCGTTATCAAGCCACTGACAGAGCTAAGACCAGGGAAGAGATGCTGGCGGCGTTGCTTCGAGTCTTGGCGATTGGCTGATCACCAAAGTTAAGGGACCAGAGCCATCGCGACATCCGCTACTAGCTCCCTCTTATCTGGACGTCGTAGTGCGCAGATGCGCAGCGCCACGTAATTTATCCACGGTTCTGCGTCCTGCATACCCCTCTCGCAATGGATGTACCTCGTCTCGAGGAAAGCGCGATAACAACACCCTCTGTCTAGAGCAAACCGTGGTCAGAAACTCAGTAACTCGCCGAGTCGCATGCTTTGGTGTAGCAACCCACTACCGCTCCGACTGGGCGCCAAGTTCACGGCGTTTTTGGGCGCTTCGTACTCCTCGGCTGTTCCCCACACACACGAACGTTCACTGTGCCACACTGCGCTGGAACAGGCAGGTTGTCAACGTCTCATTCGGAACCGACCAATGAAACAGGGTAGGTAAACAAGCTCGGGTCCCGTGTTCTGGGAGACTTCGAGAAGACACGGCGCGCATCGGCATCAGTGCTTATCATCTCTCCCGTTCGGGCACTACCACCGAGGCGCCGTGCTTGTTATTGGTTGTGCTTGACATTCCTACCCTTTGCAAGGTAATCCCCCTCCGCTGATTGACTTTTGGACCGCAGGTTTCCGCTCGCTTCGAGGACAGTGACATTGCCAAGTGAAGTAATCCGCTCACGCCGTGGATGCCTTACCATGACGGGCATCGAGAGACTTGTGGCAATCCCAACACGCCATGCTTATCGCTGTCGAAGCCTGAAGAGTCGAGATGGATCCCACACGCAATCTTTCTGGAAGCTCGACTTGCATGGGCAGCCCCATGTCCATCTGACAGTGGGGCCGTTGTGCGTGCTCTAGTTCCCCAATGGCGTGCCCAGACCGATATGTTATCGAAGAACCGCGCGAGATGCCTGGCCTGGAATCCCGCGAGACTCTGAATATTCATGGAGTGCCGTGCAGGGCTGTCATGGATGTATGCAGGTGTCCCATACACCCTTACACCTTTACAGCGGGAACCAGTCTGGGCATCTGCTCATGGAAAGCGACTTGCATTTCGATCAGGCGTTCTTTCCCGGGAACAAGACAATATACTTGGCGGGCTGCATGAGTACAGCTGGGCGTTTCCTCGCTGCATGAGTACAGTTGGGCGTTTGCTTACCGCGACAGATATCTATATCGAGTCAGACCCCGTTGCGTGGAAGTGCGTCTCCACGAGGCTCGTTCTCATGAGACCATAGCCCAATCCCTGCAAAGACCGAGGCCGTAGAGAACGCAAAGCATGTGTACTAACGGCTCATTAGTCTGGACAATCAGCACTGACTTCACGTAGTTAGTGCGAACATCCACTATCACAACGACATGCACACCAATCAAACAGCAGGAACTACTTGGATCATCTGAGATGGTTTCATTATCATTAAATGTCAGGCGTGCCATCGACATGCAGCTTTCTACATTGGTGACACTGAACGTCATGCGACATTTACGGAGTGCCAACACCTTGCATCAGCCCTCGCCTGCACCGTATCATACAACGGGATCGCGGTGCTCAGTTGCCCCACGCCTCACTATCCAACGGCGTACCCTTGGAGTAATGGTTGATCCAGTTGAAGATCTCCTGGTGCCAGAACAAACTGTTCTCTCTGTTTAGGACCCAATGGTTCTCATCAGGGAACGAGAGGAAACGGCTGGGTACGCCGAGACCCTGGAGGATATTGAATAGACCAATTCCGTCGCTCTCGGGGAGACGGTAGTCGAGCGAATTGTGGATGACGAAGTGCGGCGTGCTCCAGTTGGCAATATGGTTCATTGGGTTCCACTCCTTGTACGCGTCCGACTCCCAGATCGTGCCGTTGTAGTCGTGGCGGATGAACCACAGTTCCTCGGATGTCCATGCAGCTTCGGTGTTGGAGATACCGTCGTGCGTGACAAGGGCCCTGAACTTGTCGCCGAGGTCATTGGACTGGATCCAGTTCGTCATGTATCCACCGTAGGACGCGCCGGCACAGATACCGTCGTCGGTGGTGACGAACGATAGGTTCTCGTCAACATAGGTCCACGCATTCACAAGATCGTAGTATGGGTAGCTGCCCCAGTTGCCCTGGATGGCGTTGGTGAGGTACTGACCAAAGCCAGTTGAACCGGTTGGGTTGGGAGCAACGACGACGTAGCCCTGATCAGCCCAGACCTGGGGGTTCCAGCGGTTCGACCATGAGTTGGCCCATGAGCCTTGTGGACCTCCGTGTACCAAGAAGGCCAGAGGGTATGTCTTGTTCTCAACGAAGTTGGTGGGCTTAACAACGTAAGCTTGGATCAGATCGTGGTAGTTGGGGTCTGAGGCATTGAAGAAGATCTCCGAGACGGTGTGCGGGCCGAGACCAGCGAGGTTCTCATCGACAAGATTAGCAGAGAAGAGCGAGTTCTTGGTACCGTTGGCAAGGATGTAGTACTCGGTAGGCGTCCAGATTGCAGAAGCTGTTACGAGGATCGAGCCATCAGCGAGAAGGGAGAAGGCAGAGACAGATGTGTTGCCCGTCAGGTTGGCTGGCTGGAAAGTCGCATCAGCGGACAAGGGAACCTCGTAAATCTTTACACGTGCCCGGTCTTCTGCAGTAACATAAATGGACTCGCCATCGTCAGACCAGGTCAGCGGTCCTTGAACCCAGCGGTCCCAGCCAGCAGTGAGGGGGGTGAGGTTGCTGGTGGTAGCATCGGCGCTGATGTCGACCGTGTACAGCTGCCACCTATCCGACTCGTAATAGTCCTCATCCTGCTGCACGTATGCGAGCTTGCAGCTGTCAGGGGAGAAAGACGGCAGTCCAGACGCGCCCTGATGTCCAGCTTCGGAGGCCTCAGAACCGGGACCATTGATAGCATAAGGAAGCTCGGGGCTGCTGAGCGCACCAACATAGATGTAGCTAGCGGTGAAGTTGGCCTTGTTTAGCTGCGGGGCCTTGCTGAGGAAGGCATACTTTGTGCCGTCAGGGCTAATAGCGTAGTCGCCAGAATCGCCGAACGGCTGCACGGGGGTCTCAGACCTGGTGGTGGTCCAGTTGACTCCGACGTTAAGGTTACGCATGCCTCCAGCAGCTAGGGCGTAGCTGCTGTTCGCAGACAGCGCTCCTGCGAAGACGTTCCAGCGGTTGTTGTCTAGCCAGGTATCCCAGTGACGAACGTAGATATCCGAGTAAAGACGGCCACTATGCTTGGGGGCCACTACGGTTTCGGGATTGATTGCGGTGCCGTTCGGGTAGGCTTTCGCATTGACCATGAAATGAAGGTCTCCAGAAGCAGTGGCGGCGACCTTCAATCCGTTGTATGGCGCGTCGAGCGAAGCAGCCAGTTTGCTGATAATTGTTAATGACTGGAACGTAGCCAACTCGTGGGTTTTGACACGTACCTTGCGGATGGGTCATTGATGTCGCCAATCCAGATGGTGACACCACCAGGCGTCTCCTCGTTGGTGCCATTGATGTAGATGATACCCGTCTCGGAGCCAGGCAGCCAATGGATTTCGTTGATCTCGCTCACGTTCAAGCCAGCGTCCTTGAACTCGCCGGTCTTGAGGTCAATGAGCTGCATGCTCGAAGACCCCGATCCCTCCTCGAAGGAATACTCCGACACGGAGAGCAATGCTACCGATCCATCAGGACTGGGATCAGCCGCACTGCGTCGAGGGTTGCTAATCAATTGCCTGTCGTTGCGTTAGAATTCGCGTCCTTCAATGCTGCTGGAGAGTGTTGTACGCACTTTGGAGTCATGGCAACGGCGCCTGTAGCGGCGAACGCAGCAGCAAACTTCAAGTAACGTGCCATTGTTGCGACCAGCTTCGTGAGAGCTCAATTGAATTGGGTCGGTAACGAACGAGAGCTCCAGGAACGGCAGCAAGCTTATTTGTATTGCAGCGCATCCTGCCCCCACCGTGCTTGTCGCACACGTACCTGGCTCCATGCAATCCTAGTTGCTGCACAACCTCATCATCAAGTCTCCTGCCTCTTGTGGTCTAATGTCGCGAGTGATGCGGCCCACAAAGAAGCTCGGCCGCCGGAAAGCAGGGATGGCTTGGGTTTTTTATCCCGCGGCCATGGTGTACTAGTTTAGCCGACTGGGCTGACGCGGAACGTTGCAACCTTACAACCTTACTTGCCATACAGCTAACCTTGTGGCGCCAAAACAGCTGCCCGAGAAAGGCAGGTCCATAATCTCGAGTCCAATGTCTTCGAACCCGCATGAGAAGGATGATTGCCTCTTACAAATCGATACTTTGACTTCGGGATCGCTCTCCTGATGTGCGGAGAACGGCCGACCATGTGTTCCTGCATCAGCAACAGGTACAATCACGACCATAGCCAGGATTCGAAAATGTAGACGCCACTAAGGCCTGCCCTCTCAGGGCCTGGCTGCGAGCAAACTAATGAGAGATCAGGCATCCGAAGATCTCGCCGGTAGAGAGCGGGAATGCACGTGGCGATTGCACAGTTCGTATCATGGCGAGATGCTGACATTGCTGATAAGGGTGGGCCTGTCCACTTCCCGTTGTCCGAGGCTGTCGTGATTAAAACCGATGCGATCGTTGGTGGCGTTATGGTGAGGAGGCCTTAACGGTGGATGTTGGCCTCGTCTTCCTGTTGTAGAACGACTAATATCAATCAATCGAAGCGTATGACAACAATGCCAATATCAAATATCTTTTTGCGTCTTTCGATAAACCAGGGTCTTCCGCCTTTGCTCTCGGTTCATATTCTTTCTCACATCTTTGTTTTTCCACCTGTCTTCGGCGCTGAATTCCCTTCCTGTCCTCAACACGCCTCATAGGATGTCACCAAGACCTTCTCTGCTTCTTTTCTCCAGTACTGGACTAGTTCCACCCGTATTCTTCATTCTGTACCAGGTAATTGCCGATTTCCAACGGAAGACCAAGGTTCGAAGTCCTTGCGAGAACACAGCCTTATTGGGTTGTTGTTGGTGTTGTGGTATCTCATCCCTACACTCTACTCTGCCTTCGTGCTTCAATCTTTGACTTCGATATTTCTGTTCTGTTCGGTTTCGACTCCTGCTAGCTGCGGTCGGTCACATGCCCTGTTCTCGTTGCAATCTCTTGCCTTCTATCGCCTTCCAAGTCGCCCATGTCTAGTCTTCGCCGGTGTAGCGCATCGATCGTATACTGCGAAATGCATACTCGAAAATCGAATCTGCGCGCACATTCGAGGTATAAGTTCACCTCTCGCTCCGAGATCGGAGGTGAAAAGGGCTGGACAACCGCCACGCCCTTGGCATGGCTTGAGACTCTTCTCGCTCAGCTTTGCCCTATCGTGCTTAACGAACCCCGAGACTCGCGTCATCGTCTACCATGGAATATCGAAAGACTGTTCGCTTATTAACCATACTGCTCCAGTATCTCCCTGGCTGGGTATTCCATGCTCTGGATGCATTGGGAAAGTGCCACTACTATTTTGGAGACACGTCTAATATCATTCGTGCTATACACAGTGTTTTTAATGCTGATAAGATACCAACTGCTCTCGACACAAATCAAATTTAGCTGATTCTCAACAGCGTTCATAATGCAATGGCGTTCGTCTGTGGAACTGCCTCTCGGCCAACTGAAACACCAGGCACTAGGGTGCAGCGAAATCTTGCAATAGCTTGACAACTACGACTAAGTTTAGTGTAGGAACCTTGCGCCTGAATTCCAAACAGTATTCACCTTGCAAGCACTTTAAGAAATTTCAATTGTGTAGTTTGCGACTCGTAGAAGCCCACAAAGAATGTAGCCTATTTCCCGCTTTTACAGTTGACTTAGAGCTGCTTGTCTAGGTGACTAGAACAAACACCTCTAGAACCACATTGGATGCAAAAGTTAACGCACGCGAAAACTCTGGGTTAACTTACATCAAAGATAGAATATTAAAATCTTTAAACGTGGGTGTAGCCTGCGTGTTAGAAATAAAGCATAGAATAAAGAATACACCATAAAAGGAAGGGTCTTGGTACAGAACACCGGCTCACGAAAGTTAGATCATAAGAATAAATATTGATTGCGAAAAGAAAACAACAAGTGTCCGACACAAGAGGAACTTGACTATAGAGTGATGTAGGTTAGATCAAGTGACGATTGGTGATATCCGAATACGTTATTTCGGGGTACTTGTGGGCTGCTATCTGGTTCTTCATATTCCACAACTCTTGGTCGGTCCCTTGTTGTGATGTCCTAGGTATAGCGATCCGATCATTCAAACCTGTTCCATTACATCTAGATAACCAAATAATCTTCATTCTATTATGCATACCGGTAGCTAGTTTACTTTTATCTCAGATAGGTTTCTATTCCTAGGGTTCTTCTTTTCCTCAATAGATCTCATTACGACCTCATTAGTGTTGTGAGTCTTGCATCAGCGTGCTCATAGTGTCCCTCATCATGCATTCAAGACAGTTAGGACAGTATGACATACAAACGATGTGAGTTAGTTTGTGATTTCTTGACAGCCTGGAGAGACGAACAAAGGTCAACCCGAACATATGGATAGCTTCGGTAAAGGATTAAACCGGAAGTCGCAATACAGTTTTGAGCATATGCCTTCTAGGAAAAGGTAGGTAGTCGTAGATAGAAAGGCGTAAAGCTGATCAAGGCTTCGAAAACGAGTTTGCATAGGAGATCTACATGCGAATAATATAAGATCTTTAAGCACGGTTGGTATATTGTATCAAGTTTCATTGATTTCCATGTTACTTATGTCAGGAGCCCAGAGGGATTATGGAGCTCGAATAACAGTGAAAATGAGTCAGTATACACTGCTGGGACTTAGTCCAGGGCATAGACAGTCCATGTGCCAGAAATCTATCTGTCGTAATAAAACACAGAAAGACAGACACAACTTCCAACTATCTTTTCGTCGAGACTCGCTCCTGCAAAATGAACACAAACACAGTCATTCAGCCTCCAGACGACTATTCAATAGAACAAATATTTGTTTATAGTACGCCGAGGGGCTTCTAATAAGCACTTCAGAGTTAAAGTGAGTCACTGTCTCTTTGTATCTGTCAGGACATCATAAATGAGACGCAGTATTAATCCTTTATGAATAGAAATATATCGCTTCATTCATTTGGCAGTCAGGGTATAATGCGTGGAACATGCTATCGAGCTGCTAAGATTTGTTCATCCAATCTCCATCTTACTGCGATCCTCTTCATGTCGTGCTTTTCTTCTTTTACACTCCGAGGTACTTCACAAACAATGGGGGGTATCAATTAATCGCCCCAAGACGTTTTAGCCCTGTGTAGTACCCTCACTTTTACAACCCATAGCTCCTTAATACCTCACCGAGTTCGTTAGTCAGACCACTCCGAAGCACTTCGAGCTCGTTCTTCGCGGTCGCCGCCTCCTTCTCTGCTCGTGTCGCTTTTGTTTTCCACTTCTTGGCTTCTTTCTGACATTCTCTTGCAAGAGCTTCCGCCTCAGTTGCTCGGGCCTGCGCCTCGGCGGCTGCTTCCTGGGCCTGTTCCAGTTCTTGCTCGAGGCCACGGTAGGCATGTCCTTCATGTTTGAGATGCGATTGTAGATCAGCCTTTTCAGATATCAGCGAGGCTATCTCATCTCTGAGTTGTGCGACGCCAACCTCGCTGGCTTCGACGCTGCTGAGAATTCCTTGGGTTGGAGTGCTTTCACTCGCCTTCGTAGACTACAATGATCAGTTGAAGCCATAGAAGGTTGTGGAGCTCGAAGCTGAGAAGACATACATTTCGAGCCCGTGCTTGTCGCTTTGGTTTGGCTGAAGTCATCAGTGGGAATTCAGGCGCATGAAATCCCTTCTTGAGGCTTACGTAGTTGATCTGTTATGTCGCCCTTTCTTTCTCGCTTCAATGGGACAAACGCTCTCACTTCTGTGACGGTCACCGACCGAGGTGTGGTTGCTACACAAGATAGTGAGAACTGTTCTATTAGACGGCTCACGATCCATCACTTACTGACTGCATGTGCTACTGTCTCAATACTTTCTCTGCTCTCACGCCGTACAGTAGCGGCCCTCGAGGAGGATGACGGGACTGGAGTCGGTCGTTCTCCGCCGTTCTTGATCCAATGGCAAGCTTCTTCAAAGTTTTTCGTGAACATGCGCGGGGCCTGCTTGTGCCTTTCTAAATGGCTTACATAACCAGCGGCCAAAAAGTAGTATTGTATGATAGCAGACACGCGACAGATTGCCTTTGAGCCTCCCATATCGTCCCCAACATCACAGAATGGCGCGAAGAAGGCGACTGTACTCGTAGATTTCACAGGGTGCAGCTCCATCTTGCCGCCAGCAGGTTCGTCGATGCGGTAGAAGCTTACTTCAGCGTTGTCTGAGTGCACATGGGCACCAACTCCAGAGTCCGGGTCTTCAGATCCTGGAGCGTACTCCCCTATAATAAGGAGCTTGCTATGTGTCGAACGCCCCAGTGACCTTTGCACAGATCTGTTATAGCTTGTTTCTTCGATGTCCAGAAACGTGACCCTCGAAGCTTTCGGCAGCGCAGAGAAGACTTCTGGAAATTTTGTGCGCGCCCACGTGTGTACGTTCTCAAGGTTCAAGAGTGTTTTCGCCTCGTTGAAGTCGGACATCATGGCAAAGGCTGAGTTGTTGTTAATCCTTGCCGCTTACAGAATCTTGCGACAAGCTTGAAAGTGGAAAGAGCGGCCGTGCGTACCTTGACAGGCTTCGGTTCCAATTTGCAAAGAAACAAGTCGCTTTGATGTTAGCAATCCCGGCATATGAAGAGCGGTACAGTATGGTACAATGTCGTCGACTAACGCGATCGGCGTGGGCAACGCGTGGTGGTAATCAGATGAAAGCAAAGCTGGGTGGAAGAAGGTGCGGCGTTTGGTAACGGTGGACGCCGGTGGGGCGGGGTAACGTTGCCGAAGCTTGAGGAAACCATGCGAGCTATGCAGAAAACACTAATGTACTTGTGATGTTGAATTATTGACAAGGAAGTTGAAGATTGGAGCTAGGAAAGATGGGGGCTGGCTTTCTCTAAGATGATCTACCTCCCCAGCCACGGTAATTACCTTCAGCAAGGCTGCGATTACGGCCTACCATAAGACACCAGTCACATGAAATTATCGCAACGGGCAGCAACACAGTTGTGCCTGCTGCGATTCAAACGGAAAAGACGGCGAGAAAAGCCAACTAAGATCTTTCCGGGTATTGTTGCAGCGCAAACGTGACGCAATACGAAAGAAACTTCTGCACAATGCCCTTGTGCGACACAATAATTGATTGGAGACCCCGAAGGAGCCGTTTTGCCTTTGCTCGGTTCGTCAACGATCATCGCAGAAATAGGCTCGACTGTCGTAAGACCTGTCGCAAGATAATACTGCTAAAGACAGCGTAACCAAGCATGATGCATGAATGAGCAGGAGAGTACCATAATGTTTGTGATTTCTTCTTTCGCATGGAATGAACCCTAACGCTAACTAGAATAGCGCGTACCGCTCCTTCCTTCCTATCGATGCATCCCTCCTCGATAGTATGCCTCCTTCACCACTCTCAGTCTCAAGATCTGGGCAACTAATCTATTGTGTCTGTAGATGCGTCAGAACAACGCTGTTATCTCTCAACAACCCCTCCTGAACATTGAAACAGTTGGATGATGTTTATCAACCGGTCATAGCAACTTCCTGTAGCGGCATCGAAGACCGCTATCCTTCTCTCTACGTGTTCAGTCGATCCATGGAGGCCGGTTCCGTCGTAGTACGAGCTTCGTTTGAGCTAACGGATTTCTTTATGGTCAAACACTGACATCGTAGCTGCTTCGTCCTTCCTTCACGAACGCCAAAAGCTTCGGTTGTCTGAGGATTGCAGCGGAGCTAGCACCACACCATTCCGAGAAGATCTTGCAGCAAACAGGTCGTCTTATTGTCTTAGCCCTACCGATTTACAGTTGCCGTCGCCGACAATCGCGTCCTGGAAGATTCGCAAAATTGTCTTATATTCAATGCAAGCCCTCGTCCTTTGCTCTTCTAGCCTCATGCTCGGTTGAGGCCTATCGTTACGTATGCTCGATTGGCTGTGGATTGAAAAAGGTAACACTTGCGTCCCGAATCGGCGAGCTAAATGTCAATTTGACAGCAATTCGAAATCCTTGTTAATCGTCGCTAGTACACCATCGATGTACCTAGAAACGTCTTCTTTGGAACCGATGAGATGAAAGAGCTGGAGAGTGAACGCTTCCAGTTGGTGTCGTTGTGCGAGTACGTGTTTAACTCGATCGCTCCACAGCGGCTATATTAGCGTTACGACGGGTGGCCTGGTAAGCAACTCGACATCGAAGATCGAGTCGGGCGACTTAAAGCACATCAGATAGACGAGCTAAGCTATGCGCTTCCTTTTCGTCTCAACAGTCAGTGCGACATAGGCTGCTTGCTAACGAGCCGTACGATAACGGGAGTTCCGATTAGCATGTTCGCCAAGGACAAGCCACCAACCTCGGGTGCGCTTCAGACTATGTGTCGAATTTCGTTGTCTGGCCCTCGCCGGCAGCGGTTAACCACCACCCACATAAGTATTAACCACCACCCACATAAGACTTCATAGTGGCTGTTTCAGCCAACAAGATCGCGCCAAGAAAGACCTACCTCCTAAAATAGTATAGACTTTCTTAGCATCATCTCCTCCGTTCACGAACAAGCTCTTCTCCTCCCATTTTCTACCTATACTTAGGTAGAAAAGTGTTAACTTTTTTTAATAGACTGACTGGAATGGTAAACTTCTGATGATTCTGAGTTTCAGAAATCAAAAATTGGCCCAGAATTGATGAGTTTCTGGGTCTCGAAAATGGTGACTTATGTGGGTGGTGAGTAATACTTATGTGGGTGGTGGTTAACCGCTGCCGCCCTCGCCGACGCAACAGCCACGGCGAAGATCTGAGAAATGAGACCTTGTGTGATCTCAGCCATGGGTACCAGGTCTTTATCAACACTCCCGTGTTTTGGTGCCACTTTGCCCAGCCGGCTTCGATTCTACGTTCTAGGTACCCCTGAGAACTCCTACTCGTTGAGCCAATGCCAGCCGAGTACAACCATCGACACTAGCCGGAATCGACCCAGCCCAATCTCCACTGTTTCCACTGTTGGTGGCTATTCAGTCGGGGTAATTGTGACCCCACCGCTGTTCTTAAACAGTCGTTTACTGCATGAGGCGTGGTGATTGTGTCGAATAGCACAACTGTCCCCACGTGCCCCATGATACAAACGCGTTCTCGACTCCAAGTCTGGCGCGTAAACAACCGCATGCTCACAAAATTGCAATCCCAACTCTCGACGCCGCAACGTGCGCGTCGTGGGACCAGGATCCCGGAAAACGGAACATTCATCACCGTGTCATACAGTGTGACGTTCTGTCAGTCTCACGAGCGCCAAACACGTCGTTTAGATTTTTTATCGCCTCACTCTGCGTGTTCCCATTCAACGCTTCTACGACCGTCGCATTGCGCGCGTTGATTTCACTACGTCCGCAAAGCTCGAAAGTTTTTATTGTGATTCAGGCCAGTATCGCAATCGCGGCATTGCTCTCCAATGCCTCAGCCCAGTACCTTAGCTGCAAGATGTGCTGCGCTAAGCACTTCTATCGCTCAGGCAAGGTTTTTCGATCCCGTCAATACGCCTGTGTGCTAATACTCTGACAACACAGGTCATACCCGATGTCAGTAGCTTTGCGCGACGGGCTCGCGAGGCAAGACACGACCTCAATCAAATTAATCACGATCTTTTAATCCTCAGAACGGGGTTAGGGATCGCGCAGGACGATTTTTCGACATCAGGATCGAGGCTACCTACATCTCTCATCGATGCAGTGTCACAAGTCCTTGATTCCTGCGATGATACGAGCGAACGTCTGCACAAGATGTTCTTGAAGCTATCATGCAGCAATTCGCCAAAAGATGAGTGGAAATCGCTCAAGAGTGGGACTTTGATGATCAATATACGGTTGGATCTTGAAGCAACTAGGATAGTGTTGGATCTCTCCCTTGACTATCTTGCCCTGTAAGCTGAATCCCCTTCCTTCTTCGACATATTTGTTAGGTGAAACAGGCGCTTACGTCACCAGTTTCGGTCAAACAGACACTGTTGACTCGCTCATCAACTGTTATGTTACGAGCTTAGCTGCCAGCAGCGATGACCTACTGAAGCGGACGGATATCGAGGAGATAAACGTCAATCAGACGGCAAGGGACAGGCTTTCTTCGCTCCTTCAGGCAGTTCGCCTGCTTCGCTCATGTATCACAGCTGTTGCTCGGGAAGGAATAGCAACAGGAGCGCAGTTGGAGAGGCGAACAACGATACCTCGACCAGATTCCCTCGAACCGAGTCTAGGCGAATCGCGCCGTAGCGGAAGGATCAGTCCACCGCCAGAGACTCGACCAGTGGGGCCTACCTCGAAGAAAGGTATAGGTGCGTGGCTCGCAGGCGTCCCGTCTCACTCCATGGTGATACGTGTAACGGAGGATTCATTGCATGCAAGGCCGACTTCGCATAGCAGGCTGCTCCCGTCTCGTGGAACATTTTACACAGACGATGGCATCTCTTCAGGTCGAACTTTAGTAGCACCCGAGTCACGACTCAGAAAGGCGCGTAGTTGGTGTTCCGAAATATCAACACACAGTGATATTATGATGAAGGGGAAGCCGACACGAGCAACAATATACTCGCCCACCAATACCAACTCGGATGTTTCAATTTTCCACAAAAACATCACTTCGGACAAGATTGCTATGACCAAAGGAAACAGGAGGAATCTGGACCTTGATCAGAGGGTGGGTGTAGATCGTATACTAGCAAACGTTCCGCCAGAAGCAACTCCAATCGAAGTTGAACGAATACTATGCGAGGGCGCGAATCCTATGGTGGCACATGCAGAATACGGTTACTTCTTTATTCGAGCGGCGCATGAGATGTCCTTGGATATTCTACTGATCCTTGTCGAATACGGCGCCGATATTACTCGCACAGCGCCGGAACCAAACCGATACCACTCAGTCATGCATGCCGCGACTTCAGGACGACAACTCGACACGGTAAAATATCTCGCATCCATAGGCCACTCAATCGATGCCACGAATGCTGTGGGAGAAACGCCTCTGCATGTCGCTGTCAGAACGTCGGGGGCCTTCGGGGTGACAAAGTTTTTTGTGGACATGGGAGCGGATGTCAACCATGAAACAGATGATGGCGAGACGCCATTACTAATGGCACTCACATGCACGAAGTTGGAAGGAAAAGAGAGAGGCATGATCATCGAACTGCTGCTCGCACATGGGGCGGAAGGCGAGGTGAGCCGAGGAATGGAGGGAGCAAGAGGTAACTCCAAAGGATTAAGCATCCTCGGACTCGACAAAAAGTCTACCGATACCCTTAGGAGTGCGAAGACCGACATAAGCCATGTTTCACCCCCTAGCATCACACCCGTGGTACCCCGATGTCCATTTGAACGCATGGCGATAGGTCGAAGAGCCAAGGATGCGAACTGAAACCACTACACTTCTGACATCAACGACAACATGCAACATCCTAGTTCGTGGCTAATGGGAACTGCCATAGCGTTTTTCTTAAACCTGAGTGTCGTGTGCAGCGCTGGACGCGCCTGCGGCGTCTGTACAATATTCGTTACTTTGTATTTTCACGATCCAGGCCTCGCTGAACGGGGTCGAACGCTCTCGACTTACACGAGTCTTTTTCCAGTCTACGTAATTCAACGATATGGCGTCCTCGAAAACATCGCCTTGGACAAAACACCAATTCATTGCCGTCCATGTCTCCACTTTTCGACAGACGCGCATGACTTTTCGGTTCACCCAATGGACAACGACAACGACCCGTGCCTCAATTCCTCGTCTCTTTCTTAGCTCGTGGCTGCCATGAGAGCGTAACCTGGAATATAGGCAGGAAGAGGCTCAGACTTGCGACGCTTTACAGCTAAGCAACGCTCTGCATCTCCTCTTTGGCGCCAACCAAGAGGCGCGACGGCCTTTGAATTCCGATCCTGGATAGTGGGAGATCAGTATGAAAAGAACCATAAACGATCTAGTTATGCATATGCGTCTCAAAATTGGAGAAGAGGTACTGCACGCATATTACTCGAGCCGTCTCAGATTCTGATTGTTCACGTTCTGAGTGTTGCTGAGGCATGTTTGCTGCACTGCGCGGTCACGGATGCGGCATGAATTACCGGTTCGAGTGCTCTCTTGTGGTTACTATGAGATTTTGCTCGATGATTCCGCAATTGGAAGTTATATTTAAAATAATATTTGCAATCATGTCCGCAGTTTCTTGACGAGACCGTTACACTTTTGATCCTGGCAATGCTGTTTAATCATTGGTTATATCCAAATTGTCTCATGTTTGATAAGTTGTGCCATGTTTCTGTATGTCTGGTAGTTCATCAACTTGTTCTTTCCGGAAGTCTTCACAATAAGACGTTTAATTTAACGGCTTTTGGGGGTGTTGATCAATTGCGGTATCGCGGGCACGACGGCTACTAACAACAACATGTCAACATCGTCGGCAGCTGGAGATGACCGATGGGAAGGGACTTCTGACTGTGAGAAAGTGAGCAAGACGGGCATGGTAGAGTGGGGAGGCTAAGCCGCTATCTTATCGTGATCCACTAACAGTTCGGCCGCCTCCGCGTCCATCATCATCTACATCTTGCTCTATTAGATACCTCGATCCTTGAATCAAGGTTTGGCATCCATCAACAATGAGTTCAAATTCTCCAGACGTATATTCGATGTGGGTAGAGGGCAAGGAGACGGTAGGAGACGCGGATCAGTCAGTCAGCAAGCCCCTCGAGCGTGACACATTGCACTTTCTAACACCATACCAGACTTGCCATTGAAGACCCAGCAACCGGAGAAATATTTGCACACTGTCACGCTGCTTCAGCTGCCAATGTTGATGACACAGTCAAACTCGCACATAAAGTTTTCAAGTCCGGCGTTTGGTCAAAAGCTCCACGCCATGTCCGTGCGGACACACTCGACAAGATCGCGGAGCTCCTCACGAAGAACTTGCCCCGTCTGATTGAGCTAGAGGTACGACAGACTGGTCGGGCCATTCGTGAGATGAATGCGCAAGTTCCGACTCTGGTCAAATGGTTCAAGTACTACTCTTCCCTGATCCGAACGGAGGAACGATCCGTACTGCCTACTGTGGGCAAGCTACACAATTGGATCGATCGCAAGCCCCTTGGTGTCGTTGCTCAAATCACGCCCTTCAACCATCCAATGTTGATTGCGGTCAAGAAGATTGCACCCGCGTTGGCCGCCGGAAATTCGATCGTCTTGAAGCCCAGCGAGCTCACGCCTCTGACGAGTGTTGAGTTGGGCAAACTGTTCAAAGAAGCAGGGTTGCCGGATGGAGTGTTCAATGTATTGCCTGGCGATGGCTTGACTACGGGCAAGGCTCTTGTAGAGCACCCACTCATCAAGAAGGTCGATGTCACCGGTGGAACACCAGCTGGTCGTGCCATTGGAGCCATTGCTGGACGTAATCTTGCGCATTATACCGCAGAGCTTGGTGGGAAAGCCCCCTTGATCGTTTTCGAGCAGGCACATATTGACCTGGCTGTTAACGGTATTGTCTTCGCAAGTTTCATTGCGAGCGGTCAAACGTGCGTTGCAGCCACTCGCATCGTTGTGCACAACAACATTCTCAACGACGTTGTCGAAAAACTCAAGAGCAAAGTACAGAGTATTGAAAAGAGAATGGGATCACCGAAGAATGTGGAATCGATGATGGGTCCAGTCATCTCCGCGAAGCAGTTAGGCAACATTCAAGCTCTGGTGGATGATGCGGTGAGTGCTGGAGTAACTGTTGTTACAGGGGGCAAGCGGATGATGGGGACTTCGTCGATCGACGGTGCCGATTTCTCGAAAGGGTATTTCTTCCCACCCACTGTACTCGCCGACAGCGCTACAAAGAAGATTGTCGATACCCGGATCTGGAAAGAGGAAGCATTCGGTCCAGTCATTGTTGTAGTAGGTTTCGATACCGAGGATCAAGCTATTGAGTTGGCAAACGACAGCGAGTTCGGACTCGGTGCAGCAATCTGGACGCAGGACCTTGCGCAAGCATTTAGAGTTTCCGAGGAGATTGAGAGTGGGCTATGTTGGGTCAACACGCATCATCGTAACGATCCAAGTTCGCCCTGGGGTGGCATCAAGAGTTCAGGTGTGGGAAGCGAGAATGGCATTGACGCGTACCATGCGTATACGACGACAAAGAGCACGATCATGAACTATGCTACGGCGCAAGAAGGACTGGTAACTGACGACTGGTTCAGGGAAGGCACTGGGGAGGTCAGATATGGGTGAGCGGACACATGCTTTATTGCTATGTGGCGTATACTCTGTATGTAGGGCAACTTATTATGCATGACTACTACCGCACTTCAATCGGGCCGTGATTGTGTCGCAACCTATAACCCAAAACATGAAGTGGGGTAGTGAGTTATCTGAATGAGTAACACGCACTGGAGACTTACTTCATAGCTCCTGGAGACAGCTAGAAGCGTGCACACTCTCAACAACATGACGGATCAAATCACTGCTACTGAGCGCGGAGGTAGAGATTGACTAGCAAATAAACTTCATTCTCGAGATCATGAAATCATGAGATCATGAGACCATTAGTCAAGTTCAAAGCTAATAGTATATGATTGTTTAGTTGCTCATAACGGCCTCTCACAAATCTTGACGATGAAATCTACTTCTAATTGTGCGGTCCAAAGACATTCCACGTGTTCGTTGCACACCGTTATTCAGAGGCGTTCGCACTAGCAAAAGATCTAAATGCAGGTGCATCACAAGCGTATGCAGGAACTGTAGCAATGCGCACACCGCGCTGACAGTCGGTGGAGCTCTGGAATCCCACACGGTGGGGGAAAACAGTACGCGTGATGATGGCCCAAGTGCAGTTGCGGTGACACGACGCGACGCAAAGCTGCGCACGACTCAGAAGTAAAGCATGTTCGTGTTCATGTTCAAGCGTGGGGTGTGGGGAAGCTGCGAGAAAAGCAAGAGAAAGATGGCTGTGATCAGCGTGGTGAATGTGGACGTTTATCGCGAGGTGCATAGAATAAGCAATTCAAGATGGTGGATGTGGTGAAGGTGGTGAAGGTGAAAACCGTTAAGTGAGAGAGAGATCGCCAATCGACAACCCCACGCCCCCCGCCGATCTTGAGCAAGCAGTGGCGTCCAAAAGCCGGGGCGCTCCTTCCGACCTCCGCACCGCCTTCCCTGACAACTCAGCTAGCTCTGTTTTATTTTCCACGTCTCCCAACAAAATCCTCGTCTTCCTCCACTCAAATACTCTACCACTCTTCAACCATCAGCCCAACCTCAACTTACTACTCCTCACCCAAACAACACCCACCAAACACACACCAACCGCAACCATGGGCAAGGTAAGCAGTGTGAAGCTACCCCGCTACCCCACGCTAACAAAAGTTACAGGTCAAGTACATCCTCCTCGACTGCGACAACACGCTCGTCCAGTCGGAGCGTCTTGCCTTCGAGGCCTGCGCCGACCTGACCAACAAGGTCATGGAGAAGTACAAGATCGACGCCCGCTACACAGCAGACTCGCTGCTTGAGGACTTTGTCGGCCACAACTTCCGTGGCATGCTCAAGGGCCTTCAGAAGAAGCACAACTTCACCATGACCGAAGAGGACCTCGAGAGCTACGTCGGCCAGGAGCTGGATGCTGTCACCACCAAGCTCAGCCAGAAGGCCGTCGAGTGCCCTGGCGTCACCACAGAGCTCAACAAGCTCAAGGAGCAGGGCTACCCCATGTCTGTTGTCAGCACCTCCGCCAAGAGCCGTGTCGTTGCTTCCATCGAGAAGGCCGGCATCGCCCACTTCTTCCCTCCCGAGCACGTCTACTCGGCCGCTTCCTCGCTCGACCCTCCCAGCTCGAAGCCCGACCCCGCCATCTACAACTTCGCCTGTGAGCAGCTCGGCGTCAAGAACGCCGAGACCGTCACCGTCGAGGACAGCAAGAGCGGTGCCACAGCTGCCATGCGCGCCGGCATCCCCTGCATCGCCTACGTCGGCATCTACGGCATCGAGGAGGGCAAGGAGAAGATGGAGCAGATGGCCAAGCTCCTTACCGAAGAGACCAAATGCGCTGCCGTCATGTACAACTGGTCTGAATTCCAGGAGTGCCTCAAGAAGGTCGAGGCCAAGTTGTAGATGGTATCTGCAGCGAGGGTAAAAATGGGGATGGATGATCTGACGAGCTCTACGCACAGGACTGCTGTAGAAGCTACGACACATGGATGACGAAAACGAAGTCATGACGAAGCAGATATACTCATAAGATATTATCTATGGACCTTGTCCAGCATTATCCTTGTTCTCCCATGCAGTGAAGTTGTGTCCAATCTGATGCTCAACAACTGCAAGGTAGACATGCATGACCTTGAGCTCTGGAACCGACCCACAAAAGGTTGCGGAGATCTACCAACCGTCCTCCCGTTGAATCTGTCTCGTCGCCTAAAGCAGATGGTCTGTTACTGACAGGCTTCATTGAGTAGTTTCAAGAGCCGAGGCCAGCCGCCCAACCTCGCTTCATGACTATTTCCTATTTTCACCTCATTCTTCCATTTGTGACACAACCAGCCAATGTCTGAGTCATCTTCGCAGCTGTATAAGTCATCTTCGCAGCTGTATAAGTCACCCGACGTCATGATATCAGGCCAAGTACTTACCACAACGTATATATTAATATGCACACGCGATTGCTGCAGCGTTGCAAGCTCAACTATCCAATTTGGCAGGTCACATCATAACAAAGGACTGGAATAGCGACAATAATAGTACATGTGAGATCTCTTCCAGCGTTTTCCGTGTCTTACAGTTCACACAGGCGATATGCCTCAATGTGAGTTGGAAACCTTGTATCGGGAGATCCATTTAGAACAATTTTCTATATTGTAAGCCCAGGAATACGGTGTGTTGAGTAGGCATTACAGCGCACTATTATCGTGTGTGCACACTTATGGGCGATCGGCGTCTTGGTACACAGTCTATGAACTGTCGCCAAGGCATGCTTGAGTGCGCCTCCTTCCTATTCCGTCTCTTAAGTCGAGACCAAGACTCTCATCTAAATTGCTACCGCCAATGTCACTGTACGCACGACATCGGTTCCATCTACACCGTGCTCGGGGCATGCGTGGGGGCCAATCATGGTGTTTCACTTCCATGTGGTGTGGGACGCGATGTGCAAACCACCATTTGCGAGAGAGGCAGGGCTCCAACTACCTGCTGGATTGGCTGTAGGCGATGCTTCAAGGGATTATCCGGAGTATCATGACCATGTTGCGCAACGAGAATATAAAAGCCCTAAAGGAATCTACTATACAGCTTCAAACTTGTGCCTACGTCTTTCGTTCAACCTCAACTCAACATGTTTATTCGCAGCGCCCTCCTCTCCTTGTCGGTCCTTGCGGCTGCAAGGGAAATGCAGAAGGATGAAGACAAGGCTGCTAAGCTTTACGATTCCGGTATCAGGCACGCGAACAACATCGCCTTGAAGATGGTTTGTCCCCTTTGGCCTTAGCCATAACTGGACGCTAAGTTCAATCCTAGGAAACATTCGCAAGGCAGGAGGCTGCGGGTGCATATGCTTCGTCACAATACCGTGAGGTTGCCGATGTAGTCCAGTGCGTGAATGGTACCGCAATCACCGATACGGACACCTTCAAATGCAAGAATGTTAGTGATGTGATACTCCTCTCTAGGACATAGTCACTTACCGATCCAGATCGACCTCCACCATTTCTTGTCTCACTCGGCCCTTGGAAGTACCCGAGGCTTTGGTTCCTCGTCATGGGGTAAGAACTCGCAAGACGTGTCGCAGAGATCTTCGAAACTAATATATCGCAGGTTGGACATCAGCCACTGGCCGTGAGTTCGTCGCCATCGGGCAATCAGACGGTACCGCATTTGCAGAAGTCACTGCAGCGGGCAAGCTCTCATATCTGGGACGTCTCCCCCAGTTCTCCGTCCCTAGCCAATGGCGTGAGATTCGTGCCCACAACGATCTTATGATCATTGGCAGTGAAGCTCAGGGCCATGGCATCCAGATGTTCGACATGAAGAAGCTGCTTACCGTCGACCCTGCGAAACCTGTTACCTTCAGCAACACGAAAGATCTTGCTGGACACTATGCCGGTCTACCTGTGGGTCGTACACACAATGTGGTGACAAACCCCGAGGGTAAATTCATCTACTCTGTTGGTGCGATGCCGAGGACGGACAAGTGCAAGTCGGGTATCATCTTCATTGATATCTCGAACCCCGCCAAGCCCACCAGCCCTGGGTGGTGAGTGTTCGAATCTGTCATGGTATGGGAAATGTAACTGACAATCATAGTGCCTCCGCTGACGGCTACGTTCACGATGCTCAGTGCCTGATCTACCATGGCCCTGACACCCGATACGAAGGTCGTGAGATCTGCTACGGCTACAACGAAGACTCACTCACAATCTACGACATCACCAGCAAGACCGCCCCTGTCGTCCTTTCCATCACTTCCTACCAAGGCGCAGCTTACACACACCAAGGCTGTGTTCTGGACCCCAAGAACCAGCGTTATCTTCTCTTGGATGACGAATATGACGAGTATGACAAGACGGGTGCTGGAGCCACTGGCAATCCCGTCACGTACATCTGGGACATCAGTAACCTGAAGGCACCGAAGCAGACTGGCCTGTACAAGAGTGCCGCCAAGGGTATTGACCACAACCAGTATGTTTCCAACGGATTCGCATATCAGTCGAACTATGGCACTGGTTTCCGCGTTTTGGATGTCAGGTCCATTCCCACTGATCCTACGGGCAAGGGCGTGAAGGAAGTTGGCTTCTTCGGTACGTTGTTCTTCGCTAAAGTGATTTGACAGTGGCTAATGGTGACGGCAGATATCTACCCAGAGGATGACAACATGGCCGGCGGTGGCAGTATCGATTTCGTCGGCACGTGGTCCAGCTATGCGCTTTTCAAGAGCGGATACATTCTCATCAACACGATGGAGCGTGGTGCTTTTATAGTTAAGATGCAGAAGGGGTCTCAGGCTTAGAGCATATGAATGTTGCAAGGTTGTTATTGGATGCTAGGCTGGAACACAAGATGGTATGCGGTAGATTGAGCACATTGTAATCTGAGTCGCACAATTCGAGCATGTGTGGTGACATCGTGCTGCGACGCTTGTTCAAATTTTATTGGGATGCCTGCTCGCCTTTGTTCGTTGTATATGTCATGTGGAGAGTATGATGTTCCGCCGTCACCACTCGTTCCATTCATCTTTCATCAAGCATGCTTCTCGAGTGAGCCGAATGTATGCCTGTGCGCCGCGGAGCAACCCAACCATACTCGAAGTCCAAGTTAACAATATGGATGCCGTTAGTTCAGAATACCTTCGTCTCGAAGCAAAGTCGTTATAGGAACGCAGTCATTCCGATTAAGCCGGTTCTTGCGAAGTTAGATGTTGGAAATGTTACATAGAGACTTCCAACCTTGACAGCTTGCGGCTTCTCATGGTGCTTGAGGGAATGGTTTCACACATGCGTCTTGGCAGTACGACGTCAAAAAGACTGAGATGATCTCGCGTCCTTCGCCATCAGACACCTCGAAAAGTGCCATACTGCCACCAAAGGACATGGATACATGTCATCATAGACAGACAAGCAACAACTAACTGGCGACAAACCTCAGTTAAACAGATTGTGGCGTTCACTAACGAACACGAAGCGGGGACCGTCAGTCTTGGCCCAATCTCCGGAGAAGCTCCGCTCTCGGTTCAAGTTCTCCGCCAAGCGACTACGCTCCTCTCCTTCCCCATATATCACAGTCCCCTCACGCAGCCAAGATGCAGGTTGTCAATCAAAATTGTAGGCTGGTCACTGCATTTCGTTCCTGGAGAATGATGCGGTCCGTTGGTTTCGCAGCTGCCTGTCTAGGTTAGAGACCTCTGGCACGCGATGTTCTCTTGGTTCTGTGTAAGGCACGCGATATCGACACCGGGGTAGGTATATAGCATGGTTGCTTTCCTGGAATCCTTGGACTTGGTGTGACACAGCTTCTCTTCCTTCGTTTCTTCTATCAGTCGTCAAGATGAAGGTTTCTACGCTCGTCGCCGGCGCGACTTTGCTCACTGCCCCTGCCTTGGCCAACGACTGGAAGCCAAGTCCTCCTAAGCCGACTCCCTCAAAGCCTGCGCATCCTCAAAAGCTCGTCTCTTCCGAGGCGCTCCAGAAGGAGATTACGCTCGAGGCTTTGCTCGCTGGCTCTCAGAAGCTCCAAGACATCGCCACTGCCAATGGAGGTAACCGCGCTTTTGGTGGTGGAGGTCATAATGCCACGGCAGAATGGCTCTATCAGGAGCTTCTGGCGACCGGATACTACGACGTCTACAAGCAGCCATTCACTGAACTCTTCTCAGCTGCCACTGTCAGACTCTCGGTTGGTGGCAATTCGTCGGTTCCGGCTGAATACATGACATACGGACCTTCTGGCAACTTCACTGGCCCTATCGTTCGCGTGAACAACCTCGGATGCGATGCTTCCGACTACCCTGCTGAGGTTTCTGGCAAGATTGCTCTCATCTCGCGAGGCACATGCACATTCGGTGCCAAGGCTACAACCGCCAAAGCTGCTGGTGCGGCTGCCGTCATCATCTACAACAACCTCCCTCTCCAGGCTCTGTCAGGAACTCTTGGTGCCGTTGGTACTTACGCTCCCACTGTCGGTGTGACTCAGGAGGTCGGCAATCAGATCATCGCTGCTATTGCAGCTGGTTCGGCCCAAGGCACCGTCTTTGTGAACACCATTGAGGAGCAGCGTGTCAGCTACAACGTCATCGCTGAGACTAAGGGCGGAGACCACGATAACGTTCTCATGATTGGTGGTCACTCCGACTCGGTTTATGCCGGCCCTGGCATCAACGACGACGGCTCCGGTTCCATCGGATCCCTCGTTGTAGCCAAGGCCCTCGCCAAATTCAAGGTCAAGAACGCTGTCAGGTTTGGATGGTACTCAGCCGAGGAGTTCGGAAAACTTGGCTCTTTCCACTACCTGAGGACTCTGAACGGGACTATTAGCGGTGGGCCTCAGGAAGTGGCCAAGATCCGCGCCTATCTCAACTTCGACATGGTAAGCGACCCCGACCTCACAGGATAAATCGATCGCTAACATGTGATAGATTGCCTCGCCAAACTACGTCCTAGGAATTTACGACGGTGACGGTAGCGCCTTCAACTTCTCCGGTCCCGCCGGCTCCGACACCATCGAGAAGGACTTTGAAGCCTTCTACGAGTCAAAGGGCAAGGCACACGTCCCCTCGCTCTTCACTCTCCGCTCCGACTACGCCGCATTCCTGGAGAATGGCATTCCATCCGGCGGTCTCTTCACCGGCGCCGAGACGCTCAAGACTGCCGAGGAAGCTCTTCTTTTCGGCGGCGAAGCCGGCCAACCGCTTGATGCCTGCTACCACAAGGCCTGCGACAACATCGACAACCTCGACAACGACGTCTACCTGCTCAATACTCAGAGCATTGCTAACTCGGTCGCCAAGTATGCCGTTGACTGGGCGGGTATTCCCCGACCGGGTCAGAAGCTCAGGCGTAGGACTGCTGATAAGGCGAGGGCTGTGAGCAGGTTCGATCGTGGTGGACATGGACATCATGGCCAGCCTTGTGGCTCGGGTCATACCGAGCTGTAGATATAGGAGATGTGTGAATATGAAGTATGTTGTAAAAATACAGTAACGGTTGAGATAATGGGTAATGACGAAAAGTCTTTGCATCGTTTGTTCCGGTTCTATGTTGATGTGACTCGACAATTCCTCTGCAGTCCTAGCCAAGCGGGAGTACGATGCGAACTTGTGTGTACATGAGATCTTGGTCATGTGTGAAAGTAGAAAGTAAGGAGTTCTTTGTAGCTACTAAAAGTTACAAAGGAATACCAATAGAATTTACAAGAACTGTATGTAAGGCATACACAGCCAAGAATCTTAGTATAGTCTCTTATACCAATCTTGGATGTTATTGTCTATCTGTTGCAAGACTTTACTGCACCTTGATTACTGGGTTTTCAATTTACCGAGATATGAGGTCGCCGTAACACGATTGCACCTACGGTTGCAAGGTAGGTCTATAGAGATCGATACTATGTAGAAAATGTCCTGCTATCCACATGCTCGGACACAGAGCTAGATTCATCATTGAATAGAGGGGTTGTACCTTTCGTCGACGCTTTCGAATCTATAGCTGGGGCTTTTTCTATGGCCAGGATCAAAATTGGAATTAGAGTCGTCGTCAACAGGTTGAGGGGTTCTGTCCTTGGTCAACTTGCTGCTTGAGGCAGCAGTTGCCGATGGTACTCTCAGAGGCTTCTTCGCCTTTTTCGTCTTCTTCAATCGACTAGTCATGATTAGCAAGAGATTTGAGCGGACGAGAAATTCAAATAGAACCGAGGGCTGCAGGGCTTGGAGCGGAGGAGCGGAAGGTTGTTTTAGTCGTGATGAGGGTTATTACAGGCCGTCTCAAGGATGCTGGCTACACTGCAGCTTGGCAGGTGGACAGGCTGAAAGTCGACAAGTTGACAGGATGTTGGGTTGAGAAGGGGATGCAGGGTGCTTGATAGAAAATATTTTGATGTTTGTATGATATTTACTCACACCAACCTTTCACTGTTTGGCGTGCGCTCTTTCCTGATTAGACCCAGTCGTGCCACACGAACATTGCCAGACAACCTCTCACTTTCTCGGCAACCCGTTCGATTATTCCAACAAGCGACACTCCAACTTCTCACAGAACCACCAACGCTACGAGCTACAGTTGTCAAAACCAGGTCACGTTCACGTTCACGTAACGGCACTTCACCTCGCTCAACCACCCCCCCGCTCTTCTTCAAACGCCAATGACGATGTTCACCGAGAAGGCAAGCGCAATCCACATAAACTTCAGTGAAGGTTTCCGTGAGATGTCTAACCTCTACAACGCCAACAAACTCGAGGAGTGTCTTGCTAAAGGTCATGAGCTCCTGGAAAGCCCTGCTATCCCACGATACCATCGCATGAAAACCCTCACATTACTCAGCGCAACTACTGGGGATTGGTATGAAGCAGACGCCTATCGCATGGAGGCAGAGTCCCTGTGGCGCACAACACGCCTTTGGAATCCAGAGGGTAGAGACGGAATTATGGACAAGTTCTTGGCCCAGGTGCGCGAGGAGCTTGATGTGCTACAGTCTTCTTTACAAGAACAAGAGCAGGAGATGTTGGATGAGGATATGGAGGACGAGGAAGCTGCAATGACTGACTCTGAGGCAATGGAGGACGAGGACGAAGACGACGATGGCGCGGGCGAGGACGAGAGCGAGGATGAGGGTGAGGATGACGAGGATGACAAGGGTGAGATTGAGGAGGAACAACGCCCTCGCATCGTCATCCAGCCACTTGTTGAGGCGGAACTTGAGATGGTACGTTATAGCTCGCGCTGTTATGCTTCACTGTTCATCTGCATGCATTTCCTAACCAAGCTGCACCAGCCCACGGCCAAGAATCCAAAGCAGATGACACTGACCATCAACACGGTTTCTTCGACTTCAGAACCTCCTCCGGGTTCGCCAGCCATGACCTCCAACAACTGCAAACAACCAACACATTGATACGTGTCAGCAAACATGTTTAATGCTTTTTCAACCAGGGTCGTCGCGTCCCACGAAATCTTCAACATCGGCCACAGATCGTCCCCCGCACTTGGTCTAGCTACAACGCGCTTTGGCGCCAAATTGCAAGTCCATCCAACAGTACCTTGACAAAGCGTGGATACTAACTCTCATTGACAAGGGCGGGAGTCCCAGCCGAAAGACGAGTGATCAAGGGTGGCAAGCCATGCGCTCCGAAGTTGAGTTCCACCAGCAAGTCTGGAAGTTGAGCGCCATGTACTCTAAGATGATGCTTTCATTCCGTCAAGAAGGCAACTCGAAGCATTGCTCTTACGATTATCTTGCGTGCTATACATGACGAGCGGGCGAAATATTCAAATACGTGTAGTGTATGTAGTATTGGAGAAAACTCCCAAGTGCAGTGTATGCAGACGGCGGATGTTCAACGCGTATCCAAACTTTTTCAGACAACTAGTCTGGTCTACGACTCGGAGTTCTCAGCTCCCGCAGCTGGGGCATGAGGGTAATTTCGTCTAATGTACTGCACCTCGTCAGTTTGTGCCCTATCCCATTCCACCTGCACACCAATTTACTCACCAGCATCGTCCTGATGCACCTCCGCCGCCTAGCCTTTGCACGCACGCTCATTTGTGCCCTGGCCAACGCGAAGTCTTCAACAATACCACACAGCACTCTTCCCTCTCTCCCCACCTACCACCCAAACCACCCCTTCCCTCCCCCACCACCCTGCCGCCCACCCCGCCTCGCCTCATCAAGCAGCCAATTACGCAACGTATCCTTATTCGTCATATCCTCCACCCTCGTAAGTTTCGTATCCTCCTGCGCCTCCTGCCGACTAAACGCCAGCAACGTAGGCATACTATTAATCTGCGTTACAAAGCCCGTCAGCCATCCTCCTACACCATAACAACCCCCCAAACGAGGAAACACACACGAACTCACCCTATAGATAATCGGCAAATCCCCAATCAAGCTAGAATCAATCTCCACCTCCACGAACCCCAGCCCGCCCTCGCGCTCCCCCACGCGCTCGTCCTCAATCAGCGAGCGTAGCAGCGGTTTGACGGCCTGGCAGGACGTGCACCACGATGCGCTCCAGAGGGTGATTAGCGCGCGGTTGTCGGCCGCGTTGAGCAGGGTCAAAGTGTGCAGGTCGGTGGGCTGGCGGACGGAGTCGAAGAGGCGGTTTTTGTGCGAGCGCGCTGTGGGGTTGAGGAGCGTGAAGGCGCGGGTTTGGGGGCGTGGTGGGGCGCTGCGGAGGAACAGGGAGGGGGAGGGGCGGAGGATCATTGCTGTTTTTTTTTTTTTTTGGCTGGCGGGTTGTGTGGGGGAGATGGTGGTGGTGGTGGGTTTACGCGTTTATGGGGAGTTTGGATAGTGGATGGCGGATGGTTTGGGTGTTGGGGGGTACGTCATTGTTTTTTTTTCCGTGCAAATACGCTAATAGATTTATCGAATGTGCATGCCTGGTAGGCATAAGACTCTCCCAGACTAATAATACATGTAGTTTGTCAAGCTGTTGCCAGATCTCGCTGCACCTTAGTTTCCAGTCTTTCTAAAAAACTAAGAGGGGAATAGTTCATATCATTATATTGAGTTTGCTATGCGAGTTTTCCTCCCCAACCAACATATTTGAATTCAGACTGCTGAGACGAACGATGGATTTCTTGGGTGAGGTTGTCGTGTTGTAAAGTGTTTTTAATGCCCTCTTTTTTAGTATCATTCCCTCTCTCTCTCTCGCTTTCTCGCTTTCCATCCTCGTCGTTCCCTTACCCCCTTGAGCGCAGGGTGGCGCTTGCTTTGTGATGTACATCATATCATTTCTTCTATCTACTTATCCATCCATCCATCCATCCATCCATGATCCCGGTACCAAGATATGCCATCGCAACGACACGACATGGCTATAGAAAGCACACATATACAAGAAGAAAAAAAGGGTATATCCCCACCGCACCCCACCCACCCATTCAACCCCCGACCCAATCCAACCCCCTAATCCGCACACCCACCCTACTCCCCCTCCCCACCGACCAACAAATCCCCCGCCGGACTCCAAACCCCCGCATCAAGCCTCACTTTCTTCTCAACGCGCCCCTCCGCCTCAGACGCCACACGCTTATGTTTTTTCGCCTTTGGAGGCAGATCAGCAGGCATCGGCGAAACGGCGAGAGCGGGCGTAGGGAGCGAGGTATCCGTCAGGGAGGGGACTTCATCGTCTGTATCGGTGCTGTGATCTTCGACGACGCCGAAGCTGGGGCGCTGGAGGGAGGATTTAACCAGCAGGGGCAGCGCGCTGTTTGACGCTATGACTTCCTGTTGTAGAGGTTTGTCGTTGTTTTTGGGCATGTTTGCGGCCAGCGCGTCACGCTCTTCCATTTCTCGCTGTGCCTGTGCGCGTTCCCGGACCCAGATATCGTGCTGGTCTTTGTACGCTTCTTCCATGCCAGTCAGCCAGTCGTTGTGCTCGGCGCTGTCTTTGCACTGGTCGATGCAATCGGGGCACTTGACGTAAAACCCCCCCGGCGAGGGCCCCTCACCGAGGAGTTCCAGCTCGGGCAGATTCTCGCCAACCAGCACCGTAGCATCCCAGTCGAGGCAGTCCTCGCAGAAGCCGCGGGGACACCATCTGCAGCGGAAGATAAGGCCGCCTGCATCTGTCGTGTTCTTCGCGCAATCTGTGCAGTTGTGCTGGGGGCAGAAGAAGCCCGTGAAGCCGCGGACTTTGGCCTGGTAGGGCGCGTCGAGGCAGTCGAAGTGGTATGCGCGCGGGCAGCTCTTGCACGTGATCATGTGTGCGTTGTCGTCGCCCTCGAAGCACGACAGGCAGTGGGATTCGTGGGCGAATTGGCGGCGGCCCTCGCGGACGGGGTCGGCAAGACGGGGGTCTTTGCCGGCTAGTGTGGGGACGGCTTCCCAGGCGCCGCAGTTCATGGATTCTTTGTTGATGGCGTAGCCGTTGAGCATGACTGTTGTGTTTTTTCCCCGGCGGCGGTCTTCGCGCGTGATGGTGTCGGGGAGGATGTTGGCGGCGGCCTGGCTGGCTTTTGTGTCGAGCTTGCGTTGGTAGCGCTTGCCGTCGAAGACGGCGCATTCGACGCGCTCCATGACTGAGAGCCATTTCTCCTCATCCATTTCTGAGTGCGACGCTTCGGGGTTGGCTAAGTCGGCAGGCTTGTCACGGCACTTTGCCATCATGGTCTCGAGATCCCACTGGATCATCTCCGTGGCGTCGATCTCGGGGTGCGACAAGGTCTGGGCACCGCGACGGACGAGCGTCTTCAGCTGGGAGGTGTCCATCTGAGGCATGTCCTCTGCGATTGACTGGCGCCCCTTGCTCTTGGTGACTGTCTGTTTGCCGTGGATGTTCTGCATGGACTCTGTGATCTTCGCCGACAGATAGAGCTTCTTCCGGATACGTCCCATCATCTGTTCCTCGACCGTGCCCTGGGTGCAGAGCTTGTAGATGGTGACGGGCTTTGTCTGGCCGATGCGGTGGGCGCGAGCCTCAGCTTGCAGGGTGATCTGTGGATTCCAATCTTCGTCGAGGAAGATGACATCTTCAGCACTGGTGAGGTTGATGCCCAGACCTCCTGCTCGAGTGGAAAGGAGCATCACTTTATACTCCGATCCCTGCTGGTTGAAGAGGCGAATGTCCAGATTGCGACGAGCACGAGCGGAGCCACCATCCAGGCGAAGATGCCTGAAACGTTCGCCCTGGTTGCTGATGAGCGATAGGAGATCCTCACAACAGTCGAGAGTGCGCGTGAAGCCCGAGAAGATGAGAACCTTCTTGCCCTGTTCGAAGATGGAGTGTCTGAGCAGTTTATCCAGGAGGATGAACTTTCCCGACGCACGAATAACATGCCCACCCAGATAGTATGGATCCGGAGCTACGTCAGGAAGAAGGTAGGGATGAGAGCAGCACTTGCGCAGCTGCATGACAAGATTCATCAGCTTCTGCCAGGCAGACTTGACTTCAGACCCGACCTGCTCCTTGGCAATAGCCTGACGCATGATCTCGGCGGTTTCTTCCCATTCGCTTGTGCCGGCACTGTGCCCCAACTTCTCCATCCGATCGAGGATTTCTTTCTCTTTCGCGTCCTCCGTAATGGCTGCCTTCTCCTTCTGCTTACCGTCGGCAAACAGCTCGTTGAGCATGCGATCGTCGACGCGAGTGAGAAGCCTCGTGTACCAGAACCGCTGCATAGGCGTCAGAGGCACGTAGAGAAGGATCTCCTCTTTGGGTGGAAGGCCTAGTTGAACACTTGGACTGTCCTTCATGCGGCGGAGCATAATCAGCTCGAGCAAGCGACGGGCGTCGTCCATAGTCTGGCGATTGACCTTGCCACGGTTGAGATCGAAAGACTCTTTGAAGAGCACTTCGGTTGTGTCGACGAAGACGTTGGGATAGAGCCAGGCCAGGAGCGCCCACATCTCGGCCAAGTTGTTCTGGAGAGGCGTGCCAGTCAGGATGAGACGGTACTCGGAGCTAATGTTCCTCAAGGCGGTGGAAATCTGCGTGACACTGCTCTTAATCTTGTGCCCCTCGTCGAGCACGACGTAGCGCCAGAGGAAAGTCATCTTGAACCACGCCTGCTCGGCTTGAAATGTGTCGTATGTCGTGACGATGATCTTGAATGAGCTGGAGCCTTGGTCTTTTGAGATCTTGCCAACTTTGATGCCAGCTTTGCGGGAAGCCTTGCGATCTTTTGCTTGCGACGTCTCGTTTCCTTTGAGATCCTCCAAACCGACGGCGACTCGCTTGAGGCGGGCGCGCTCGTTGACTGCGCCGTGGAAGCGGAGGACTCTGAGGCCAGGAACCCACTTCTGGGCCTCAGTGACCCAAGAATTGAGCACGCTGAGTGGGCAGACAACAAGGTATGGGCGGAGTTCCTCGGAGGTCACGCCGTTCTTCTCGTCCAGCTCCTCGAGGTGTTGGAAGAGGGAGAGGGTTTGCAGTGTCTTTCCAAGACCCATCTCGTCGCCCAGGATGCCCGAGAAGCCGTTGTTGTAGAGGTGGACGAGGTACGACAGGCCGGAGAGCTGGTAAGGCTTCATGGTCGCGGTGACGCCCTCGGGCTGGTCGGTGAGCTCTGTGTACTCCACAATAGGCTTTGCATCGTGGCGGGTGACGAGCCTCGACACGTAGTTGGTGGGCGGGAGCAGCGGCAGGAAGAAGTCCTTGTTCGCGACGAGGAAGTTGTCAGCCTTGGCCTTGGTCTTGTGGGCGATGTCGTCTCGCAGACGAGCCCGCGCGGTGTCTAGCTTGCGCGGCAGGGCCTTTCGCTTCGACGATGGCGGCGGGGTGATGTCGAGCGTGTCTGACTCCAGAATGTTGCTCTTCCTGCTGCGCGTACTCCGGCGCAACCCGTCGTCGGCCTTATCCTTCTTGCGAGCCTCCATCTTGAGGTCACTGTAGCGGGCGCTGCTGCGTGCACTCGCCTTCCAGCCCCGTGTGCGTACTGGGCGCACCGACCGAGCAAGCTCGTCTTCGCTGGAGTCGGAGGCTTCTTCAGGGTCCTGCTCAGAGGTGGGCGAAGAGGGAGTGTCCTTGACAGTGGCACGGCGCGTGCGCTTGGAAGGCTTGGGGTCGGGGGTTGCAACAGACGCGTCGGGCGACGAGGCGGTGGAGGGTTCGGAGGCGGCGTAATTTGGGGCTGTTTGCTGCCTGAGCGCGCGTTTGCTCTCGGGCTGAGCAGCGGGTTCGTGCTGTGACGACATCCTGCGCATTTTGGTGGCCGACTCTGCTGAGCTCTGCGAACCAAACTGGGCGAGCAGGCCCTGCAGATGGCCGCCCCGTCTGTCTTTGGGCGTCGTGGGCATGGCTGGAATGCTGGACGTCACCGGCGGGGGAAAGGGGAGGGACAGCAGTGAATAAGGGTATCAATGCGCGACGTTATATGTAAGGCATGACGGGAAACAGGCTGATGATATACAAAAAAGGGGTGATGGTGATGGTGAAGGGATGTCAATTCTCCCACGCCAATCTAGTCCCAGCCATGACGCCGATATCCCAGTGGTGGCGGTGATGGTGAGCAGTGAAAGGATGCTGCGTGGCGCGGGACAGATTTCGCGATTGTGACAGTCGCGTCTCGAAGACTAGCGGCTTGTCTCCGCTAAACCCCGACGCGTTGTTCGACGACGTCTGCGCGGTACAAGAAGAGGCAGAGCAGCGGCACACGACACGATGCAGCACCAGCCCCTGACGCCCTTCTACCCCATCTTCCCCGTCAAGTCCGACGGCCACGATGTCGTCAACCAGAAGGGGCGCGTCGTGCGCAACGGGCCGACCCAGGAGCAGCTCGACCGCACCCCGAATGAGCAGGGCCAGTGCGACTTCTACCGCCTGATTGAAAAGGACGACCCCAAGCACACGGACTGGCGCAAGAAGCTGGGCGGCATGCTGCTGCGCGAGATTGGTGCCAAGGAGCATGAAGGTAAGAACTTACGACGAGAGACAGTGCAGGTCCAGAGTGAGGATGATGACATGGACAGTACTAATGCAGATTGTTCAGATAAATGGCAGCAGTGCATCCTCTGGGACTTTCCCGAAAACTACAAGCTCTACGAGCACATCAAGACAAAGGCCGACGGCCAGGCCAAGCTCGTCAAGAACCACTCGGGCGGCGGCCACGACCGTCAGGATGCATACCTGTATGGCTACCCCAAGGGCCCGCGCAAGCGCTACCGCAGCCCGGCCGACTTCTTCCCCCACCTGCTCTGGCTGTGCACCGACGAGACGAGCGACTACCAGAACTGCACCTGCAAGATGTGCTCGCCCGTCCAGCTCGATGCCGAGAAGCCCGCCGTCGCCCCGCCCGCTGTCACCGCTCCGTCTGCGACGCTGCCTCCCCAGCACACGGTTGTCGGCCGCAATCCAGTCGTCCAGATACCCGCCCGTCGACCCTCGACCGCCGCGCCCGTCCAGCTGCCGTCCGCTGTGAAGCCACCCACGCCCGCCCCCGCCCCCAGTGCGCCACAGATCCGACCACCCACCACACTCCAGTCGACGCCCCTGCCACAGCCCCGGTCCGCCGAGCAGCAGGTCGACCACCAGTACAATAAGTTCCTCTGCCGCACGGGCGAGGTCGTGTGGTTCTACCGCCCCAAGACATCAGCCTGGGGCCTGGGGCTCGTCGTGCGCCGCTGGGCCGTCAAAGACGACAAATCCTACCTCGTCCAGCCGCTCTCCCACCCCTTCGACTCCCCCGCCCAGGAGCTCGTCACCTCCGACCAGCACCTCAAGCCCTGGCTCGCGTGGTCCGCACCCTCAGGCACCTTCGCCTACCTCCAGCAGAACCCCAACCTCACCTACGCGCAGGTCGACTGGCGCGCCCTGCTCTCCGGCCAATTCGGCCAAGGCATCGCCGACGTCGACGCAAGCATCATGGCCGCCAAAGCCATTGACTCGACCTACACGCTCGCCGAGCGCCTCAAAACCACGTCCACAAACGGCATGGAAGAGCGCCACTACAACGCCATCTACCTGGGCGCCGAAAAGATCTGGCGCGGCGAAGCCGTCCGTCTGCGTATCGGCAGCGGCACAGACCTAATGGTCATCGCAGACATCATCGAGCGCCTCGTCCCAGGCCTCCTCGGCAAACAACCCTCCTCGCAAGTCTACGTCCTAGGCGACATCTACAGCTTCTCCACGCTGCCCGCCCCGGACCCAAATAACCCCCCGGACCCCCCGCAGCAAAATGCAAATATCCCCTCCCGCATGCGCGAAGACATGGCCTGGCGAAACCGCGCCCTCATCCCCATGTCCCGCACCGCAGCATACTGGCGCCTCATCTCCCCGCTCGCCCGCCTACCTATCGAAGAAATCAAGGGGAGATGGTACGAGACGAGCATTGTGTTTCAGGACTCGTTTACCAAGGCGATCAAGAATAATGAGGGCGGGAATGGCATTTGGATGAATTCTAGGGGCGATGCGACGGGGGTGGGGAAGAGTAGGGGGGTTGCCAAAAGTGATAGGGTGGGTGCGTTTGGGGCCAGTGTGCCGAAGGGGTGTAGGCTTGTGGAGGGGCTGGAGGGGGTGGTTGAGCAGCGTCAGAGTCAGAGTCAGAGTGCGCAGGGGGAGATGCAGGGCTTGGAGTATGCGCCGGCGGGGGGGCAGGAGAGCTTTGATTTGGATGATTTTATGCATGTGGAGAGCTTGGAGGATGGGGGGATGGACTTTGGGCAGGGGTTTGCGTTTTGAGATGTATCCTTTTTCTGTAAGGAGGGGAGGTGAGGGGGTCGGCATTGCGAGGCGTATGTTTATGGTAATCGATGTGTTGCATTTCAAGCTGTAGATGGGATGGGATGGGTATACCCTGGGCGCTTTTAGGTGGTGGGTTTAGGTATGGCATTTATATCTCTCATCTTCTTCTTGCTTTACTGATAATTGTTGGACGGGCCTACTAACATGTTGATATATTGCACGAGAGACAAAGGCAAGCATGGACGAATGCTTAGGTCATGTATCTCGTCGTAACGAGAAGCACAAATACCCGCTTACCCCCTGTCGTCAACTCACTTGTCAGGGCAAGAAGAACCGTAAGTCGATAACCCTTTTCATACTCATACCCATCTCCACCCCATACCCAAACCCACCCTACGTCCCCGCCCCACCACGAACACTCAACCCCCTCAGCCTCTCCTCCACCGCCCCCACAACCCCATCATCAAACCGGCGTTCCGTCTTGACAGTCTTCGGCCTGCAAAAAAGTCAGCACAATACCACCCATGCAACCAGCCTTCAAGCCAGTTCCTAGTTCAAAGGGGGGGTAAAACCTACGGCCACCTAACACACTCCCCACACCGCTCATGCCCACACCCCCCACACACCATCTGCTCGCTAGAAAACAGCGTCGCGCACTGCGAACACGACCACCGCACACGCATGCGCGGTTTTCTCCACAAGCGCTGCGCTCTGTCGGGTATCTCCTCTGCACCTGATATATTCCCACCATCTCCACTATCGTTGGCGGAATCGGACTCGGACTCGGGCTCAACGTCCCCCGGATACGCAGCGGGCCATTTCGTGCGTTTCGCGGGGTCGCGGGGACATTTCGTGCAGCGCGTGTGTGCGCACTGCGGGCAGATGGTCGCTGTATGCGGGACGAACAAGGCGGAGCATTTATGACATGTGCGTCTTATGCGCTGCTGCGGGGGGTTATACGCGCGCTCGTTCCCGGCGGGCGTGGTGGTGGAGAGGAGGAGTTTGCGGCGGCGGCGGGGGGGCAAGTCGATCTCTGTGGTTGTTTCTGCGCTGGTGTCGCTTGATGGTTGTAGAGGAGGGGGGTTCTTCTTGTTGGGGTACCGCGGACACTTTTTACACCGCTTGTGTGTGCATTGGGGGCAGGTTTTTAAGGACCCGTAGGAAGTGCCGCACTGGTGGCAGCTCCGGTGGATGCGCATGCGGATGGGCTTTTCGACGCGCTGGATGTAGGGCGCGGGGACGGGGAGGGAGATTAGCTCGTGGGATTCGAGGTTTAGGCTGTATTTTGTGAAGAGGAGGTGGGCTCGTTGTTGCTGCATGGTTGTGCGGTCGAGGGGTTGTGTGGAGGGAGGGAGTGAGGGCGTGGGTATGGGGTCGGTTTGTGTGGTGATGGGACTGATTTGGTCAGTGATGGTGAGGCATATGTTGGCTTGGAACGTACGCAGTTGTTGGGTCTTGCTCGATTGTTGTTTCTGGATGTGCGACTTGCTCAATCGTGGCGACGTTTCTTCCATCTTCATTGTCTACGACTTCTTCTGGCTCGGCGTGGCGGATAGGAGGAGCTGGTATTGACGAAACGCTCTTTTTACTCGACTTTCCTCTCCGGAATATACTGCCGAATTTCTTCACATATTTACCCAAATCAAGACGTCGACTTCCATCTTTTGCTCCCGACGGACCTGCTCCCACCGGCGACGACATTGCAATGAAGTTCAGATGAAAAATAACGAAAGAACAAATCCCAGGAGTACGGTAAACCAGTGGTGAGGGCACCCGGCCGTTAGATACGCAGATCACTTTTATTTTCTTGGGTCAGGATGAGATGTGACAGCGACAGCGACAGTGACAGCAGGAACGGAACGTCGGGACGACCGATAGCGTGGTTATATGCGCTCCAGCCGCACCTAAGTCCACCTAGGTTGCACCTGGAAAAAAGTCCCGAGGAATCCGGCAGAGGCGTGCAGAACAGTTCCCGTCGTCCAGCGCGCGGCCATGCGTAGGTGGTACAATATAACTGGCCATGGCGCGGTGTTCTGACCAGCTCCACTGGGGTAAGTAATGTATAGAATCCGATCCACACACAAGGCTAGCTGGCTAGTCGCGAGGTGGGCCGAACGATGATTGAGTCGTCTGCTCTAGCTGATCGGAGACTGGAACTTGGCATCTTGCCATTGGTGATGCAGGATGTGATCCCTTCGAGGTGAGGCACAACAGCAGCTAGCCCACCCTCGGCTGCACACAGGATTGAAGTTTGCGACTTCTCCTTGCTGGAAATGTGTGTTACGGGACAGACGGAGATGACTCCTTACCATCACGTCTGCACCATCCCACATGCCGAGTATGAGCCGGCAGTCCCATGCGCCCGTGCATCGGGTCGATGCGTTTGGTGGAGCACAAGAATCCTCCCAGGATTCCAACCTTAACGACACAGCTTGAGGATATGTAGCAAGTTAGTCGTGTGTATGCAAGTGGCTTATGGACATGGCGTATCGAGTGGAGCCCGGCGACGTGAAGGTACACTGCACCTCACACCACACATGTTGATCCTGCATTGCGACGTTTGCGCAAAGTCTATCTGCAGCATTCTACTCTACACAGCGCGTAGTGCTCCAGTTGATTTACAGCTTGCTGGGCACACATGTACTGCGCTGCGCTGGCACGTAAGGATCGCCACCATCCTCACGCCCATCACGCGAATGATGTGCAAAAAGAGGAAGTTTGTCGGCAATAGCTGGGTTCAGCCCCAGCATACGCACGTCCCCAGCGGCATCCTCGCGGCATCTCGCGGCATCCTCTAAACAAACTCAATATCACTACCTTCCGCGGAGCATGGACCAGGGATCTGTATTCCCGAGAATACTAACGACCTGGTGCTGTGACTGGACAGTACATGGCACTGTCAATCGATGAATCTAGGCTCAATTACAGAGTTTCTCATCGAAAAGCGGGTCTGGGGGTGACATACCATTTCACCTATCAATCTATCGGCCATCGTCCGCCGGGGGTATACAAAGTCAAGAATCGCACCATGTCACGCCGCTGCTTCAGGACAGGATGCCTTGTTCAAGTTCATGTCTCACGATCAATTAACCTGCCGAAGTACAATCTCTGCCTACCGGATCACCAACCAGAACCTCAAGTTCCCGACGATGCATGAGTGGGTGATTTGTCGTTATGAAAAACCAGTTCGCCATGATCCCAGATGTCGTATTGTTCATCTCAAGACTTGACCATCCGCGCATGGAATCCTGGCTTAGACAACCTCACCGACTACATCTTGTCGAACATACTAGGTCTCGCCCGTTCTCGTCCTCCAATCTTGGAGAACCTATTTTTGTTCAAATGCTGTCAGAGTCCAGAAATTACTGTCTATATCACGGCATGGGTTTTTTTACATTAGTGTAACAAAAACATCGACAACATGACGATGATTGATATGAAGAACCTGTTGCACGTCATTTCTTGTATTTGCTTTATATTCTTACTTACTTCTAGTATTGTAGTCTTGTCATGCGTAGTTGAGAGATACATGCGTGTTCCTAGTTCCTCTTTTGCGCTGTTCTATTGCGGACTACAATATGCAAGGACTGCACTGAGTGTTGTAACTGCATGTTGAGTCTGTGAACCGGGTCACAATTTCCAAGTAACTGAGATAATCCAGTTGTCATGTCTTGGTTGATCGAAATACCAGGAACCAAGGTGCAGCGAAATCATACAACAACTGGACGACCACATCTAAGATTAGGATGAGAACCTTCTGTCTAAATTCGTAATAATATACGCCTAGCATGCTTGTCTTTACTATCTTTATTGGCGTAGTTTTTCAGCTTATAGGAGCCATATAGAACGCAGCTCACTTCTTGCTTTTACGATTGATGGAGAACATGCGGGTTGTCTTTATCGATACAGGTAGGTAAAGGGTCCGTCTCCGCAATTCCGTAAGATGACGCGACCAAGACCCTCGGTCGGCTCCTTTCACAACCCAATAGTTGCGCGCTGGAATGCGCACCCTTGCAGTCGACATGCGTCGATAGGCATCCCATCTACATATTTCTACCTACTTCACCTGTACTGCCTCCGCATTGGGCGGCATCCATAGTTGCGATGGAACAAGCTGCGGCTCGCGCGTCTGCGAACGCGACTTCGTTCCTCCCTTCAACAGCTGACCTTCTTCTGGTCCTTCCCCGTTTGTTTGCCAGAGTCAGCTCGATTGGGGATATGGTCCGCACTGGAGGTAGCGTAATTGCGCAGCCGACAGCAGCAAACCTTACAAACACCACGGCAGCAATCACCTCGCAGTTCGTACAAGAGTCCATCGCAGCGGCGGCCTCGGTACCAACAGCTTCGCAGGACGACGTGGGAATGTTTCAGGCGCTGAAGAACATCGCTAGCCTCTTCACCTATCTGACATCAAAGTATGCGGTGATATGCTTCGCTCTGGTTTGTGTTCCTGCATTCATGTGCTCCTATGACCACCCACTTAGACGCGTAGGCCATCCTCCTCAACCGAACCCACTTCTACGCCTCGTCCAGAGTACCGCTCTCCTTTGACCGAATACACACGCGCGTTGCCCTGTACATTATTCCGTTGCTTCTCTTCCTACATCAGATTCACAGCCTGCTCCAGGCCATACGATGTCAGACGTCCCCTGGTTGGTCGGAAATGCAGTATGGCGCGCCTGGTCGACAACTGGATATGGATTTTGGAGGGGAGGGAGGCTATGTGTGGCGGGCTGCGTCGGCCATGCTCTTCTGGGAGAACACGGCGGAATCGTGCATGGCGGTCGACATGTTTCCCACGGATGCTGACGCGACGCGAGCCTCAGGATCACTTTCCCTCTTATGGCCAATCTTCTTGTCTCTGGGGCTCGGTCAGTTCGTCGAAACGATGGCATGCGCTCTCCAAGGCCAGCGCCCGACCCAGGAAGTTGGAATGACCATCTTCGAGCACTCGTTGGCGTTTGCTGAAGCTGAGGCCGTTGTGACCAAGCCTCTGACTATGGATACCACACGCTTCTTCAAGCCTCAGTCAGTCTTTACACCAGACGGTTCATCGCTTCTGATTCCGCGGGCGGAGCTCTCAACGATTGCTAATGTACCACCCGAGGTCCTTTTGATCGCTCTCATCTCCAGCATCAGCCACTTCACAAGCAACTCGCTCGCCATTGCGGGAGTTCGATCCAGATACAGGCTTGTAACTACTGCTATCTGGGGTATCGCATACATGTCTACCTTTGCCTGGAGTTTTACACGACTTGCAAACACAATTGCAGAGGGAGGTCAACCCGTGGGCATCTTGAGATTTCCTGCTATCTGCATCGTCGGCTTCATTCCCCATATCCTCGTAATTACTGGCATCACTGCTTGTGGTTTCATATATTTCTTGGCTATTTTCATAACTGTTCTGTCTCCGCCACCAGGCCAGCCGGGACCGTTGACTTTGAAAGAGAGGTTTGCTGCAGCAGCAGCGAACCTCAATGCTAGTATCAACTTGTCCTCCATCACACCATTGACAGTCAACTGGAACGAAGACTTCTACACTGCCATCCTCAAGGTTGGCTTCACGGTGTTGACGGCAGCTAGTGAAGCTGTATTCCTCAACGAGGGACCCAAGGTCAATATGCACTCGATGACCTGGCTCGAGAAGCAGAGATTGCAGGAGGTTTTGGTTAGACGCAGGAGATTTCGACAAGATTTGATCAACACGCCTACCGAGTTGAGAGGAGACATGATGGCGGAAGGTGTCGATGTGCTGGACAATTTTGCGGACGATGCTTCAAGTGCCGCTACGACGTCTGGTTATGCACAGGAACGCAAGGCCCGGAGTGTAAACGGTACATCACATACCACCAGAGCTGCGCGAGGGAATGACCCAGCAGGGCTTCAACAACGCAGGGGACGGTTTTTCTCAACATATCTGTTCTTCAGAGGCATTTCACGATTGATCGGGTTCATACACGCCAAAATTATTATTGCCGTCATGACAAGACTTCGGATCACTTATCGCCCCAGATGGCTCAGGTATCTTGCAGGTCCTCGGACAATTGAGAAGATTCGAGTTTCAGAGTCGCGCTCCGGAGGACCAGAACGTCAAAGAGCAGCAGAATCCTGGATCACACTCGACGACCGTTCACGTGTGCGCCTGGACAGAAATACGGATGTCGAAGAACTCGCAAGGGAGAGGCTGCGCCAGAGCGGTTACCTTGCAGAACCAGATTCGGCAGAGTCACAAGAACGTGTAAACGATTACCTCTATGCATGGTGGCGCAACGGCGGCAAATACAACGACGTTGATACAAGCGGCGATTATGTTCCCCCTCTGGATGATGATGCTACGAGTGTGGTGTCATTCGCCGAGACAACAGACGACGAGTGGTCAGATGAGGATGATGGACAACGGACGCCTACTCGAGACACGTATCAGCGCAGTCGAGAAGAGACACCATCGGCTGAGACTACCATCGACCTTTCTCGTCTCTCGCACCTTCTCGATCCAAGGACAAAGGAGGACAGGGAAGAGGCCAAACTACTAGCACGGCATCTCCAGAGTCCCAACATCATGACACGCTCGCAGTACCGGAAGGTCCTCGAGCGCGATGAGACCAAGATCCTTACGACTTCCCGCTACAGGATGGATGGACTGCCCGACACGAACATGATGACGCCCGAAGAGGAAGAGCAGGCTCTCGAGGACTTTATTCTCAATCGCCGAGAGGCGACAGCGCCTCAGGGTGCAAGTGGGGCGGGCAGTTGGAACACGGGAGCAGACGGTATGGGCGCGGATGGGCCACAATGTGTAGTCTGTCAGATTACACCCAGGACGGTGCTTGTGTGGCCCTGCGGGTGTCTGTCGCTTTGTGATGATTGTCGCGTGGGTTTGGCGTCGAAGAACTACACGACTTGCGTGTGCTGTAGGACGAATGTTGTGGCATATTCACGGTTGTATGTACCATGAGGATTTAGTAGGCATCATTAGTCTTAGTAGCAGGACGAAGCTCGTTTGTATCATGGATAAGCGCATGCTTTTTGGTGCTTTCCACCGTTCAGTTGCTCCTTCTTTCGAGTGACGATGTTCATACAGTGACATGTATGCAAATGATTTCGCAGGTATAATAAATAATATGTGGTGTTTAAGTGGAATACTTTCTATCCATAAAAAAGCAACCTGCCTTTGTTGCCACCGATATCAGCCCCACGATGGCCCCACGTTCTGCCCCTCTACACGCAGCCATCGTCATCACATAGTGCTTGTCTTGGCAAGAGCGAGTCACCCAAAACTTCATTTCCGCCTCTCGCCCGTCCACCACCACGACAGAACAATTACTCGCCCGCGCACGCACATCTCCGCCTCCGACTGAGCACTGCAAATCAGCTCGGTCAATTGCCCACCTCTGCTCTCCTCTACAAAAGTTATATGCCATCAGAGCCTACACACGCATCTGAAAACGTCCCCGCCCAAGTCGCCCCCGAGAAGCCACACCTTCCCTCCCAGCATGGACAGCGCCGCGATGATGACCCGCAGGCCCCTCTGCAGCCTCACTCGAGTGAGCTGTGGGGGGAGTCTGAGTCGCCCACGGGTGACCACGGATGCGACGCGACGCGCGCAGAGGCGGACGGCGACGACGTCAACTCCATGGAAGCCCTGGCACTGAAGGGCCTCAGGTTGTCGACGCCGCCACCAAAGAACAGGATTGCCGAATATGAGGGCGCACTGGTGAACTCAGGACGAAAGACTTCAGAGGGCCTCCTGTTTGAGGTTGTCAAGAGTAGCAGGAAGCCGGGCGACAAGAGATCTCCCATTGTGGACATGCCCAACGAGCTCTTGATTCATGCCATCGCCCATCTCTCGCCAGACGATCTTGCCGCCGTGTCCCTGGTCTCGCGCCGCTTCCATGACCTGGTCACCACCCCGCATGCCTGGCAGGTTGCCTTTGCCCGCAACTTTCCCGGCCCGGACTCGCTCGAAGATGCGGCCATTCGTGCGTCCATGGAAGACAGCGGCGATGTTGTGCGGTCGGAGAAGAGAAGGTTTTCTAGGCTTACTGCTTTGGCGTCATGGAGGAGCGAGTACATTCTACGAACGAGGCTCCTGCGTTCCTTGTATCGAGGCAAGCCTGTCCACGTCTCTTCAACGCCGTCTCGTGCCGGCCAGACACAGGCCGTTGCCCCAATGATCACGTATAACGCCCAAACATTTACGACTATCAATCATCTACACGCTACTTTTGGCACTGGGCCCAACAAAAAGGTGCCGCGCATTGTCCATGGCGCAGATGATGTTGGTATGGTGACCACTAGCGACCCCTTGACTGGCAAGGTGGACTCGTGGGGACAGGGCGATCCAAACTTCTTCGGCCAGTTTTCTGAGCGCTTCCCTGGAGTGGCTGAGTGGGGATTGGGATCTGGAGAGGTAGCAGGGCGCCCCAATGTCATGGACGTGTCACAATCCCACGGCATGATCTACGGGCAGGGCTGTCCGGAAGGCTCTTGCTACTATCGCGGTCTCGAGGAGATGCGTGGTCGTTACATCGCGGAGCCTACTGACTTCACCATGCCTGAAGCCGGCATTCCTAAGCTCGGCGTCGATGGTGGTACTATTTGCTGCGTCTGGATTGCGAAGTCCAAAACAATACCTTCTCTCTCGGATGGCTTGATTGGGATGATGATGGGCTCTGCAGCTGGTGTCGTGACAGCGTGCAGTGTTGGTACCGATGGCCTCCGTGCTTCTCGTCTACAACGCGGTGAAATCACTGCTCGCTGGGTACTCAGCCCCGGTGTGCCGATCATCGCCATCGCGGTGGATGAAAACTACTCGCTCAAACGACAATCACAAAATCGAATCTGGGCTGTGGCTCTCAATGCTCTGGGCGAATTGTTCTATCTAACCAAACTCCCGACTCGTAGTCAAGCTCCAAACCCCGACATCGAAGAGTATGCCGAGTACCTTGCGTGGCTCACCGGCCGGAGCGTGTATTGGAACGTTGTAGAACCTAGCAGACGTACGGCGAGACCTGATCCCTACAGCGATGCCGAAGTCGATGGGAGTTACTCTCCCCGATCATCATGGGATGGCATGTGCTTGAGCAAGGAGCAGGTAATTGCAGAGACCAGAGAGATACAAGAGTTCCTTCGCAAACCACCTAAGGCATTCCGGAAGTCTTGTCTTGGATGGGATATGCGAAGGCGTCTCGAGGTAGACTTTGCCGGCGACGATGGCAACTACGCTGGTGAGGCTCTCATAGTCTTCGAATGTGGACTCGAGGAAGGAGATGTTGCCGACATCACGCGCTTCAGCCGCTGGAAGACCGAGGACAAGGAGAAGAGCACCAACACCTCAACTCGGACCGCAACTCCACAAGCGTCTCACACTATGTCTATGTTCGGAGGGCCCGGAACGGGTACTTCAGATCCAGCGAAAGCGTCTCTACGTACCCGTCGTTCGTCGTACATGTCTTCTACCAGCTCACCGGAAAGGGCAAGTCTAGTCGAAGAATGGCGATGCTCAAAGTTTACATTTGGTGGCTTCAAAGGAATTCAACTCATCACTACCACTCTGGATCAGTCCACTTTCGCGACACTCACCTTGTCTGAAGACCCCGCACTAGGATTTTCGACACCTTCTACTGCATCATCGCCCTATGCTTCGCCAATGTCAGTTGCAAGTCAGCCGGCCTCTCCTTCCGACATTCCAGGTCAGCGAGCGCGGTTCGTAGCTGCCGGCACCAAGACAGGCGTTGTGCTGCTCTGGGATACCAGAGCTCCTGTCTCGCGCTCGGCCGAGTATCCGAATAACATCGAACCTCTTCGCATCATTTACACCGAGTCCCCTGAGATTTCTTGCCTTGCTCTGACCTCGCTCCATCTTGTTGTTGGTGGAAACGACGGCTTGGTGCAAGCTTGGGATCCTCTTGCATCTAGCATGTCGCCTATCAGAACACTCAACTCACGGTTCTCCTCACGCGCGCGCAGACGGCTCGTCCAAGCACAGGCTTCTGTCCAAGGTGTTGGTATAAACATGTTCGCCGCCGGTGCCGTCTGTCTCGACCCCGATCCGACCGTCTTGCGTGGAGCAGTCTCACTGGGCAACCAACTTCGTTACTGGAGCTACAGTTCCTCGGCCGCAGATCAGTACAAGAGCAGCAAGCGCCGTCTTCGCCGCTCTGAACGTGGGAGCAACAACGTCGGTGAGCGCTTCGCTGGCCCCGGCCGCGTCAATCTCAAAGACTACATTGCCAACGAGCAATTCGAACTTGAGCGTGATGAAGTGGAGCGAAGGAAAACCGCGGATCGAATGGCAGGGCGCTTTGGCACGGAACTGCTGGGCAGCGAAGAAGAGGCTCTCGCTTACGCGGCGATGCTGTCACAAGAGACGATGGAAGCAGAAGAGAGGCAGAGGCAGATCGACATTCTGCTTGTCAGCGAGACGGTTGCACCTGAGCCTATTGTTCACGGGCAGTCCTCGGCTGCTCCAGTCGACGCCAAAGACGACGTCGACATGGAGGCAGACATTGCAGAAGCCATCCGTCTCTCGTTGCAAGACGACGCTGCCGCAGATGTGTATGAGATCAGCTCGCCCCCAGTCTACACATCGAGTTTCGACATTCCGATCAAATACGCCAAGGGCAAGAAGTTTGCGTCGCCGAGGAAAGGGAAAAATGCCGCTGGGTCGAATGACCAGGATGGCATGTCGGATCTGGAGTTTGCGATGCAGTTGAGTCTTGCCGAGGAGCAGAGTCGCAGGGAGATGGAGGGGGAGGAGTTTCCACCGCTGAGTCCTCGGGTCAAGGGGAAGGGGAAAGCGAGGATGCTTTGATTTTATAGTATAGTAGTGCGTTGCTTATGGGGTTGTGGGTTTCGATTCGATAGTGATGTTTTGAGTGAGAGGTAATGCCAAAGTACGATGAAATGTTTAATACTGCGATTATGAATTTCTACCTAATTTGATCCTGTTTTATGCAGACTTAATGCTATTCACGTGCTTGGCTCTCGACCGATGGAAGTCTTTGCCGATTAGTCATTGCGGTAGCTTGGCAGTGTCAACACGTTGAACTCAGGGGAAATGCAGGGATTACTGGGAAGGATTCTGCTGACGGACCAAAGACGCTGAGGGAGTCGGACATTTGTGAAGCGTCCATGGTGTGCTGCATGTACGATAAATCACCGATCGCACCTACGAGAATTCACACACAATGGAAAAGCGTTCAGGGAGTGGCGCAAATAACCTCAACAGTGCTCTAGTCAGGTACTATTTCGGGTGGCTCAAACAAATGTAACAGGGGAAATGCATCTGACGTGCAGCCAATCAGGTGATGGCATGCTCGTATTGCGATTCCCCCGGCGTGGATCATTAGCCCAGACTACCTCCTCCTCGTCTTGATAAAACCCTTTGTTCTTCCTCCTCGACACATTCATTTTTCTCACGTCAGCTCAACTCCCACCGTCTCTTCCGCCGTTTCCTACCTTACCAAGTCACTCTTTAGATTCCCATCTTTAATCATCATGCGCGTTGCATCTGTCCTCGGCGCTGCTGCCACTCTCCTGAGCGGAGCTTCTGCCCAGTCTGTTCTCGGATTCAACTGCGGCGCGACCAGCGACACGGGCGCGGCCAAGACACAGGCCGACTTCGAGAAGGAGTTCAAGACGGCGCAGAACTTGGACGGCGCCCCCGCCGACTTCAACACCATCCGCCTGTACTCCAACATCCAGGCCGGCACCACCGACTCGCCCATCGAGGCCTTCCCGGCTGCCATCGCGACGGGCACCAAGCTGTTCCTCGGTATCTGGGCCTCGGGCACTGACAACATCGACAATGAGCTCAAGGCCCTGTCCGCCGCCGTCTCTGCGCACGGCACAAAGCTGACTGACCTGATCGTCGCGCTTTCAGTCGGCAGCGAGGACATGTACCGTGTCTCTGACGCCGGTATCCGCGCCAAGGCTGGTGTCGGTAACGGCGCCGAGACCATCGTCGGCTTCATCCGCGATGCCCGCTCCAAGCTCAAGGGCACACCCCTTGCCAACGTCCCCATCACCCACGTCGACACGTGGACCGCCTGGGTCAACACCACCAACAAGGCCGTCATTGACGAGATTGATTTCCTTTCCGTCAACGCCTTCCCCTTCTACGAGTCCGAGAACGACAACCGCGTCTCCAACGCCGGCAGCCTCCTAGATGTCGCCATCTCCTCCACCGAGGGCGTTGCCGGCGGCAAGGACGTCTGGGTCACCGAGACGGGCTGGGCATACACGGGCCCCAGCTTCGGCGCGGGCGTGGCCACGGTCGACAACGCAGAGACATACTGGCAGACAGTCGGCTGCCCGCTGTTCACCGAGAGGAACACTTTCTGGTACACGCTGCGCGACGCCAACCCAGCCAACCAGGTCAAGTTCGCCATCACCGACAACCTCTCCACCACCCCCCGCTTCAACATCAGCTGCCCGACCAACAAGTCCTCCCACAAGAACTCCACCTCCGGCAGCAGCACCAGCAGCGGTAGCACACACACCGCCTCGGGCTCCAGCTCAAACACCGCCTCCGGCTACAGCGCACACAGCACCGGCTCCGCAAACGGCATCTACGGCTCAAACAGCACCGGCTCCGCAAACGGCACCTGGGGCTCAAACAGCACCTCCACCGGCCAGGGCTACAACTCCACCTCCGGGTCGGGCTCCGGCTCCGGCTCCGGCGCCGGCAGCCTCGCTACCCCGACCGTTAGCGGTAGCGCGTCTCAGTCTACGGGCGCGGGATCTCTCATCTCCGTCTCCACTGTTAACTCCATGGCTATGGTCATGTCTGTTGTCTTCGCCTTGGGCGCTTGGGCTTTGTAGACTGCATAGAACTGGAATTGTGCGTGCTTGATGCTGTGTGTGTGGGCTGCATTTGTTAAGGTGTTTTTTGGCTTTTTAACCCCGCGCTGGGGCTGTTGTGTAGGATAGTTGGGGGGAATAGATCGGCTGTTTTTTTCTATCATGTTTTGACTGTGCTTTGTTTGTGTGATGTGATGTGATGTGATGTGGTTGGTTCTCTTGAGGGGTGGTTCAAAATGGTCTTGTGTGTTGCATGCTTGAATGTCGAATTGGGTCTTTGGTGTTTACTTACCCGTCCTATACTCATCTAAATCGCAAGTCAAGCTCCGTATATCCACACCCCATCGCGCCCTTCCCAAACTCGTCCAAGTCCCCCAAACGCCTAATCCCAAGAAAGCACCTACACTACAAAATATACCAACACCGTCCAGTGCCGACGCGTACATTTCTTCCGGCATCCAAGTAGGTCAGAGAGAATAGAGACCACACCACATATCAACGCACCAGATGGAAGATTCTTGCAATATAGGCTGTGTTAGAGTACATGGGGACTTGGGGTTCGTTTGTGTATGCTTCCTTTCTCTTCGTGGGGTATATATAGCTCCAGCCCTGTGGGGCGCGAGGTATGCACTGCATATGGGATGAGGTGTGGGGTGTAGGTTTGAGGCCGAGGTGTACAGGGTGGGGTGCGAGTGGGATGTGTGGTCGTTGTTGTGATGGGATTTTGGTTCAGGGTGATACGATGCGGTGGGTAGGATGTCGGTGGACTTGGGGTATGGCATTTCGTTATGTCGTGTACGTAGTATGAATCGAGTACGTGTGTCTATACAGAGGAGATCGAATGGCGGTGTTTTTGTGTTGATTGTGTAGGAGTGGTCGGCTGATTTTGTACGTTATTCTTGATGTTAGATGGGAGTGAAGAAGGACGGAGATGGGCTTGGAGGTTATAGAGCAGACAGTTCACTGTTCTTTCGAGGGCTTTGTATGGGCAAAGAGCTACATAGAAGAGGTGGGTTTGGGTGGGCAATCGGCGGCTGTGTCTTGAGAGGGAGGTTTTGCTCTGACTACTTGTTTTTGTTTGGCGCCAGGATGAGGTGTTTCAATATATTAGCGAGCTGTCCTAGTAAGGGTGTGCGTTTAGGTGTGTTAGGGGGTTATTGTTTAGGGAATCATGGGGGAAGTTGGTAGGAAGGAGGATTGGGTAAGCAGAGAGCGTATGTATTGAGGGAACGAGTTCTCACCTGATAACGCTCAATGTAGTTCGGAGCAAAACATCCCGCACGCATTTAGGGACTATACTGTCAGTGAACATTGTACACTATGCGGACTACATAGCCCTCTAGTTTCACTACTAGACATACTCAGAAAGCTGACCTGCTCACGCCACGCAGTAGCCCGCATCAACGTCTTCCCGCCCCCAAGCATACCCATCCTCCACGAGGCCTTACAACCAGTCTCAAGATCCAGGACCAGCCACTGACGAACCCGCCAGTCTCGATACTTACAGTCCCCACTCCCACAGCAGCCAATGTACCCTTGACCACACCATGTCTATCCCTGTTATCAATACTCAACGAAACACGCGATTTCCCATTCTCGCAACGCCACGCATAAGCTGATGTTCCTGTCGACATGCTGATTGGTCTGTTCGCACTCGATCACGTGCAGGGGGCCTTTTATGTTCCATCGCCCAATCGGTGCGTGAGCGCTAGTGCCGAACGGGAAATGTACGAACGTGGAGTACGTGCGCGGGTGTGGTAAAAGCAAGGGACGGGAAGGAGAGGATGGGTTGGATGGGAGTACGACGCTGAGGTGCTATCTTTAGCTGGGGGGTTTGGGTTGAAAAAGGTCGTGGATGCCGGTTTGTGGGTGGGTGTATTACGCTCTTTTTTATTCTCTTGACGAGTTGCTACCTGCGTCAATTCATTCGTTGTAGACCTTCGTTTAAAGTCAGTGTGTTGGTACGATCAAGACGCTTTTAACGAACTGTCGCTCTCTTACATCGATTAGAGTTGACTTATCCATCTCCACAAGTCCTCGACATCTTATTCGAGGCAATACCTACTACCATCCGTCTGTCGCTCGCTCGAACAACCCCTTTGTCGTCACGCCTCGATCCACCAAATACACGCACACAATTCTGGTCTGCACGACTCCTCACCCAATCCTACCACACACTACTACCGTAGCTATGGCCCCCCTCCTCCGACGTACCGACAGCAACATGGGCTTCGCCATGGCGCCCGCCCTGATCGTGCTATGCATGATGGTCGCCGGCCTCATGCTTGTCTGCTGCGGCTATGCCATACACAAAACCTTTGGATTCCCGGCCAATGGAAACGAGTTCAAGCCACTGAGTGAAGAGCAGTGGTCGTACATGAAGGAAGTCAAGGCGCGGAATATGGATATGCTGGCGTATGAGGGGCGGATGGTGAAGAAACAGGGGAAGGCGGTACATATGGATGGGTAGGGAAGGTATGCGGTGGAAGTTTGAGGGATGGTGATAGGATGGGAGGATGTGGAAGGGGTATTGATCCTGAGGGATAAGGTGAGATAGAGCATCTGAAGGTGTTCTATGGGTAATGGAGAGAATAGAAAACAAGTATATCCATCGTTAACATATCGACGTTGTTCGTTTGGAGAGAGGTGTTTTGCAATATTGTAGGTCTCGATTGGTTGGTATCTCTATATGCCTACTTATATGTAGCGGGTGTCAGCGCTGATGTCATTGTTGTAACTTTCGTCAGATTGAAGCCGACGACGAGGAATATTGTCCTTTTTGGTCACATATATCGACCCTCCAGCATATTGGTCAGGTGAGAATAGTCATTCCAAACCATTACAAAACGATGATGCCATCGCTGGCCGTCCTTCTGGCTCATTCGGAATCAGCTGGAACTCTGTCCAGACGATTGCGTATCACAACGGTATCGTACGTGACGAGGCGGAGGTTGAGACACTGCTGATATCCAGGTTGGGAAAACGTCAAAGACCTGGACGATCATAACGATGGAAGACGACAGTGAGAGGGCAGACGTTCGGAGATTGGAACAGCACAAGTTCTTTGTCTAGTACGTTTTAGGTCTAGTACTGGGCGCGCGGAACTTCGCGATATCGACATCGCTCTTCAATTCTCAACCACGTATCACAACCCAGGTGATTACTTGATGTCCGCGCTCAGAATTGGCAGGTCGCCTCTCGGGTCGCTATGCCCGGCGACCCGCTGTCCAGGCTTCGCGTTATTCGGCCCACCACTTCGCAGACAGGTCCAGGCGCATGGCCTACTACGGCATCCGGTAGGAGTTTCGACAGTCCGCCAGATCGGCACTAAACCTGGGAAAAAACAATCAACGCCTCCAAAGCAAACATTACGTGCTACATCATGGCAGACCGACAAGAGGACTGGAAAACAGACAAAACTTCCACCAGGTCACATAGAACGTAATGAGTTGGGTGGAGCATATAAATGGGTTGAAGATCGACTAAAGATAATAAGAGAAAAACAACTGCAGAAGATGACTTCGCGGCCAGGAGATCCCGTGTTTGACATAAACGATATGCCGGATTTTAGTGGAATCCCGTTTACAACAGCTGTGCGATATGTACGCCCTGCAATCTGGGCCATCGCAGTATCAGGCGGCATCTTCATCGGCCTATCCTACCTCGAAGCAAAGAAGCAACTCAAGTCTAAATCCCCACAGCCCTGGCTCCAGTCGTCCCCAGAATGGAGTACCCGAAAGCCCGCACCCCCAAGCCTAACTGAACTCGCAACGAAATGGGGGCAAGACCTCGATCCCATATCCCGACTGACTGTTGGTATCATCGCCGCAAATAGCGTTGTACATCTGGCCAGCTTCGTCGTACCCCGTTACTGGGACGCCCTCTGGCACCAGCCAACGCGCAACCGCAACTACACTCTCCTCACCTCGGTGTTTGTGCATGGGGGCCTCACACATCTCGGGGTGAACATGTTCGGAACACACAGCTTCCTGGGTCCCGTAGGTCATTCGCCGCTCTTCGAGGGCAGCGCGTACCACGCACTCTCGTTCTTCCTCTCCGTAGGCATTCTCTCCAGCTTCGCACAGCACTGGTCCACCCTGATCGCGCCGCGAAAGCGACCCCTACCTGCAGTCTTCATCCGTTGCGGAGGCGCGAGCGGTGCGCTCTTTGGTCTGCTCGGCGTCTTCTGTTGGCAGTACCCAACTGCGCAGCTGGGCATCTTGTTTTTGCCATTCCGGATCGACGCGCAGCAATTTCTGCCGTTCCTTATGGTCTTCGATTTCGTGGGCATGACGCGAGGGTACGCATTTGCGAACCTTGGGCACGCGGTACGTCTCTTACTCTGGGCTTTGGCACACCGACTAATTCTTCGTAGGCTCACTTGTCGGGTGCGTGCCTTGGCCTCGCGTACTCGCAGTTCGACGGCAAGAACAGGATATGGAACCCGCTTGTACGGTTCTGGAAGCGTCAGCTGCAGAGTGGTTTGAAGTCTGAGTGAAACTCGTCTCGGAGCGAATAGGACTCCAACACGGAGTAGCCTAGATGTATGTACAATGTTTGTCATGAATATAGCCGAGTATCTCGATATACAACGTACCGTGAAGACATTGTTGTTTCAGTTAGATGTGAAGTTCGATAATGGCAAAGGGTAAAAAAGAATATGAGGATGTTCGAATGCCTAAGTAAGCGCATGGTATCAAGGAGCTGGAGTTGCTTATTCGTGCTTGTGATACATCATATGGTACATTCACTCGCCGATGATCTGGTCTACGCTCTCGTACCAACTCAAGCCCATCGCCCATCAGAATCCGAGAACCCCTTCGCTACGCGACGCAAAGCTTCCAGAGAACAGTCACCTAATCCACATCCTCCGCTTCGAGCTCCGTCATTTCAGCCCTCACTTCTGGCGCATCCAGCTCGCGGACCCTCGACTTGAGCTTACTCGCTGCACCTTCAGGCGCGCCTAACAGCTGCCTAAACATGTTCGCGTTATAGTAGCCATCCTCATCCACCTCATCAGGGATGTCCGTCCATCCCAAGTCCCGCAACAGCTGACGCGCCGCTACCCCCATCTGCTGTTCACAGCCAGTGCAATACCAATGGCTCACCTTCTCCACACCCAGCTTCTTGACACACGATTTGTGGAAATAGCCGATATCGCAGTCGCGGTACGAACACATGACCATAGTCCTCGCATCGTACCTCTCTGGCGCCTCACCGTAACAATAACACATATATGCTGTGTCCTTGCAATCAGTAGTCTTGCGCTGAAATGCTAATAGCATCTTCCTCGTGATTTGTTTCTTCATGGCCTTGTTCGTCAGGCGAATGCGCTCGAACGTACGCTCCTGCTCCATCAGGGGACCGCGATTGTATCCGTCTTGGAAGTCTGCATATTCGAGGGCCAAGCGCTGGGGCATGTCGGCCAGTCGGTTGATGATGCTGGAGGGGGTTCGTAGATGACGGGTGGGCTTGTCGTTCATAAGCCACATGGCCATATCGTCGTCTGCGAGCATGATGCGGCCCTTGAACGTGGGGTCTCGCTCGTATATCGCTTTCAGATTCTCGCCACGGAGACGATTGTAGGGGCCGGAAGAGCATATGTCGTCAGGAGAGCCGGGGTAGATGAGGTAGCATTGGTCGGAGACCGGGTCGACACATGCGCAGTCTATGAGGTGGATCAGTATGGGGTCTTCATGCTATGATACTTGTAAGACTTACGTGGCTTGTGAAATGGGCAGTCTGGAATGTCATTGACTTCGAACAGACACGTGGTGCCGTGTACGCATCCTGAGTAAGTCTGCAGGCATGGTGCGGTCAGTTGATCGACCATGAACATGCGTGTGAACTTCATCCAATGTCTATGTTTACCGTGGTGCGTGACTCGTATGGGTGGGAGCGATGAGGATATTGACACCAGACGAGGAGGCTTGGACTCAGATACGTATTCATCCTCGTCTTCGATATTGGAGTTATAGGACTGAACAATCTCTTCGGGTGATGAGAGGCTGACTTTTGCCGTCTCATTTCGCCCAGGAATGATTATATCGTTGTATTCTCGATCAACAGGTGACAACACACTAGTCGATGGCGCACTTATATGGTCGTCAACCTCTTCAGAGCCATCATTGTCTTGCGACGGAGCATCCTCTCGCACAGTGATCTTCTTGGCCTTGCGCTTTGCCTCCCGCTGTACCTTCTTCGCCTTCTTCTGAGAGACGGCGGGATGGCCGACAGGCTCACCTATAGGCGTTCCGAATCCCTCGGGTTCGTTCAAAATGACAGACTTCCCGACAGAGGGTGCCTGCACCGCGGGAGCCCGAGTTTCCGGCGACTCTGGCTTCTTCAGTTGTGGATGAGATATATCCGGGTACTCATGAGCTGGAAGAGTGATAACTCGAGAATCGTCGGATTTCATATTTCCATCGAGAGTGCGTAGTTGAGACTTCCCGCCCCATGTGGCCTTGACTACCGTCGACCAAGGCGAGCTGGAATGCGGCATGCCGAATGGGTGCTGAGTGTTCTCAGTCTCGATCTTTGGAGCCTTGATGTTTATTACTTTCAGCTGAACAGTATGACTTCCCGGGTTCGAGATGGGTGACATGGATAGTAGAGGAGCGTGGTAGGGCTCGATGACTACAGTGTGAACTCCGTCGTTACCATTGATCCTCCTATGGATCTTCTGGAGATGTCGATGATCAGGAGTGTGGATAGAAGAACTTGGTCGTGTCGGTGAGTTCTTCTGTAGTTTGCTGTTGGACGGTGGTCAGAAAGGAAGTTTGGCGAGTGTATGTCTGTTAGAGAAGATGATGATACGTGAGCAGACCTTTGCTATCGCACCCGTCTAGGGATAGACCCAAGGAGTCCCGAGTGAGAATTTGCCGATGTCGAGTCACGAAGTGTGAATCCTACCGAGCCATCTCCATCACGTCCAAAACAAGTAAAAGCTGGACGCCCAAGAACAAACGCCCAAAAGAAAACAATAGCACATGTGACAAAATGAGGAACAAACGTACCTTTGCAGCATCATGGTTTCCTCTATCAGAGTATCAGCCGGAGAGGTGATACCACTCGAATCGCTCGAGGTGGGTGCTTGGATGCGCTCTCCCGTCTTCCAATCCTTATCCGTGTATCTGTCCTCCACGATACCATATGCAGTCTTGTTTGTATATCGGAGGTACCCTGCTCTACGCATCCTGACTTCGAGAAAGTCCTTCTTGACTAACACAAGATCATCGACGACCGCCCTCTTGAACTCAAACACCAGCGTTTGGAACGTCTTAAGCTCCTTGCCTTGTAGGCCTCTAGTTCTAGTGTTGCGCTTGACAAGCTCGCTGATGCGGAAGGTGTCGAGGATCCTCTCCATCTCGGCGTCGAAGTCGACGTCAGCATCAGGAAGCTGGGCGAACTTTCTGAGGTCATGACGGCTCGAGTTGCTGTAAACATGCGCGTTGAAGCGGAGGTGCTTCTCGATCTCGTCGATTTCTTCGGGGTTGCAAGGGCCGTCGGCCTCGCTGCCGGAAACGCCTTCAGCGGAATGAAGCACCGAGTCGACGTAGCGAATCTCCTCCTGGGTGATGACCCTTGATCTGCTTGCTGCCCTGGCCAGTCGCTTTGCATCCTTTCTGTCTCGCTTAGACGACAGTGTGTCTCCAGGTGTGGGACTGTGATCAATTTCTTTACTGTCAGCCGACCGGGCATCAGACTCTCTTCCTCTCTCACACTCATCATTCTCAGAGGGCACAATGTTCCAATTGCCCTCACTACAGCTCTCATAAACGCCACGCAGCTGTTCGGCGATCTTGTGGTGGCGTGTGTAGTGAGCCTCGTCAATCGTGTGGCAGTAATGGCAGATGTGCCCCCGACCACGCATAAACATGACCTTGGAAAGATGAGTAATGCCAGCGATATGAATCTGGAGGACGACTGACCTGATGGAATCTATGACATGGTTCCGCGTGGGTTCCAAAGCATGAGGCACGCGCACCAGGATGCGAAAGGGGTCGCTCGCAGAAGCCGCAATGGTGTTCTGTTGGTCAGCATCCATCTCCACGTACAGAATAGCAGCCGTGACAGGTACCACAGACGCCAGCTAGCGCCATTGAATCGTAAACTTACTGAGACCCGGGGTATCCTCCCACCTAAAGAGAAGACTGTTGACCATGGTGCTGGGCGCTCGATTGCGCGTCTGTCAAAGAACGACAAGTGAGTTGAGCTGCGTCGGGGGCGTGGGGTTGGTGTTGTGAGCAGAAAAACACGGGGATTTTGTAGGGAGAGGTCCTCTGTGGGATAACAATTTCGCATACCCGCAGTGAAGGCCAGTATTGCGAGGGGTAACGGAAAGAAAGCGGGGCAGAACAAGAGGGTGCCTGGACCTGCCACTGTTTTCACCAAAACACTTCTTTGCGCAAGGAAGGAGCAATTTCGATTTGAATTGATGTAACTGACAGACAGGGATGGTTTGACAGAGACAGAATTTTATGTAAAGACGACACCAAGATTTTGCGATACAATAGCTTCGAGACGATTTGAACTTGCGGTCAACAGCGAGTTGTCGAGATGCAGTCAACCGCGATGTTTCGCGACGAACTCAGACTAGCCAAAACAGGACAAACAGCAAACGCATAACGCCAATTTGAGGTCGTTCAAAAAGATATGTATAGCCAATATACGAGACATTTGAGTTGTTGCATATCGTGACACGCGATCTTGTCATGCGCACAATCAGACATTGCCAAAGCACAGCTAGATATCAGTGACTATGCGAGCACCAGCCCAAACATAAGGGTAGTTGCGCTGGTACCAGTTTACGCTGTGAGATGTGAGCAGCTTTCCCTGACCAAATTTGTAACGATCACCTACAATGTCTTGCGCCCAGCAATGCGTGGATGCGTCGCCCATGATCCACCAAGAGCAATATTGTGTTTGTCGTCGAAGAAGTCCGCTTGCATGTGTTAGTACGTGTCTCCCCTTGTAAAAACATATACATACCTGTGTAGGCGGGATACAACTCCATCGGTTCGAAACCGTCTTGTTTCTCCAACACAGTACTGGTCCACTCCCAAACACCGCCCAGGTCAGACTGTCCGCAGAGCTTTCCGCCCTTCTCGACGACAGAGACTGGGTGCCAGTGTTTGAAACCCACGTTAGTCTCTTCAAGATCGATGAAGAGATCGTGTGGATTAGGACCAGCTACTGCACTGGAGGTGCCGTTCAAGCAAGGACGTGATGGTGGCGATTCGTCAACGCCATTGTTGATCAAATGACTATGGGTGTTAGTCGTAGCCTTCGGAACACTCTGGCATCAGTGCAGCGTACCTGTTGACAGCTGGAATCGTGTTTCCGTGGGCTTTCTCGATTGCCTGTGTCTTCTTCTGATCAACGTATTTGTAGATGCTTCGCGTCTCTTCCATCGTGGGGATCCGGCCGCCCATCCACTGAGCGCAACCCATCAGCTCATCGTAAGAAGCCACGACAGGCCAGTCCAGAGCATATTGGAGAGGAATAGCTCCATACACAGTGCGCACGTATTTTTCTTCGGTGAGTTGCTGGGCTAGATTGTTCATGCCATCGTGATGGCCATTGACAATATTGTCATTCTCATAACCGTTCGATGGCACATTACTAGTGCTTGAGAGCTCGCACCAAGACGCAGGTATCAAGGTCTTGCCTGTCTTCGAAAGGTACGCCGCATACTCGCCATTAGTGATTGGACGAGCTTTTGCGCGGAACGACTTCACGTCTACCGAGCGACGTGGACTCTCATTATCCCAACCGAAATAACGTTCGGTGGTGTAGTCATTGTCCGGGTTATCGAAACCCACGTTGATGGTCGACTTGGGAATTGTGAACCACTCATTCTCGACTGCGAGAGTCGATGATTGTCGGGCGAGTGCTGCAAAGTCTGGTGTGACGGTACCCGGAGGCGGTAAGACTCTCTCACTCTGCACCAGCATGTAAAGGAGGGTTTCCAAGTGCATTACCTCGTGCTCGAATCCGAGCCACATGGCGCGTGACACGCGAGCGTTTGATTGTGCCTCTCCAGACTTGTAAAGAGCTCTGGCTCTAGCTCGAATAGTCTCCTGATGCTGCAGAATTTCAGCCAGTGGTGGCCATGTGTCGGGTATCTCCGAGTGAGCGTGGCATTTCTCAGGGTCATCAACATCAGGATCGATACCGCGCTCAAAGATTGTCCAAAAGTATGCCGGATCAGATGGCTTCCCGTTTGTGCCACGTGCGATATGAATGTCGAGAAACGTCGGAATATGACCCAGGTAAAAGATGCACGCATTTCGTAGGTTGATAGGTTTGGAGGCAAGCTCGTCTTCCGGGATCATCTGGCGGGTCACGGCATCCCAAGCCTTCCAAAGCTCTTCCCATTCAGAGATAGAGGGAACAGGCCTGGTAGCGTACTCCTCTGGTTTTGTCGGGAAGAAGACAGCTGGCTTGGAGACAAGATGAAGACCTGATAGAGTATCAATGATTGTAAACGGAGAACGTTGTAGATCACTTACCATAATCACCTTTCGAGTTAGCCCATACACTACTTTCGGCAAGACGAGCCCCTTCCCAGAGCTGCGAGATCTCTTCGCGGGAATATTTGTAACTCTCCTCGATGCGCACCCTCTCACCCTTTGAAATGTGGACACCATCAATCTCAACATCTTTCAAAGGCGAGACAAAGGCCTGATGACGCCCGGTCTCACTTTCATACTCCCCGACGACTTCCCAGTCGCCGCTAATGAAGGCGTCCTGCTTCAGGAGTCTATTTGCATGCTTGAGGCCGTTGAGGATGAATTCGTGAGTCACGTTCTCTTGATCGTTATAAGCGTGGAATACGCGGTCCGAATCCTTGCAGGAGTCGATGGCTATAAGCATGCTATCGCCTGACTGGATAGCATCTCTGAAACCGGCTAGAAACTGCGCTGCCTCATGGCGCTTAAAGTTGCCTAGACTGGATCCTAGCCACAATATGGTCTTCGGCTTCTCACTGGCCTTGGAAGACTTCAGCCAATCAAGGGCATGGTCATAGGTCCCGTGAAGTCCGTAGCATTTGACGTGTTTGTACCCCTCTGCGGTAGCTGTCAGTGAAGCCTCAGTGGGAGATCAAAAGTCGTTTTGCTCGGGATGTTTTCTGTCGTATCACACACACGTGGCTGATGGATGAGATGTAAATGGGGATATACGTAAGTCGAGACCACCTATCTCGACCACTCATCTTCAATCAATCTATTATCGCACGATGAAGGCAACACCGCCTCGCAAGATTGATCTTGTCTAGTTTCGATGGAGCGTCATGATAATTGAGATGGAACTCACCCGTAGGAATCTGTGCAAACGTTCTCTTGAGTTCAGGCAATGATAGATCAACAGCGTAGTACTCGACATCTTTGCCAAGACGATCAATTGCCCCCAGCAGAATATTGACTTTGCGAAGGTTGCTGGGAGAGCATTAGTATCGACGAAGCGCACAGCCTGTCTCCAATTCTTCATAATACGGATGTGGCCCTACCCGCTCCCAAGTTCCACAAGAACTGAGCCCGATTGGATACGTTGTGCAATCTGATCTGCATAGGTCTCCAGTACCTCAATCTCGTCATTGGTCAGATAGTACTCATCGAGAAAGGTGATCTCCTCAAAGATCCGCAGACCAGCTTCATCGTAGAGCAGTAACGTGGGAAGCTTCTTTTCGGCGTCATCCTCGGGTCGGAGACCTTTCTTAATATGCTCTAAGATGTCGAAGTCGGAAGAGCCGACACGAATGTCGATGATTTTGGTCGTTTCTGCCGTCATAACTGTGCAATATTTTGAACCAGATGCGATTGACCAGTCAATGGTCCTAGAAAAAACGCTCTACCAAGGTCGCGTAGTATATATATAGTGCAGAAACACCACGTAATGTCAATTATTAGGCTATTCAATGACGGCGTAACCGACAGATTAGTGCGGGAAGTATATAAGCACACGCTGCTATTAGTGGCTACAGACGTATATTTGAGCAGCTTTGGTGTCTCCACGGCTGCCGTGCGGGTAGCAAATCATGACACATGGGGTTCTCACGGTTGGAGACGGTGCGTTGGACTCGCAAACCTATCTCAACGGCTGTATTCTACCATTGTCCATTCAACCCACACAAGAAGTGGCAAAATCATGCTGTCTCGGCTTGCATCTTTGTGTAATCTTTCAACGATGACGTCCTACGAGCGTAATGAGGGGCAGTCCCTTTGAACGGCCTGGTCTTGGCACTGCTAGTAAGCTGATCAGCAACATGCTGAATTTGTGGTCATGAAGCTGCGCGCAGCCGTTGCCAGCCGAAAGCTGAGAGATTTCGGGAACGTAGGTTGTGGAGTGATCAAATGGCTCACAGCAATGATGGCGTAACAGGGCAATAAATCATCCAATGCAGTTGAAAGGACATGAAAATCAACACATCGCTTTAGTCGCAGTGGTCTGATACTAAGCGGGAGGTGGGCCAAATGTGGGGTTCTCGACACTTCATGGACACTCTCATGGACACTCGAACTCTGCAGGATGTCAGGGCGCACCTTCCGCTAAATAATCTGTCCGTAACGGGTTGTAGCGCGCGGGTTCTCGCCGAGCAACCGATCGGTCCCAACATCAGCATGCAACCAACGATGTTAGTTTCGCGGCTTGCGAGGAGTATTGGAGACGAGGAGTCGTCTACTTACTCCTCAAGCATCGGATGACTTTGAGGGAGAGATGAGTAGCGGGATGAGCGATAGTGTGCTGGATGGGAATTTATGCAGATCGCTCATTACTGCAGTCTTCCCACTCTTCCACTCTACCAAACATGAACGCTCATCGCGAAGACAATAGGAATTAACACGCTTTGAAGCCTCTTTTGCGGTTCCGAAGTGCTCGTTGCACCCCTTGCATGCGTACGTACGGCTGTTTTGCGAAACTCGCCAAAATGCGATCGACCATCACAGCACAACGTAGAGCCACAGTCAAATTTCTGGCTTTTACATGCGCAAGTTCAGCTGGAAGCTCGGCCCCTACTATAAGGCCATCTACAACATGACCGTTCGCGAAGCCGGCCTTATTAGAGGCTCCCCTTGCAGCTTAGACGCCTCGCAATCCGTCCTCCAACGCCCTTCGTGAACTGTCTCCAGCTCGGAGGTTATCAGATGCCACGATAAAGTTTGCCCTCAAAGATGGCCAAACAACTGGTTGTGTCACGTACGTAACTCTCCTTTGGTGAGCGACTCTGTTCCAGGTCGGCATTAGTTCTTTGAGAACGATTCTCATGAGTGTATAAATCTTGACCTCTTCTATTGGAAAGATGCCACATGCCTTGGCAAGGAGCACCACCACTACTTCGTCGACTACCTATTGACATCAGCACGGGCATAGCGTACTACTCGTCATCTGAAGATAACCTTGAAGACCTTGGCTAGGTATGCATAACAACCCTTATATCCAGTGGCTCATCCTTTTGCCATTCTGGTAGTAGTGGCAGTTTGAATTTGGTAATCTAGGGAAGGGAACACTTGTTCAAGCGAGCCTGGACCCCCTTTACCTTTTCCCTATTGGTGGTCCAGCACAATAGCACCATGTATCTGACGATCTTCTAGTGGCTCACAGACACATCCCCCTCGTTAAGCCTGTTATGAATCGACGTTGTGCCAAATACCTGAACTTAGATTCGAAATCTCGCAGGACACCAGCTTTCAAACATGACGGCATACGGCTGATATGCTCTGACCTTCAGATAATGTGATTGCTGTGTGAATACCCGTGTAAGTGATGTGGCACCCTTTGTTACCCATTCATCTGCAGTGAGGCACCTTCCTTAGGCAGGGATGTGAAAGACGTTTTGCCAGATGGGGCAACGCCATCAACGATATGGCTTGAGATGCCGCCGTTAGTGATTCCTTGTTCAAGGATATTGTCTGGGCAAGCTTGTCCGAGAAGCTCGTCCCGCCACAGGTTCAATCCTTGCGCGTCCATAACAAGGGCATCACAGAGTTGAGATTCTACGCTTGAACGTAACCGCTCTCGTCAATGATTACCTCTGTATTCGCTTTTCTACTTTTAACCCAGTTTCACATCATCTTGTCTTCGTTGCACAGCTTTTGCCATGGAGTTCGAAACACACACGCTACCCCATCTCATGGGCCGTTTTCCTGGTATATCTATCACAGACCCATACGTTATCGACAGTTGCCATATCTCCCTGTTGGATCTTCCCAAGCTTCTCCACGAAAAAGGATTTCTCGAGAACCGGCTAGGCAAATGCGCTGCCTATCTACAGGTGCTACGCAAAAAGCAATCTCGTAATGAGCGACTCCTCAACGACAACCCATCGCCACCGAGAAAAAAGAGGAAGAAGTTACAACAGAGCAACTATGAATTGAGCGCAGAGATCAGAAACCGAGAACGGGATGAAAGCGTACTTCTCAATAGCCTTCAAACTTGCAAAGCGAACATCTACATTGCGGGAGCTCTTGCGTATACTCCAACGAACATGCGGTCTCCAGTAACTAACTGTGCTTCGAGTCCGACGCAATACTCCTATACGGAGTCTGAGCCAACAGAACTCAGCTGGAACGGATGGGCGGATGAGATCAACACTCCTTTCCAAACGCCGAGCCAAGTCACCATACTCATGGGTGACCTCGCCCCAGACGCATATCTAGATAATGCAAAAGACTTTGTCGCAGTTATCAAGAACATCAATCGTCCTCTTCCGCTTTCTCGGATCACGGAGGATGCTATTATGTTCCTTCCTGTGCCTCCCAACACGGCACACTCGCAATTCTCGCACTCAGTTTTGGACCCTGATGCTGTGGTATTCGAATCTGATCCTACGCACATCTCCAACAAAGGTGATATATTCTCAGCTCAACCCGACAAGCTCAGCATCTCGCCTTCGTCAGCTGCGCGACGATCCTCCGACGCTGGATTGCTGGCTGTCATGCAAAGAGATTTAACATCCGAATGTGAAGAGAGATTCAATGTCCCACGACAAATCACAGAATGGAGTAGAACAGGTTTGCCAATGAGGAGGCGAAGGTCAAACTCTGTCTGAACACATCATCATGAGATCAGACGCCTGTCGAGATGGTCATGGGAATAAATTTGGTGGGGGACTCTGTCGTCTGAGTGTCGCCTGTCGTTGGTCGGATGTCTGAACCGGCGCATGTGCATTCATTGGCCTTGCTTGATGCATTGGAAGCTCGCATGCAGAATCACCCTGCAGGCATTGCGGGTTTATGTTTTTCTGAGTTCAACACATCTTCAAACGAACAAAGGCTTTCGTAGCGCTTCATAGGCAATTGAGAACTCTCGATAGTGTAAACGAAAATACAGCAGCATCTACAGTTGATATCTCCAGCTGTGAGAAGATCCCAATAGATGCAGGAGTTGCATGGTTGTGTTCGCTTCGCGCTAAGAACCCCACACTTGCCCGTCATTCCAATTAGCCTGCATTCCATCAGTCTGCAACACCGTTCGAGACTCTTCCGCTCACCCACGTTCAACATCAATACGCTGCTGGAGTTCAACACTCCACGCCCCTCCCATTGTCTCACGGTGTTCACGTTCTTGTATTTCATCTGAATTGGCGTATGTGGTATGCCTAGAAGAGAAACTCTGTAGCGGCTCACACGGGACGACCCCCACAGTCCACACCATACCAGCAGCGGGATAGCTCACGGCAGAGGCCTGCACACACGCACACGTGTTGACTGCGGCTGCAAGAATTTCCAAAAATCCGTCTTCAATTTCACGCAACACCAACTGCAGTCTGTCGTTCGGGTTTCTGCAATATGGCGGATGTCGACAGCAGTACAGAAGCCGATGGAAGCCGGCTACGAGAGCGCTCATCAGCTAGACAAGATCCCTCTCACAATTCGGACAATGCTAAGCAAAAGGTGTTGGAGCTGAACAACCAGGAAGATACAAGCCAAAATGAAGGCAAGGAGAAGCGCACATACGGCAGGACGCCAGATGGTACAGGTATGTCCTATATACTGCAAGGCTAATGCACTGAACACCAGCACCATGAAACCCAGAAGCACCACTCCTCATGACATGCCACTACTGACAGACTGGACACAGTGTTTGTCGTGCCACACACCCACGACATGGTTTCGCAGCTTCTCTCGCCCTCGCAACCCAAGAACTTGTCCGATGCCGCGGTGCTCGCAGTGCTCGCAGGCTTGATCTTCACCCTCTACGTACTGCCCAAAAGCGCCCGCGTTCCTGTATTCGCATGCATCTTCCTGTTCTGGCGCGCTGCCTACAACGCAGGTATCGGCTGGATGCTCGATGCCCAGTCTAAACACAATAGCCTTGTTCTCTGGGCGCGACACTCGCGCATCTTCGAGAAGCCTGAGATGGGCAAGAACCCACACCCGACCCTGTACAACCTCCTCAAGCGAGAAATGGAGACCAAAATTCCCAAGGACTACAAGTTTGAGGATGCTCCGGTAGAGTATAACACCTGGCTTGTCTTCAGACGCGCTGTAGACCTCATCCTCATGTGTGACTTTGTCTCGTACTGCCTTTTCGCCATTGCCTGCTTCAACCGCCCACAGGAAAGCTGGCTGGTGATGGTGTTACGATGGACGACGGGCATAATACTTTTTCTCTTCAATCTGTGGGTTAAGCTAGACGCTCACAGGGTAGTGAAAGATTATGCCTGGTATTGGGGAGACTTCTTCTACCTCATTGATCAAAATCTAACATTTGACGGCGTTTTTGAGATGGCTCCTCGTACGTACATCCGACGTCTGGACTGTACGTGCGATGAATACTGATCTTTTATCGCGTTTAGATCCCATGTACTCGGTAGGATATGCCGGTTACTATGGCATTGCCCTGATGATGGCAAGCTACAAAGTCCTGTTTATCTCTATCATCGCTCACGCAGCACAATTTGCCTTTCTGATCCTCGTCGAGAACCCTCACATTGACTCAATCTACAATGTGCCCCCACCACGCCGAACGCGCCACAACTCTGGTAACCTGGATGAACAAGAACGTCCGAGACAAGATCATTCTCAGTCCGAAGTTGATTTTGCATCCCGTGGATCGTCATTCGATGCGGTCCGTCAGCCTGCCCCTATGCATCACATCGTCGGCGCCAAGAACACGGATTTCCATCGCTTGATCGACATCAGCACTGTGCTTCTCTCCTTCTACATGTTGTGTTTGGCAACTTTGACCCCAAACACGCATCTGGTACGTACTTTGATTTTCATCAACGCGTTCGTATGGCGACTATGGTATGCATTGGGTCTGGGCTACATATTAGACCGACAATCTAAGACCAAGAACTGGACTCGACATTTCATCAAGTACGGTGAGAGCAAAGAAGAAGCTTGGCGTCAATGGAAGTATCTGTACCATCTAAGTACGATCATGTGTCACGCAAGCTTCGCAGCGGCCGCTTGGAAGATGTACACTCTACCAGCTGATTGGTTTTACGGGCTTACGCTTCTGAGACATGTGCTCGGTGTTAGCATGATCGCGTTGCAGCTTTGGACTGCTATAAGTAGTTATGAGTCTCTTGGCGAGTTTGGTTGGTTTTGCGGTGACTTCTTCTACGATCCTCCGTCACGGAGCCTGTCATACTCTGGTATCTACCGCTTTCTCAACAACCCAGAGCGCGTTCTTGGATTGGCTGGCATTTATGGTGTAGCTCTCATCACTTGGAGCATACCGATATTCTTTCTGGTTGCGACAGCCCACATCCTCAGTCTGGCGTTTCTGCAGTTCATCGAGATTCCTCATACAAAAGCCTTGTATGGACGCAATCTCCGTCAAGTTTCTGGTGTCAGCAAGACGGTTCGTCAGGCTCTTCCCAGCCCAGTACTCAAGTGGCAGTCAGCAGCAGACGGTTATTTCAACTCGACCGTCGAGTTCATCGATGATCTGCTGGACCATGCAAGACCCAAGTTCGCTGCTGGTGTAGATACATTTGTGAAAGACACAACCGCGCTCTTCAAATCTTATCCGGCACGCATATCAATCACACGTCTCTCGCCAGATCTTGCTGGCTTGGATTCCAGTCAATTCAAGCTTGAGGTTGAAGGCACACTCTCTCCACCAACGGCAGAACGACAAAAGAATGGCGGACGCGAGGGTGAAATGGCAAGAGCACCAGCGACGCGTACAAACGAGTTTAGGACACTCATCCTTGAGTATGGTGCTCCTATCAAGGTTCGCTGGCAAGCACCGCTCAATCATAGCAAGAAAGACTGGATCGGGCTGTACATGGTTACTGACAATCAGTCTCGAGAGGTGACCGGCATCAGCTCGAACGGGCGCTGGGTAGCAACTAACCCGGGTGTATATGACTCTACACGTGCTGAGGATGGTATCCTTGTGTCAGACAAGCTTCTACCTGCCAGCCCTGGTATGGATGAAGAGGCCGACTGCTACACTGGCGAGATTGAATTCCACGGCGACAAGCTTTGGTGGACCACTGGTGTGTTTGAGTTCCGATACCACCATGGAGGCAAACACAATGTCATGGCCCTTTCTCAGGCCTTCGAAATCCGCATCCCTAGGTTTGATGAGGATGATGTGGAAGTGGATTCCAACGGCACGATTCACCGCGCCGTCGAACAAGCGCTGTTGCCAATCATCCAGAACTGTTTTGATCGCGACCCCGAGATTGCGCCTTCGACGGCGGAAGAGTCGTTCGGAAGCTTGGTTGAGAGGGACGGCAAGTTTGCCAGGCGAGTCGTGTTTGCGGTACATCAGATGTGAGTAAATACCCTACTTGGTTGATGGTGGTAGTGTGCTAATATGGATCCCAGGTTCGGCATTGAATTTGCGCCTGAGGTTGTTCAGGCGGACGGCACGGTGCGTAACCTTGCATGGCGTATCTGCAATGCGAAGAAGGTGTTGGTAAGTCTTGTCATCTCTCCTAGCGACGATCATGATGGCATATACTGATACCGCTCGCAGGCACCATACAGCATGTCTCAGAGCCATGGAAGAAACACGCCTGTTATGGGGTGAGCTGGTTGGACAGCCACCCGATTCTATCCACTCGACGCGTTTGTCATACTGTGCTGTACATTCTATTTCAAAAGGTCGGGTTGCTGGAGGATCAGAACGAGGGAAGGACGAGATCGGATAACAAATGGAGCGAGCAGTGTTCCGATGCATGCAAGGTTCATCAAGACATGTTACGCGTAAGCCTGGTTCTCAACAGACTGGACGAAGAAGAAAATCCTAACCGTATCTTCACCATCCAAGCAACAATCTGCATAAGTGGTGGTTGATGAGTTGCTCAATCGTCCCCTTCAAGTTACAGAACAACATGTGCAAGCAGAGAGGGCCCACAGGCCACGTTATTGTGCATGCAACACGACAACCGTGACAAATCTTCATATGCCAGATGCGATTGCTGTACCCACACGAAGAGGGTGGGGACGATGATGGTCAATGGCCCCTCTGCGTTGGGTGGAGGAGGTACATAGCCGATCAGAAGGATGGGGTGAAGATGCGGAGTTGCTTATCAGATGTGGTGATGGGCGTGTGATTGCCAACCTCGGCTTGGAACGTGCGTGCGGATTGATGCCGACAACGAGTGGACGGGACAGCAGCTTCTAGAAGTGCATCATCGCCCCTTGAGCATATATCGCGCCACCGTATACTTTCAATACACTTGCTGATTTTCTGCATTCCGCTGTTTTCTGTAGTCACTGCGTAGTTTGTAGTGATCGCATCACGACTCGCCCTCTCCTATCGTCGCGTCCCGTCTTCCTCGGGAGTCCGCATCTCGCGCCACTGTAGCACGACACGACACGACACGGCCATAGCAACCACGCCTCGCATCTCCCCCCACACCATCACCGACCATGGGCAAAGGCCCCAGCAAAACCAGCACGAAAGTGCTCCCACTGATCCCGCTCCCGCCGCCCCTCGCCGTCCTCCCCGGCACAACGCTCAAGATCCCCATCAACAACCGGTCCGACATTGCCGCCATCCTCGCGAAGATATACAGCATCAGCCCGACGGCGCGGCCAGATGCGTCCATCACGGTGGCGTGTGTGCCGCTGTGCTCGAGGCTGCTGATTGAGGATGGGCGCCAGGATCCACGGACTGCGGAGGGCAGGGCGTACGAGAGCGACCCGATGCTGGCGACCAAGGACGACGTGTTTGGGTATGCCTGTGTGGCCAAGGTCAGCGGCGTGCAGGGCCAGCGGCGGGGCGAGCTGAGTCTGGTGGTCGAGGGGCTGGAGCGGGTGCAGGTTGTGGATGTGGTGCAGGAGCGGCCGTACTTTGAGGGCGAGTTGGCGGCCGTGGACGAGCTGAGTGAGTGCACATGACGTATCTACTCGGACAGACACAGGCTAACACGTGCAGTCGACATGGCCAACCCCGAGCTCGAGCAGCAGTTCAGCCGGCTCAAGCAGCTGTCGCGCGAACTGCTCGCCCTCGTGCGTCTCTCGGCCATCCTGCCGCGCGCTCCGACCGTCACACTCTCGCCCATTGTCGCCCGCCGGCTGGAGCTGTACATCACGCGCAAGGACCTGACCGAGGCCGGCGCCCTGGCCGACTTCATGGCGAATGTCGTCGACTGCTCGCACGAGGAGAAGCTGCGCGTGCTGGCCGCCGTCGACCCCAAGGAGCGCGTCGACCGCGTTATTGAGATACTTGAGAGGCAAATCACAAACATGCAGGGCAGCACCCGCATCACAGTCACCACCACGCAGGTCCCCGCCGGCAGCGTCGACCTGGAACAGCTGCGGCGCATGCAGCGGGCCAAGATGGGGGGCGGTCTGCCGGGCGGCTTTCCCGCGGGCTTCCCTGGCGGCGGACAGCAGGGCGGCGAGGAGGAGGCCAGCGAGATTGACGAGCTGAAGAAGCGGCTGCAGGACGCGCAGCTGTCGCCTGAGGCTGATAAGGTGGCTCAGAGGGAGTTGACGCGGCTACAGAAGATGAACCCGGCGCAGGCCGAGTACCAAGTCTGCCGCAACTACCTCGAGAACCTCGCCGAGATCCCGTGGACCAAGCTGACCGTCGACCAGCTCGACGCGGGCACCCTCGTCAAGGCGCGCAAGCAGCTCGACGACGACCACTACGGGCTCGACAAGATCAAGAAGCGCCTGCTCGAGTACCTGGCCGTGCTGAAGCTGAAGGAGCACGCCAACCGCACCATCGACGACCAGATCCGCGCCCTGACCGAAAACCCCGCCGAGGCGAGAGAGATTGACGCCAAGAACGAGGAGGCGCTGGAGAAGCCGGCGCGGGAGCAGTCGGACGAGGAGCGGCGGCTGCTGAAGCAGAAGCGCATGGTGGACAAGTCGCCCATCCTGCTGCTTGTTGGGCCGCCGGGGACGGGAAAGACGTCGCTGGCCAAGTCGGTCGCCACGGCGCTGGGCCGCAAGTTCCACCGCATCTCGCTGGGTGGAGTGCGCGACGAGGCTGAGATCCGTGGACATCGCCGGACCTATGTCGCTGCCATGCCTGGGCTCGTCGTCGGCGCCCTGAAGAAGGTTGGTGTCGCCAACCCCGTCATCCTGCTCGATGAAATCGACAAGATCGGCACCTCCAACCACAACGGCGACCCGAGCGCGGCCATGCTCGAAGTCCTCGACCCCGAGCAGAACCACACCTTCACAGACCACTACGTCAGCATCCCCATCGACCTGTCCAAGGTCCTCTTCATCGCCACGGCCAACTCGCTCGACACCATCCCCGCGCCCCTCCTCGACCGCATGGAGACGATCCAGCTCTCGGGCTACACGACGCTCGAGAAGCGCCACATCGCCTCCCGCCACCTCATCCCCAAGCAAATCACCTCCAACGGCCTGCAACACGACAACCTCGACATCCCCACCGACGTGCTCGACAAAATCATCACATCTTACACACGCGAGTCGGGCGTGCGCAACCTCGAGCGCGAAATCGGCTCCGTCTGCCGCTCCAAAGCCGTCGAATTCGCCACGGCAACAGACACAAACACCCTCGCGACATACACCCCCACCGTCACAATGGAAGACCTCGACGCAACGCTAGGCATCGAGCGCTTCGCAGACGAACTCACAGAACAACATAACCGCCCCGGCGTCATCACGGGTCTCGTCGCTTACTCCTCCGGCGGCCAGGGCTCCATCCTCTTCATTGAAATCGCGGATATGCCGGGTAAGGGACCCGTACAACTCACCGGCCAGCTGGGCGCTGTGCTGAAAGAAAGCGTCGAAGTGGCGCTTAGCTGGGTTAAAGCACATGCTTTTGAACTCGGCCTCGCTGCTACTCAAGACGAGGATATTATGAAGAACCGCAGTATTCATGTTCATTGCCCTAGTGGTGCGATTCCGAAGGACGGTCCGAGCGCGGGTCTTGCGCATACTATCGCGCTGATCAGTCTGTTTAGCGGTAAGCCCGTGCCGCCTACGCTTGCGATGACGGGCGAGATCAGCCTCAGGGGTCGCGTGCTGCCTGTGGGCGGCATCAAAGAGAAACTTATCGGCGCGTTGAGGGCGGGGGTCGAGAGGGTGCTGCTTCCGGAGGGGAATCGAAAGGATGGACGGGATTTACCCGAGGAGGTTAAGAGGGGCGTTAAGATAGAGTATGTTAGCCATATTTGGGAGGCGTTGGGGTGTGTGTGGCCTGAGAGGTGGGAGGGGGTTTTTGGGGGGGAGAGTAGGCTGTAAGTTGTTAGTTGGGGGAAGGGAGAGGGAGAGGGGGAGGGCGTGTGTTTAGTGGTTCTTGCATTGCGCTTTGGTTTTGATTGGGCGTTGGACTGGGGTTGGACTGGGTTGGGTGGTGTTTTGGGTCATGTGTGTATGTATGTATTTGTTTTGGTTGGGTCATGTATTCTCATCTCTAACTTATACGTGTTTCAACGATTCTTTTCCTGGGGGAGGTGTCGAGTACGTCAAGCTGCAAACTGAAACCTCATGTTCTGGCTACCTACCTACCTACCTACCTACATTTACTGTGCTTGTTGCTTCGTCCGTCTGGAACCTTGTCTGTCACTTTAGCCATCGCCCCCCACTCCCCTTCCAAACAACCAATCTACCCCGTAATCCCCAACCTCTGCCCCTACAACGCACACCACACCACACATGCATGGCCCTCGCATCCGCCCCGTACTCTACCACAGCTTGCAGACTTGTAGGGCGATGACAGCGCGGATGGGACAACCGTCCATTTAGCACCTTCGCTTGGGTGCATAGTGTGAGTGGGCACATCAGCGAATATTGAAAGAGACGCATAGTTGTACTCGACCCAGGAGCGCCGAGTACAGTACGCCGAGTAGTAGGTAGCGATGTATGGTCGATGGGTGGGAATCTTGTATGTAGTGGATTGGCACTGTGTGAGACGTCGGGGGCGTGTGCTGTGGATATGCATGGGGGATCAGGTGGGGAAAGGGAGTGTGGGACCGCAGGATGGGGAAGTGGGGCGAGGAGATGGGGGTGCTGTGGGGTTGTAATGAATTGTGGTTGGAACCGAGTTCTCTAGGGCATATATGAGGGCTGGTTGTCTGTGGGATGAGATGTGTTGAGTGGGCGGCTGCGCTGCGTTGTGTGGGAGTGTGGTCTCTTTGGGTGAAAGTCAGACTGGGTATGTGTAGAGGTTTGGCCGGCTCCTCTCGCACCCAAGAGGGACCTGCATAGGAGGGATTTTTCGTCGTGATATGCTGAAAAGAGGTGATTTTGACATGTTGAATGTTGTTGTTGTTTTCATGTCGACTTAGTTTGCTAGGCCTACATTTAGGAGAGCGAGTTAACCGCTATTATAGCAGGAACAATCGTTTTAGAGGGGATTTATGTACTATTATAATGTAACTATAGGCGAGTTACATTACTCCCCAGAAATATGTTTGGTGGATAGAAGATGCGCAGATTATCGATCCTAGCTGGTTCGTCACACAGCTATGAATAAAAGCTGGTCAAAGTGGAAATGAGCTATGCAGAATGTATGTGTTGCTCGACTTTGCGAGAGAATTTGATATCCCGGCACACTCTGGGATAGAGTTTTGCTGTGAGCCATTCGAGAACAGGATCGTAAATCAGGCTTAGTTAATTGAAATACAACGTCTGGAATTAGACAGTTTTATCGCTCGCGGTTCAAAATGACTTGCTGGTGAGAGAGAAAGCTACTGCACCGTAAAGCGAGAAACATATATTCCATATTCGATGCGAACCCTCTCACATGCTAAAAATTCTCGGAGCAGCTTTCAGACTACTAACTTTCCATCGCTTCACAACCCAGGCTCGGTTATAAAGATGCGGAGTATCAAATCTTCAACACTATTCCTGCTCCTCGGGTCGGTACTACGGTACTTCCACACGTAGACACACTCGAAGCCATGGAGTTTAGAGCAATACTTCTCCAGCATCTTCAGTTGTTCTCGGCTGCAATAGTTGTTGCTACAGAAGTTTACGAAGTAAGGAGAGGACACCTAGGATTTGATCACGAGGATACTCAGCGCAGCCTGCAACATGTACAAGATCTTGGTGTTGATTTTGAGGAAGCGGGGAGTAGACAGAGCTTTTCCTGCTTTTGCTAGTATTTTTACTTCGATCTCCGATCGTACCACACATAGTTGGTTACCATCGCAATCTACGCTTCTGGTGATTATGGAACTTGTGTGACATTTGGTAGAACTTTCGGAGACTTGGCAGAGTTAATCATGCAAAAGTGCTCAACCACTCCTGCAGCGCGTTGATTGGAACATATCCTCTCCAATAGTATGAAGTGAGGTAGAGGGCATCTTAAATTCGATTATGAAGATACACAGCGTAGTCTTTCACATGTGAAGAAACTTGGTAGCGATCAAGAGAAAGCGCTGAGCACATAATATCTTGCTGTGTTGGCTGATGTAGTACGAGTTGGGCAACGGCGTCACGCACGTCATAGCATCATGTTGACATCGTGATAAAACCGAACTTAGATCTTGCACGCGCTTGAATTTGGGTCCCATGAAATCAGGTCCCGTTTCCACGTATGTGGAATGCTTGACTCCATGGTGTACCGCTCGTGCATTAGCGTGCCCGCTCGCCGCCCGCCGCCTGTCACCAACACAGATACTTTCTCGCGGCTATATCAATATTGACGACAAAGACCGAGCTATTTTGTGCAACACAACGGCGGAGACGGGGCGGCGTGTCGGGCTCGAATACATGATTTCCGCCAATGGTATCTTCGCAGCGGACCGCCTACCTTTGTGGCTGAACGAGATGGTGTATAAGATGAGTCTTTCTTTCGTGTCGACAGATTTTCTTTAAGAATTCACAGGTGTCTAGCTCTACAGACTTGTTTTCCCATACCACTCACAGACTGTCGGAACATCTCCTAACCCATTCATCGAAATGGCTCACGCAAACCGTTTGGCAAACAAAAGAGTCGTTGTTTTCGGTGGCACATCTGGAATTGGCTTCGGCGTCGCGAACATGGCGCTTTCAAACGGTGCGACCGTCATCATCTCGGGCTCACGACAACCCAAAGTCGACGACAAGGTAGCCCTTATGCGTACCTACTACCCTTCGCTCGCTCCCGGAACCGTCTCAGGCCACGCACTCGACCTCTTCGACACAGCGAACCTCGACACCGGGCTGAAAGCCTTCTTTGACAAAGTCACGCATGGCGGGCAGGAGAAAATCAATCACATCGCCTTCACGGCCGGCGACGCTTTCACTCAGATACCCAACATCCGCACTACAAACGCGGGGGAAGTTATCGATGGATTCCGCGTGCGCTACTTGGCGCCTCTTGCTATCGCGAAACTGCTCGCGCTCCATCCAGACATGTACGTGGCTAATGAGTATCAATCGTCGTTTACATTGACTGGTGGGACGAACACGCACAAACCGATGCCCGGATGGAGTGTTGGCGCGGGGTGGGGCGGCGCAATCGAAGCACTGGCGAGGGGGCTAGCCGTCGACCTCAGGCCTGTGAGAGTCAATATGGTCGAGCCGGGGGCGGTGCAGACGGAGTTACTACAAGGCTATGTCGAGAAGCTGGGACCGGGGGGTTTGGAGCAGTTAAAGAAGGAAGCTGGGTTGACAGGGGAATTGGGACAGCCCGGGGATTTGGCGGAGACGTTTGGATGGCTTATGAGGGATTGGTTTGCGGACGGAACGATTGCCAGTTCGACGGGGGGGCGATACCTGGCTTAGATTAGGGGGTTGTGTGTTGTCGAAGGGTCATGGGATATGGAATATAGGTTGGTTTTATTCTTTGCGATGGCTAGTCTGATGACCTCATCTTGGTTGTCTTATCCAGGCTCCATTCGCTACTTCATGTGATGTTCACCTGTATGCCTCTAGCATCAAGAGTCTCTTGAACATTCGTCCACTTGCTACAGTCAGCTAACAGCCCTTTAAGTCCCTTGGTCCTCAACTCGACAATGTTCTCCATATCTTTCTGGAGGTCGTGTTCGAGACCAATCTTGAATTTGAGACCAATGAACGTAAAGACTTCGCTGAACCGATCGAAGACAAGACCGATAGTATCAATGTCATCTTTGAGGTTGTCATTGTTCGTCATGCGCCATTGTATGATGAGGACACATGCTGCGATGTATAGTGACGCAGCAACATGCGCCGACAGCAGAAGTTCTGTGGAGATGGAAGACGCGTCCTTTACTATTTGGACCGTATTCTTTGCCGCGATCACGGCACGGGAAAACTGCTCGTTGGCTGCATCTTCGTCAAGGTATCCTGCGGACCAGTAGTGCAAAAGTATCGACGTTGTGTTCACACTCATCCCGAGCCAAATGATCTGGCCGCGTTCTTCTGCGGGCGCTTCAAATAAGGACGTCATGGTCCGAGGAAGACTGAGTCGGAATATGGCAATGGAAGAGGCAAGCCCATCACATTCTTCGGCATATTCAGACGACCCTGGAGAATCGTGAAGAGAGTGAATTGTTTCCGTTACGCGACCTAAAAGGACGTGGGAGAGTACCAGATAGTGGAAGACGTTGCTGGAATGGGAGGGAGTAGGCTGCGAGAGAAGAAGTATGTTCAGCCTTCGTGTGAATGGGGTTGGCTTAGCGTTGTCGCCATATGATACCTACACGGTGTCATTGTAGTGTACTGATGTATATATTGACATAGCAGGTTTGTCATAATTACAGGTTTGACTACTTACAACTGGACTCATTGCCTGGAATATATTCTCAGATACAGGAATGGCGACCATGAACTGTCGCTCGTCAATCGCATGCGGCCAGCCTGTAGGCCAGCTGTGGTTTCTGTCCATGACAAAGTGCAGCCAGAGTGTTCTCCTGAGCTCTTCTTTCTCGACGTCGGTTTGTGGCCTACTATCAGGCAGTCCGTATGGCTTCCAATCGTCCGCATCTAATCGATTAAATCCAAGGGCACATATCTGCCTCCACGCCTTGCCAAGAACGAGCCAGGCAGTGGAGAAGTCCCCAATAGTATACGCGTGGATCATGATACATACAGCAGCCTGGAGTCCACGTAGCGAGTGACTCGGAAGCCTCGTAGTATCGTTATATTCGCGTCTCGCAAACTCATACCATTCATTCTGCCAGCTCCTGACAGAAGCATCGTGGTGACGCCGAGCGACAATGGCGCACATCGCACTGAGTAACATCGGCGACTCAGCCTGGAGGCTACCTTCTCGTATCTTCGTCATGAAGCTTCTCTTGTGAAAACAAGGGAGGATGTGATAGATGTGGTCAAAAAACAAGTCGATTAGTTCGATCAAGACGTCATCTGTGGGAAGAATGATATACGACGGTGCATCGCCCTCGAGGCCTACACCAAGATCGGCAGGAAAAGAGCTCAAGTCAGAAATGGGTAATGAATAGCCGAGCTGTTGTTCTGTGACTGTGCTGAAGTCGGTCGAGGTGTCCAAGTCTACTCCTAGAAACTGGAAAGATTCCGGGGCAGCTTGTTCTTGGAAATCTCGGAGCAGAGTAGATGAAGTTGGTAAAAAGGGGACGGGGAATGGAGCGAAGGATACGGACTCGAGGCGGCTCGAGGCTGGCACAGTGTATCCACAGAGTATGCCCCATCTCAGGCACAGCGAACACGAAGGCCGCTCTCCCTAGAGTATGTTAGCCGCGTCCAATCCGTGACGAGGTGGCATAGAATGAGGTTATTCAGGTTACAAGCTATCGTCGATATTGCTTTTACTGAATAGTCGACGACATGTCGAACTTGCTGTGCAGCCTGAGTAGAGGCCAGACGAGCTGATACGCAAATGGCTCCAACAACTCTATCATAGCGCGGGGCAGCTCACGTCACATCGTTTCTTCCGGTGTCTGCAACTCGTACAGGCCAACTTTCTCTTAGTAGTCGCGACAGGGTTCGTAAGCGTTTCCATGTCGAAAGTAGGAAAGGAGGACGGGGTTGGGTTGCTAAAATCCAATGATGACAGTCGTCGGGGTTTGTCTCGGATTTGTCATCTTCATCTGATTCGTTGAAATCCTAAATCTTCATCTCAGCTCGATCATGCTGAAGCAACGAATAAACGACCAGAATGTGACTGATCCAACGGCATAAGTCTGCCTCGATTTGAAAACTAGATCAATGTGTTGTTTTGTCGATGCCATCTTCCCAGACGAAACCGCCCTTGGCAAGCATTACAGCTTGAGATGTACATCTCACATACAGAGCTTCATTGTTGACCGTCTGATTGTCAGGACTCCCTTCTTATGTCCTTTCACGTTCTCATAGCCGGTCTAGGCCCATGCAGACTCCAAGTATTCCAACTCTGCCTATCAATCCCTAAGAGCAACATGCTAACCAAGCTCATGATCGCTTTAGCTTACGTCGCATTGCTTCTCCAAGGTATTGAGTGTTGCGGGAGTATGCCATCGACGTAATTATAGACGTGAGTGCCTTACATATCATTTTGGTCCTCACGCAAGTAGAAAAATGCCTTGGCCTCCAATGCATTCGTGATTGGCGCGGGAGGTTGAAGTCTAGGACGCTACAGTCCAAGTAGATGTTGATGCATCAACACAACACGTGCAAGAGATCTCGGGCACCATTCCCCCGTGTTTAGATTGAATGAACATGCCACTGCGAAGGTTCCGATACGGAGGATTTCGACATCTCGATTGCCGCGGGTCAGGAACTACCCCTGCCAATTACGCCACTTCCGACTAATTCCGCTAGGTAAGCACTTGGCATTCACCTCGCCTCTTTCTTTGAGAGCAGCACCTACAGCCCCGCTGATGTCGCGCAACTCTCGAGCAGTTGCAAACATGATCTGCTAGAAATCAAATATCATCACGTCGCAATCGGGCCGCTGAGATGTGAGGTGGGGCCTCTGCTGGTCGCTTCCCATCTTCTCCGCTCGGGAACCCACGAATGCGGCAACGATACGAACCGCGTAGCCTAGTATACGCCACGTACGGTTCATAACGCCAGCATTTACCCTGGCTAATCCGTCTGTTCGCTGCACAGCATCGCGCTTGGCACTAGTTTCCCTCGCTCAGGCGCCCCCCTTGCCGAAAGCTTGCTAACCAGAAGCTGTCAAAGTCTACCAAGCTCTTGCGTGCCATGTTCAAGTAGGAGACAAACATTTTTGTATGACGAGGCGGGTCGCGTGGAAGAGTTCAGACTAGTCTTTTTGCTATGCTGACAGTGGCGTCTACCGACATGAGACTGATATGACGCAGATCATTATGATAAGTCGACTACAGGCTAGAGGCCCTGGATGATAACAGACACCATGAGAAACGGGCCCCGGCACTTCCAGAGGCGATATGCTTGGCATCTCCGCCGTTGAAATCCAGGTGCGTGTAGAAGCCATGTTTGACGCTTGACACCGTCCGTCTTGGCAGGACAAGTCTACCTACATTAGGAATGTCGCAAAGGTTTTTCGACAAAGACACCTACACACTAGAGTCCGAGTGTGAGAGGTAACATTGCTTGAAGACTCGAGCAATTCCAAGACAATGCAGAAAGATGGTTTACCCACTCAATAAAAATACGCTGGCAAACAGCCGCCGCATCCTGTGATTATACTGGCGTCCGATTAGAAAAGGTTGAAGAAGCTTGGCTTGTCAGCATACCAAGCAATCCGATTTACCTGATTTGCTGTCCCAGCGCGTGCGGATATCACCATACAAACTGGTTGGCTGCCGATGCAGATCATAACCAAGATAGTTATCTTACGAACAAGGAGAGTGCAGACAATAACTTGCAGATTGTTATAGTCCGCAAGCTAAGAATAGTGTTGGTATCCCAGCGACCAGAGGATCAAGCTGGACTGAAGATACGGCAGATATTGCTGGTTGTTTACGCAATCAGCCCCAGTCCACCAAGGTATCTGTCTGGTCGTCTTTGAGCGATATGGCTCACGACGTCAACGACTGAATACACGAAATCTTCAAGTACGCTATAGCATCGCCGGCCATGCACATAATCTTCCGGTCCATAGCCCTAACAGAAGATGAGAGTTCACTAACTTATATGGGACTTGCATCAAACCTTATAATGTCTTGTTCCTTCTTCTTCTATGGCCTTGTCCCGGCGCTTGGTCCTGGCATTGTGGAGGCCCCATACTTTTAAATTAGCCATATGTCCCAACACGGCAGGTGTTAGCTTAGCCATCCTTGTCCCCATACTCAACACCACCTGACGCAATAGCAGCTATACTGACGATACGGAAAAGCTGCCATTCCTTTTGTCTTGGAAATCGCGCCACGGCCTTTGGAGACTAAGCCCCGCCAGATTTTAGACTAACGCAATATACGCATGAGTGGAGCCAGCTCCGCCACTGGCTACTGAAGACGCGATTGGAGTCGGAAATAGGTGTTTGGAATCTACCTTCTTCTTTGAGAGGTTGATCAGCGTGGAGGATTGTCAAAGCAATCCTCAAGTCTGTGGAGCATCATTCTCTAAGCAGGTGGTGATAGAGATTGAGTACACGAGATGCCATATATAAACCATGCCCCCAACCAACCTTTGGAACATCATCCAAGTATCAGTCTTCAGCTTCTTGTCTCATCCCTCGCTCACTCTCTCGCTCACTCTCTGCATTCTTCACAATGATCAACGTTCGCCGCCTCGCCCTCTACATCGGAGCCTTGCTCCCAGCTGTTTTGGCTGCCCCAGCTCCTATCACAAGAAGAGATGATATCATCGAGGGGAAGTACATCATCACTTTGAAGCCAGGTGTCGATGCCAACGGTGTTGAGTCCCATCTCAACTGGGTATCCGATGTCCACAAGCGAAGTTTCGCCAAGCGCGACACTGTCGGTGTCGAGAAGACCTACGCAATCAAGGACTGGAAGGCATACGCCGGAGAATTTGACGATGCGACCATAGCCGAAATCAAAGCTAGCCCTGATGTAAGCAAACACCCCGATTATGGGTACATCCAACGAACAATATTTAATCATGACGATCACAGGTTGCTCTCGTTGAGCCTGACACAATCGCCTACCTTTGGTACGAGCAGGCCGACGCCAAGCTCGAGAAGAAGGCTTTGACCACCCAGACCGGTGCCACCTGGGGCCTGGGAGCCATTTCTCACCGCACTGGCTCATCCACCAGCTACATCTACGACACCACTGCTGGTGAGGGTACCTATGCCTACATTGTCGACAGCGGTATCAACATCGCCCACACTCAGTTCGGTGGACGGGCTACCCTTGGCTACAACGCTGCTGGTGGAGAACACACTGACACCCTTGGTCACGGTACTCACGTTTCTGGAACCATCGGCGGTACTACCTACGGAGTTGCGAAGAGGGTACGTTCCTCCATCCAGGAATTTGTGTTATATCGAAAGTATGCTAATATCACATAGACAAACTTGATCTCCGTCAAGGTCTTCACCGGCTCGTCAGGATCTACTTCCGTCATTCTGGCCGGTTTCAACTGGGCAGTCAACGATATCACCTCCAAGAGCCGTACTGCTCGCTCGGCCATCAACCTTTCTCTTGGTGGCCAGGCATCTACCACCTGGACCAACGCCATCCAAGCCGCTTACACTCAGGGCGTTCTCTCTGTTGTTGCTGCCGGAAACGGTGATGCAAACGGCAACCCTCTGCCCGTGTCCAGCCAGTCTCCTGCCAACGCCCCCAACGCCATCACCGTGGCCGCCGCCGACTCTAGCTTCCGCCCTGCTTCCTTCACGAACTACGGCGCAGGCGTTGATTTATTCGCCCCGGGTGTAGGCATCACCTCTGCCTGGATTGGAAGCACCACTGCCACCTCGACCATCAGTGGAACTTCCATGGCTTGCCCCCACATCGTTGGTCTTGCTGTCTACCTCCAGGCTCTCGAGGGCTTGAGCACCCCCGCTGCCGTTACCAACCGCATCAAGGCTCTTGCTACCACGGGTCGTATCACTGGCACTCTCAACGGAAGCCCCAACCTCTTTGCCTACAACGGCAACGGTGCGTAAGTGGGTGGTCGATTAGCACTGAATTCAGACAAATGGGTACGGGCAGAAGTCAGAACAGGGGGTTGAGCATGAGATTTGAGTGAGGAACGTCCTGAGCGAGCGAGTCATATATCCTGGACCGAGTAGAGCAATATGAATAGTAAATGATATATCTTACCCAAAAAAGGTGTTACATAGTTGTATAAGATCTAGAGCCCTCGCTTTACACAGGTTGATAGATATGCCTCGTCTCACCTACAGATTGTCGACAGAGTAGTTGTTAAATATGTCATGGCCAAGCCTTTACCTGCGAGTGTTCTACTGAAATCTTTGGTTCATACTTCTTTTGCTCTGTGCACAATTATCTTCGACGTAGAAGTGAACGCCGCGGCGATGATAACAATGAACCGCTTCATCGTAAAGATACCTAAATGACTGCCACGACAATGAGGCGAAAAGCAACCAAGACTTGAGATAACATCGAACTAGGTGTGTGATGCAAAGGCATGAAGATTTTGCATGTCTACGAGCTAGCACTATCTTGGGAATAAGTAGACAAAAGTTGCAGAGGGTTTGAAGGTCCTTTCAACAAGAGAGTGTTGAACAGAACTTCAGAAGAACGATAGTTTGATGGTTGAAATGGTTCATTGAACAAGTAATCGAGGCATAAGGCTGAGCTATATGCCCATAGTAATTTGGATGGCTGGAACATTACATAATGTCACCGGTAAGAACTTTGTAGACAGGTGATCAAGACAAGACGACTTTGTGTCAGCGACAAAAAAAAACCACCGGGGCACACGTCTTGGGGAGTCGGAGCGTATATACTTGACAGAGGCCCAGCCCCCACCTATCTGCCGTCCCTGAGATGTCAATGACAATAGACGTGGAGTTTAATTGTGCCACGCTACATGCCATCTCGTCCACCAGCAGCCTGGAATCCTTGGGGTCAAAATTTCGAGCTCGTGTAGATGTAATTGCGGCCCTCGGAGCGGATCGCAGGATGTGTACTGACTAGCACAGAATAGGCAGGTGGTCAGAGCAATCAGCCGCGCCGATCTGCCCCGCACCCGCGACGCGTCGATGATGGCGAGATGTATCAATGTTTACAAAGTTCACTCGCGTTGCGCCCTGCAGCTTGTACAGCAAACGGGTACCTGCAGTAGTTTTCACAACAACCTGCAAATTCGACTTGTAACGTGTTTGCGATCGCGAGTGACATGCATATGCGTTCTCCAGCAATCGACACAAAACATACCTCTAGACTGACGTTCAGAACAGTAATGACATTCACTCGAACGTCCACAGGGGCCAGGCGCGTCAGATGCTTTTACCACCCCCTGTTGATCATCAACTCGACAACGGTATGCTATCTGACCTGGACCCCATACAGAAGGTCAACGGTTATCACAACGCGATCGATGCGCTACATATAGTGGCCAAGCTCTTGGAGCCGGGTTGGCCAACATGACTTGCCTAATCCAACAAGTTGCCAAGCCTCCGGTGCAGGGGGTTGTATGCACATAGCGTGAACGACTGCCATATCGGAGCCCTGGACGTGCCATTCACGAGGTATGGACTACAGTGAGCAATAGCTTGCGAGATCATGCCGCCAGCCGTGACTCCAGATCCGTAGGAATACAGGGCCAATTTCCGAAAATAAAGACTGGTTGGGATCATGCCAGACAGTAAACCATCATGTATAAGTACTAAGTAAAGGATCACTTGTGTTCAATCAACCCCAGACATTCGTTCTTCCTTCGGTTCATCATTTGCCTCTTTCACCATGCGATCCGCTCTCCTCGCCACTCTGGCCTCTTTGGCTACCATCAAGGGAGTCCATGCCCATCCCGCATCCCAGGTCTCCCGCACGCTCAGTCGACGAGGTGTTGATTTGGATGCCTTCCGTATGGTCGTCAAGACCGAATACAAGAATGCCACGGAGGTTGACTTGGATCCCACTATTCCTACACTAAGGGCACGCGCAACTGCGGAGGAAACTGCCACAGAACTGGTCCAGACTACAGCTCCTGGTGCCACGTTCCGTCTCGTCAATGACCATTATGTTGGTACCAACGGCGTCGCTCACTATTACTTCAAGCAAACCGCCAATGGACTTGACATTGATAACGCTGATTTCAATGTTAACGTAAGCTTATATGTCTTTTCTTCATGCACAAATGATCACGATAGCTGACCATGATCAGATTGGTCGGAATGGAAAGGTGTTCTCCTTTGGTAACTCGTTCTTCAAAGGCGACATCCCTTCACTACCTACAGTTGGCAAGCGGGATACTACCGATCCAGCCGACGCCCTCAAGTCGGCTGTAAACATCCTACAGCTTCCGATCTCCGCTGGTTCCGCAACTGCTGAGCCTAAAGCCGAGGCAGACACCTTCGCTATCAAGCAAACTACTGGAAGTTTGAACGAACCCGAGGCACGACTGGTGTACGTTCAGGCTGCGGATGGAAGTCTCAAGCTTACTTGGCGAATCGAGACGGACATCGCAAGCAATTGGCTCCTGACATACGTTGATGCTACGAGTGGAAAAGAGGTACACGCTGTCGTTGACTATGCCGCAGACGATAGCTATCAAGTTTAGTAAGTATCTGTGCAAAGCTTGTCTAAGATGAACTCTCCACTAACAAACATCAGCCCATGGGGTATCAACGACCCTACTGAAGGACAACGTGTCTACGTCGAAGACCCTTTCGACTCCAGTGCCAGTGAATTTGGCTGGAATTCAGATGGCACCGATTGGTTCAAGACCACCCGTGGTAATAACGCAGCGGCCCAAACCAACTGGGAGAACAAGCAGACCGACCTCCTTAGCCTGCCTCGCCCAGTCGCTCGGGATCTCAAGTTTCACTACCCATACTCGCTGAACGAGACGGACTACCATAAGTACGCAAATGCCTCGGTTACTCAGCTGTTCTACACCGGAAACACGTACCATGATCTCCTTCACACACTAGGATTCAACGAGCAAGCAGGCAACTTTGAAATCAACAACAACGGCGGAGGTGGTGTTGGTAACGACTTTGTCTACCTGAACGCACAGGACGGCTCAGGCGTCAACAACGCCAACTTTGCAACCCCCCCTGATGGTCAGGCTGCTCGCATGAGGATGTACATCTGGACCAGCACTGTGCCTGTCCGAGACTGCTCTTTCGAAGCTGGTGTTGTCATTCATGAGTACACACACGGGCTGTCCAACCGTCTCACCGGTGGGCCAAAGAACTCAGGCTGCTTGAGCATGCTCGAATCTGGTGGTATGGGTGAAGGCTGGAGTGACTTTTACGCCACTGCGATCCGTCTCAAGAAGAGTGACACCCGCAAGACTGATTACGCCCTGGGTGCATGGGTGAGCGGTAACCCAGCTGGTATCAGGAACTACCTCTACTCTACCAGCATGACCACCAACCCTCAGACTTACCAAAGCGTCGAGTTGTACTCCAGGGTTCACCCCATCGGCGGTATCTGGGCGTCTATGCTCTACGAAGTGCTTTGGAACTTGATTGATAAGCACGGAAAGAACGACGGCCCCAAACCAGACTTTGACGAGAACGATGTCCCAACTGATGGGCGTTACCTGGCGATGAAAATTGTCATGGATGGCATGAGCCTCCAGCCTTGCAACCCCAACTTCGTTCAGGCACGTGATGCTATTATCGACGCTGACTGGCTTCTCACGGGTGGTGCCAATGCCTGCCCGCTCTGGACTGCCTTCGCAAAGAGAGGCTTGGGTGAAGGAGCAAGGTACCAAGTCACTGGCCGTTTGGACAGCTTCAAGATTCCTAACGATGCCTGCTGAGGTGGACCACACGTCGAGAGCGCGGTCAGCAGAGTAACGACGTACTCTCTTTAATGTAATGTACAATTAGAATAATGTTTCTCCCATGTAGTTCTAGCTCATCCTCTTATCCAGGTCCTCGTGGCGCGTGATGAGGTTCATGATGCATCCCTTGAATCCATTACCAATCATCAGAGAATGAACATCCTTAGTTGAAGTATGACGATAATGAACGATTGGTAGCTGACTCATAGACGGGAACGATAAGCTGATCGATTTCCTTGGCAAGTGGGGAAAGGCGGGATCTTAGTCAGACGCAAAGGAGGCCTTACATGCTTGCAAAGAGCCTCGTGGCCGTGATACTACAAACGGTTCCTCTTTTGTATGCATATGGCTTCTTCGGATCCCCGCACCGAGGTGTCATCCAATCTCGTCGAACACCATGGCTACACTGTCGCCCACCATCCACATACTGGACAAGGCTAACTATTCGAAACATCGTCTCGTCACCCGCAAAAATGAACCTCCAACTCCGCTTGCCCCATCATCCATTCGCCTCCGGCCCAGGATGCTTGGTCTCACGACTAACAATCTTACTTATGCTCGTCTGGGTCATCTGATGGGCTGGTACGACGTATACCCTCTACCTCGAAATATACCGGAGCCATACAACGATGGCGAGGCGTTTGGTCGCATTGCCGCCTGGGGCTACGCGGAGATCACTGAGTCCACTGTTCCTGAGATCTCTTCTGGACAGACTGTATTCGGATATCTTCCTGTCAGCACTGGAGTAGAAGACGTATGTGTTAGCTTTGCCGAACATGAAGGCGAGCAAATCCAGGATCATATTATCATCAAGAACAAGCATCGACAGCATCTCTTGAAAATTTACAACAGATATCAAGTTTGCGCCTCGCTATCTGAGCTCGAGAAAGTCAAGAGTGTCGACTCCCTGGGCTGGGATGCCCTCATGCAAGTGCTCTTCGGAACATCCTACAATCTAAATATGTACGGATTCGCCTGGGAAGAAGGAAACAGAATCCATCCTAGTGCCCAAGGCGAATGGAGCACTGCAGATGCAGATCTGCGGGGAGCCACTATCGTAATCCTCAATGCTTCTGGCAAGACTGGAATGTCATTCGCGTACAGTCTTCGCCACCACCGCCCCAAAGAACACCAACCTAAGACGATCATTGGTGTTGCGTCACCTGCGTCAGTGTCTCAAATCTTACAGAGTGGTCTCTACAACAAAGCCGTACTGAACTCGGATTTCGAAAGCACCTCCGCAGACATAGACCAGTCCGATGCCCGCCGCACACTGCTCTTCGACTTCGGCGCCCGAAAAGACGCAAACGTTCTGTGGAAATCTTGCTTGTGTTCAAATTCCGTCCCCTTTACCCTCATCACCGTTGGAGGAGAAGTTATGATTCAAGACCCAGAGGCGATAGCTAGCAGATCTGCCAACATCGGTGCCCTCAACATTGTCAATGCGTCGCTGCTACGGGAGAAGGGCATTGAGGTCGGAGGCGAAAAGTACTTCGAAGAATTCAGTACAGCATTCGATGAATTCAAAGGGAAGGTCAAAGGCCTGAGACTCCAATGGGGCGAGGGAATGGAGGAGTGGGAACAAGGCTGGGAGGCCTTTTGTAGGGATGAAGTACGAGCTGATACGGGGCTTGTGTATCGTCTCTAGAGAATGGATAAGGGAAGTACATGTTGTCTGCGCGGAGAATCTTTGGCCGTTATAGGTGTGTGTTTATTAGTTGGTAGATAATGACCATTCGAATAGTTACATGTATTTTAGTAGTTTCCCTACGCTAACGAATTCACAGAATGCTCTGTTCACCTCCTTACCTTGTATTCGACCTAGAGTAGAAACATATGTAGTTATTCTTCAGTGAGCGACTTTCTCCTTATGGAGCATCTAGCAATCTCTTATAAGGGATAGCTGACTCTGTGAATGTTGTATTATCTAGATCTATCCCAACCCAATTGCTTGTACACTATCCCAATCATTTTTTGTACCACCCACTCCCGACGGCTTTTGTCTTCGCATCACCAACATACGTTTTCGCCCACTGGTTGTACTTGTCTGAGTTGGATCCGCTTGCATCAGGGAAATTGATTTGGCACCCCAATGCCTTGTACCCTGGTGCCAACTTATCGCTTACGAAGTTTGCCACGATCAACGCCAAAGAAACAGTGTTGAACAACTCGGATGGGAAGTTCGCATAGACTGCGTTGTACAGGAAACAACTCAGCGCCTGGGGATTGTTAGGAATATTGGCAGGCCCAACAACCCATGACTGGTCAGCGCCAGAGCCACCCATCGCAGGGGTTGCGTATAGGTAGACGTCGAGAATACCACCAACAGCCTCGGCAATCGTCATGGGTGTCTTGCGACGATACCAGCCTTTCTCAGGGATGCGCTCGGGAACGTGGACGTATGTGCGATTAGGATCATCCCATGTTCCGCTCGTTGATTTCGCACCGTAGAAACTGGTGATGGATTCCTCGTTCGCAACGCCGCCGTCGCCGATTGTGCCGTTCGAGAAGAAGCCGGGAATGAAGTAGTATGCGCCCATGACCACACCCGCTGAGGGCAGGTTGAAGTAAAATTGCGAGTTCGCCGCCTTGGAGGCTGCGTATCGGTTTTTGAAGTGCTCTTTGACGGCGGCAACGCTGTATGTTCCATCACCCTTTGCGAGGGCTTGTTGATGTAACTGTTTGAACAACTCGGGCTTGAAGGAGATGTTGTCTCCGTTGAGGTAGAAGTCCTCGCGGGTAGCAGAGGCATCACCTTCATTGAATTTGCCGTGTCCAGCGATACCAGATGGTGTTCCCAGCACGTTGTTCAATTTGCCGTTGAGTACGCCTACGCGCGAATCTGGTCCTCCTATGCTCATCTTGGTGGAGACAATATCACCGCCATCCACCGCACCTCCAACTGCGAGAAGTGCGCTGAGGTCCGCGCCCATGTTGAAGAGCTGTTCGGTACCGGCTTGGATTTGACCAACAGTGGCAATGCCATTGCGGGGTATGTAACCGTGATTTGCGAGAGTATTCAGGCCGGGACACGGACCGCGTTGATCGGTGGAACCGGGTGCTTTGAAGGGATAGTTTGCTAATCAATCGTCAGGACAAAGGCCTATTGGTTTGGTCAAGTAGCCAAAAGCATACCTTCAGGAAACTTCTTCAATCCGTTTACAGACTTGTCCGTGGGGATGAGCCCTAGTGTTGAGTCCAGAACAGCTTGTAGGGTCCCCCCAAGCAGCTGAACAACACCTGGAACCAAGCTCGTCCCAAGCTGACGAGGCTCTTCTTTAGCATGCTCACGTCCTTCGAGGCGCCTTCGGATTTCTGCTTGCGCTTCGGGATGGCTCATCAGTGCGTCAAGACCTTCCGGCTTCATCCAAGGGAAAGCCAGTGTGGTGGGAGCGGCAAGCGCCGCCAAATACAACGAAGTACGCATTGCGAAAAGAAGGGGGAAAATCAGTTGAGACTGGAGTATTGATGCCTGTACCAACAGATATGCTCATGGCGCGCTTCAAGCCGTCTTATACGCGAATTTCTCTGATTAGAATTGCATATCGTCATCGCCGTAATAGTCATGGGCTTTTGATAGCAGTATGTCTCATGGCTTTTCCCCATCATCTCGGACTTGGTTCCACAATTGCGAGGTGTGTACCGGTGCCACATTTACATAAGCAGTTCAAGATCCTGTTTCAGTCCGAAGTTTTCGACTCCTTCCTTGATTTAACTTATGCGACCAATGACTAGACTGTTTAGAGTGCGGCAGAGCGACATCTTTGTGGAGCAGACTAACTATTTGCGTAGCGGAAATGACCGGTTGTGGATGCATTGCAAGTCGTCTCTGAATCGTGGGTCATTGACAGGAAACGATCGCCTACCCCTGTATGCCGCCCCTGACAGCGCAAGTACCCGTGAAAGTTCTAACGGTTTAGCAATACCAGACTCGCTTGCAGAGCGCGACGCAACACATAAAAAGTCCATCCTGAACGTAAGACATTCCTATGCAATCTTTATGGACAAGCTGAGGTCCACTGGCTAGACTTTCGAAATGCATGGCTGAGGACTTTGAATGAAAGTCAGCGACAATTTTCGTTCTCCGCGGAGCCATCTCGTCGGCCGAGGTAACAGTCTAATCTGGGAACGAAAACGCGGGAACGCGAATCATTGAACATGGTCCCGTAAGGACAAAGCAAAGGGAGGTTGGAAGTGCAAGGATGTCAGTGGCGGCGAAACTTACGGCTTTACTGTTCGCGACTCATAGGGTGCCCATCTAGAAGGCCGGCGAACACGAACTGTAACCTGGAATCTGGCATAAGACTTGCCACTGAACGCATCAGCTCGCTGTCATATCCTTCCCAGTCTCTTCTACGCAGGGTGGAAAGTATGATCAATCATCTGACGTTGTAGCTCTGTGAAGGCGAGGTATGCCTGCTAGAACGCTTTCCGACAAAACGGCCTAGACGTTTTTCATACAAAGTTGGTGGTGGTGTTTTCCATCATGAGGTTATTCTCAGGTCTGTTGACATCGACGTTGATGAACGCGGGAGTTACCTGTGACGCAGGTACTACTGTGTATGGCTATGTCATCTCGCTGACGTTTTCCAAAATGTACCCAGGTTCACAGACCATTGCGATTGGCTACTCAAGCAAAAACAACTCCCTAATCCGTTAAGATATCGGTATGGGTCGTTTTTGTGAGCAGGATATAGGGGAAGATTTCCGCGGAACATCATAGTGTTCGGTAAACGTGTGGTAAAGCGGAGTTTGTGCCACCGTGGAGGCCTATCTAGTCGTCCGTTACACTCACTCCTTGTCGTTCATAGCCCAAATCTAGCCGAATGAAAGGATGACACGCGATGCGAAGTCCAGCAACTTTATTGAAGAGTCAGTACCGAGCAATCTTGTCGTCTGGTATAGGACTTGGAAAAGACGAATTGGCGAAGGGCGCTGAAATGATCAGTGTTCCGGTGAACCACTCCAAGGCAGACCCTTCCTGGCGTCTCTGGGGAACGTTCGAGTCTGCCATCATGTTGCGGAAGACAAACAAGTAAGTGTTGATCGTATGATGCGTAGTTGGAAGATCGACGAGATCACCCTGATTGCCCCTGATTGTTGGTATTTTCCGAACCCGAGACTGTGGATCGTGCGATCGAACTGCCCGTTACCAGGTCGGTCTGCCAACGTCATCTTGACGAGGCGGAGTGGACTGACGTATAAGCCGACAAGTCAGGAGGTGATTGGTGAGCATGCATCTGCGAAAGCGACGCTGTCGTATTGGTGGTGAGGGGTTGTTGTTGCGCTCAGTCAGTCAATTGCCCGTAGGGTCGGGAGCGTCCGTGCCCGAAAGCTTGGGAGGCCCCGACAGTCTCGCGAAACTTCGGGTGCGCGGCTCCATCGCTGATCCGCACTCATTCCCAGCCTCGACAAGACTGTTCCGAGCATCGCAAAATCAAAAAGCTCTCACGACTATTCTTGGCTGTCTATTTGATAAAGATAAGAATTATAATCGCAAGTGTGTCGTTTCGCAGCTGCGTTGCAGCCGACTCTTCCAAACCGCCCTTGCCAACCTCGCTGCCCAGACACTCGATGTCAGCCAAACCGCCACCATAAAAAAGACTTTGTCAACGAAAGGGTGCTCTGAAGATTGTACTATCACCAGATTCGCATTCCAGTGTTTTCAAGGCTATGCGTCCAATTATCTGCGCGCGTGCTTTTACAGCTAAGAAAGTTCGCGCTCCTCATACATCGTAACACGTCGAGGCTACCGCACATGTCCCGAAAGCACAGGAAAACTCGATCACTTGCAAAAAATTGCATTAGAGCAGGATGCACACAAGATTTGGTTAAGCGCTTAGGTGGTTCGATGCGCAAGAGTTACAAAGCAGGAAACAGCAGGTATTCGTAGACCACGTTGTAAGGTGTTTCGTCTAGCGTCAGAAGCAATCCCAGTCCACTTAAGGCGAATAGCGAAAAGAAAAACCCTCACAGATACTTGTAGGACACAGAATGTAATGGCGGGGATAGGATCATCGAACTGACATTGTGGACTCTTGGGAGTAAAGATCTGCAGTCACTTGCGGCGAAGCCTCCGACCGGATGTTGTTCCTCCCTTCATGCCATCCTCCATCACCGAAGGTTTACAAGCCATCATTCAACATCGCCTGAATGAGCTGCACATGCCTATCCGCATTCATCTCGCTCCACTCGGTGTCGTAGTTAAGTCCATACGGCCAGATATGTCCGCCCCCGCAATTGATTACGGCGCTCTGTCCATCCCAACTCTTTAGCAGCGGCAACGCTGTCCGCCAGTCCCCTGCTGCGCACTTCCGGTCAAACGCGGCAGTCTGTCCGATGCCCAACGTGTGCGCAATCTCGTGCATGGCCGTACGCTGGCTCATGTACGACCTGTTCGACCCAAAGCGCAAATCACCGTTGTAGTTCGCTTCGGCAGTTGGTACGCCTGGCGCGTAGGCGACGCGGATGACTTTGCTGGCAGTTGACAAGCGCGAGTAACGTGCCACCGCAAGACGCATAGCGGCTTCTATCTTGGTGTAGGCGTCGCTCTGGTCAGCGGTGGGGTTGGTCGCTTTCGCGAGCGTCCATGTTATCGCTGCTTGGGCGGTGGTGGCGTATGCCAGTAGAACTAGGATGGCGGAGAACTGCATAGAAACGAAGGTAGATTTTGCCGAGATGGGGAAGAGTGTGTTGGTTCAGAACAGACAACAGTCGGAAGTGGGCAGAAGTTTATATACATATACTTCTGATATGAACTTATCGCGCTGTTAAGGAGGTGAAATTTGGTATACTCCGAGATGTAATGCAAGGAGCGCCCGAGACATTCGAATCAGAATCCACAACACATGTACACCTCCTGATGCAGACTCACCGCTGTCAGTGGTAATCAAAGATATGATCCATAAGAGGGAAGACAGTTTAGTATATATTACCTTGGCAATTTGGCTCGAAACGACTTCACACGTAGCGCTAAAAGATCGACATATTCCCCACAACTTATCTCGATACAGCCAAAAACATGAATAATGAGGCGCTTAATGTGTCCCTAGTCTTCCCAACTGACAGCGGGCGTCGGAGTATTTTCGATGGAAGCGGAAAACTTGTTCAACCCAGCCAACCACGGTATGGCTATAGTAGAGGCGATAGAGTTGACTGTGTTTCTCATCATGCATGCAAATTGTTTACTGACTTGGAAGATTAGAGTCAACCTTATTTTTGAGCAAACGACCGCTAGCCTTTCACATTTGCAACTCGAGTATATACGCGCTTTCTCAAAGCTTACGTACTGATTAGCAAGGATAGGCAACTAACAACAAGATAGTACGAGATCAAAGTGAATGGCACAAGTACGCTATCTGCACAAGAAAACTCAGTGCATGATTGATCTTCAGCAATCATGTCTACTGTTACCAAGACACCTCGGTTTGTGTTGTTTTGGATTTCTCAGAGTGCGCTTCGATCTATCGTTCAGCACAACTTCATTGGGATACGTGTGTGCGATGTTGACCAGCATTCTAGCTCAAGACTCCGTCCTCTTGTAGTTGCCGTTCCACCCGTTCGCCAAGGCACATCGACAACGAACGTGTCAGCAGCCTTATCGCCGACAAGATGCAACCCTGCCAGATGGACTATCTCGTCCCGATGCGAACCACTGACGAGCTGCCCGTTATCGTCTCTGTGCCGTCACGATGGTCGTTACTCGAGCGAGACGTGCGCACCACCCAGAGCCATTCTCCTGGAGAAGTCCTTTCGTGATTGGCATTTCGATGTCCGCAGCAAACGGATAGATAAAGAAAACAAAATGGTGCGAGCCAACTTGAGAAGACAGTGAATGCATATAATTATAATCGCACCAAGAGGCTGCACATGGATAGATGTGGCGTAGCAGATACTATCAGTAAGAGTACGCGGACATATAAGCAGAGAAGAGGTCTTCGAGCAACATTTCTCCGCGCAAGTCTCTACAGTCATATTTTAGTGGTTGTGTCTCTCGTCCTCGATTTGTTCCATGAGTGTTTTGGCCACGTTGTCTTTTCAACGTCCAAACGACTTACCAACAACGTCTGGGGCCACTGTCAAAACTGCAGACCAAACATCCCCCCGTTCGAATTCCCTTCTTAGCACCCAGAGAGATTCTCGAAGACATCACGTAGCCATTCGGTGCCGAAACAACCAATTATGACGTTGCTGTCAGATCGCAAGTAGTTTCAAATCTCAACTAAGCTTGCATTGATAAGGACACCAACGACTATAAAGTCTTACATATTGCAATTTCTGTCTATGTACTGGACTAGCTTGCTACTTGTATTTGTACTGGTTGGCCAGGTCAAGACGTTGTTTGTTGCGATATGAGTAATACATCATGCGTAGTTCCAAAATATATCACGGAAAGAATATGGTCTCACACATGTAAGTTCAATACCGCATCAATGGGCGGGTAATGCTATTTGCATTTGGTTCCCTCAATACTGTAGAAATCTGCATCATAAGAAGTTTAGCGCGATGACTGCGCCGCATTGTTACGGTGCGTCGTGGACGCTTGTAATAGGTCGCGAGCTCTTCAACACGACGGAGTGGCTAAGCCCTGCACTCGTGATCATTCGGTTGAGCCGGCTTCTACGATACTAATAAAGCCGTATTTACCTTTAAAGTTTGTGACGAAACTGCATTACACATACCAAACCTGTTTTCGTTTTCGAGGTGTTCTACGATGGAGCAGACCCCCTATGTTGATTGGTACTCTACAGCCTTCGTCAACGAAACAGAATTGTCAATGACAATTCTGCGTGGCTACGCGCAATTCTCGATCAAAGTCCAGGTCGCTCGAGTCGAGGGCACACGTTTTGGTAAAGAGCTCGTACAACATATAAAGCTATGTCAAGGGCACAGGTTTGGGAATTTCGAGTCCCGTGATAAGATCTCCGATCTGGTTTACCAGCAATGCCTACCCCTTGTTGAAAGGCTATCACCGCAGACGTTACTTCGGGATCTCAGCCTCGAACGCTTTCTCCACGCGCCCACGTACCACTTGGAAATTATCGACGCTGGCATCAACGGAGACTTACGCATTGAAGGGGAGGAGGAGTGTTCGCATACGCCGGCTTTCTCCATGTCCCCAATGCCAACTGCCGAATTACCTGAATCCTGCAAAGTAGTTCCTCACTTTCGGGCCTGCGACATCCAGATAGCCCCTATTAGGGATCACACAAAATCACTCGACTGGGTACAAGGAAGAGTTATGGTAGAGGGGAACTTCATGTATTTCAAACCACGGTTCGATATGCGTGAACCAGACTTTGAGCGTGAGTTCTGGATCCTGTCACGTATCAACGAAGCTGGTCTAGGAGACCAAGTCAGAGTCCCCAAACTACTGGGTATCGTGGTATCAGGCAAGAACGGAGAAATTACTATGGGTTTTCTGATAACTATGATCACCTCACCTGAGATGGGGTCCCACTTGCGAAGCCCGGGCTTTTGGGACAAGCCTGAATTGCATAAGAGGTGGGAAGAACAGGTCACTGCCACAGTAAAGAAGCTGCATGCCAGTGGCATCGTGTGGGGAGATGTTCATCCTATGAACATCGTTATCGATGAGGAATTCAATGCATGGGCTATTGATTTTGGAGGTATGAATAATGTACAATTCGTGGATGATAAGAATCGTGAGACTGTCGAGGGTGACAAGCAGGGTGTAACCAAGATCTTCCAAGAGTGGTTACCGAGTCGTCTGAGGCAAGAGGCAGAAGTTTGGTAAATTGATCATGAACGCTCGGGTCTCGGTCGAGTTGAAGTCGTTCGATATACGGGGGTTCAAAGTGACGCATTGCGCGGGAAGAAGTAGCCCAGTTACACATAGCAACCAAAGACTCAGCGAACACTAGAATAGGGGGATCTGAGGGAAGTTTACTAAAATTACAAAGGTCGGGAAGGCCATCATGAAGCGAAATGTCAATGTGCGCAAAGTCTAAACTTGAAGATCAATGTTTACAGCAATCTCCTTGGTCAAAGTCGAAGAGATTAGACCAACAATACAACCTTGAATTTCCCAACACTTATCCTAATGACAGCCAAAGAGCCCGGTTGGCAAGGTAATAATCCTCATTTCAATAGATCGGAACACTCGGTCGCGCCTGTGCCAAGGACTTATCAAGCTAAAGGCCACGGCTGGCAGGATTTCCTAAGCTCAAATCTACTCCCCTTGATCACATCGTATTCTATCAAAGTTCAATCGTCATAGGCAAGAAGCCCGCATCAGATAACTTCTACCGACTATTCACGATAGTATGATTTGACAGAACCACCTCAACAGAGGGGGGTAAAACCACCTACTTTCTGCATTGGAGTGCCTTTATAATCACATTACTCTAATCTTGCTTTGGGTGGCTATAATGCAATGCATCTACAAACATATACTTCGGCTGTCTTGGAAGCTCAAGATATTACCCGTTGAGCTAGATATATCATGACTCTCCAGAAAAGTTTGGGTACATGCGTTCGTTAACACATTGAACGCCACAGGACCTTCGCAAACAATCCCTGGTGGAGCTGCCCAAGAACATCATGCTTCCATACACGTGAAAAGACTTTCGATTGGAGGATTAAATCCAAGATACATTTGATATCCGACAATAGTACAACATGGATACTAAATGTTGAGAGACTATCGTCTTGTTGCAACGCTTAGCACCGAGGCGAGGGGTGCGGCAAAACGGAGCGTTGCCGGCATCGCTGATTGGCTCTCCCGCCCGATCTCTTCGAACCGCCTCGAGTGCCACTACATAGCATGAGCGAAGCTAGTCGTGTGGAGCGCAGATGGTAGCCCAGTATTCCCCGCTACCCCACAAAGAACTGCAACGGTAAGATGTGTCGGTACCGAACATGTCGGATCTCAATAGCACACCCGAGGTCTTTCCTCACGTGGCTCTGTTTGTACGTGCCGATGTAAACGTTATATAACGTATTCGTTCCGTCTTGCCATAGAGCTCGTAACCCGAGTCATTGCGATAGTATCATCACCATGCTGATTTCCCGCACCTTTGCCGCCGCGGCGCTGTTGTTCGCCTCAAACACCATCTCTACCAACATCACCGTGCCTGCCGCGCCAGCGCTCGAATACCTTTACACTGCACTTGTCGATTGCGAGGCTCGAGTGTTCACTAGCCAAACGCCAAAAGGACTACGCACAGCGATTCCCATCGTGGGCGGCAACTTCACTGGCCCACGTTTGAACGGCAAGATTCTCAATCTTGGTGCCGACTGGGGTACATCAGATCCTCAGACGGGGCTCTTTACAGCAGACACGCGATACAACCTTCAAACAGACGACGGCGCAAACATTTTCATCCAAACTACAGGTACAAGACAGCCTGATGGCAATCTACACTTGCGATTGGTGTTTGAAACTGGCGACAAGGACTACTACTGGTTGAACAACATCGTTGCGGTGGGGATATTACACCGCATTGCCGTTTATGCCGACGGTAGCTACACCTTGCAGATCGATGCTTGGAACGTGAGTACTTCTGTGTACTAACTCTTGCTTACTATCGACGTTAACGTATTTGTAGCTTGGCAACGAGTGGACTAACACAACTTTTGTTAACGGAACTACATACTGAATGCAAAAAAATAGAATGGGCGACATAAGTTGAATAGTTCAGAGTTGAAAAGATCTTTGAAAAGAATATCTCATCTCAACGAGGCTTACCAACTATTAGCATGGTATAAACAAAGCTTTGAAGCAACACTCTTCTAAAATGTGTTTCTCCCTCTGCATTCAAAGTGGCTCTGCACTCCGCCTGGATATGACACTCTATAGGGTCGCTCTTATCCGCTTGCAACGTTATGTCTCCCTCCTGCTATATATATTGTACGATGAACATGGGGAAGTAACACTTAGCATGGTTATCAGGCGAAATTGCGGAGCATCAAAATGCTTTGGAAGCACCAATCCGAATCTGACTATAACAATTGCTGTCCCTAAATCTGTAAATATCTGCGCAGGATATGCTTCTCCTTTCCACTTGCGGTTGAGTTAGCTTTTCATGAGCGTGTGCAGGTTCTGGCAATCGCCTAAATTCTTGAGATAATCCTTGATTGCTTCCAGACTGTACTATCTGCTAAGCTGCTCGTAGACAGTTGAGAGCAGATTGTTGTGTGAGCGATTGTTGTATTCAATAATTGCCTTACAGAAAAACCATTCGAAATTTGACTCACTCAACAAAACTAGTGATGTCATTTAACTTATAACGCTTGGACCACTCTGCCTTGCATCAAGCCGGTGACCAATAGGCCTTATCTATCCCCCGCATTATGCGCAGCCTCTTATAACTAACCGCGTCCTATACAGTTTGTATATATGCTCTACTGTTATGCCTTCTGATACTAGAAGATCTCACGTTCGGCGCTCTAATGTAACTGCCTGTGCTCGTTGTAAAGCTCGAAAACAACGCTGCGATCAAAACATACCAGCATGCTCCAATTGCGAGCGAGCGGGTGTAGAATGCGTCGGCCATGACGTTGATGGTTCTGTCGTTCCACGAAGGTATGCTCGCCATCTCATACCCTAAAACCACTACGCTAACAGTATGAAAGTTATATCAAGAATCTGGAAGACCACGTGGCACTTTTAGAGCAAGAGATTCAGAGGTACCGCTCTACCGACCAGTCAATTCCTTCGGAAACCAAACCAGGACCCGAATTTGTTGAGCAAGTGCTTGCGCAAGCTAGTTTTGTCTCTCTTCATACCTCGAGTTACCCAAGCCCGCGATACATGGGAACCGGTTGTGGTTTACCATTGTTACGCCTGCTTCTTGTTGGACTTGGTGCCTCAGCACCCATAGATCGTGTTAGCACTTGCGATCCTGGATTGTTATCTATTGCGGATCTACTGCCGCACGAGGTTGTTGTACAACTGCCTGCTAACAATGTCTCTCTTCGGCTGATTGACGTCTATCTTGAGCACTCTGACTTCTTCTCTCCAATCTTCTACCGAGCAGATATATTGGGCATGCTCGACGCTGCTGGGGATATTCCTTGTCTCAAAGTACGATTCAAAATCTTCATGATAATGGCCATTGCCCTCCAGGTCTTGAACCGAACTGATTCGAGTATCTCTATCACCAGATCTGATGCTTTTTTCTCTGCAGCATCGCGCATTCTGCTCACAGATTCTGCCAATCTTCTAACGGGGGACTTGGAGCATATGGAAATATTATTACTTATGATTCAGTATTCGTCCTTTTCCTCAAGTCCCGCTGGAACCTGGCATATCATTGGACTGGCGACTAGGTTGGCAGTTGATTTAGGACTTCATGACGAGCCTCCTCATCGCCTTCGACTCGACCCACTTGCGCTAGACCGACGAAGGCGAATCTTTTGGGCTACATACACGTTCGAGAGAAACCTATGTGCTGTGCTAGGCCGCCCAGTGTCAATCCCTGATGAAGCCATCTTTGTGTCCCTTCCGGCCAATGTAGATGACGAATACATTACCGAGGATGGAATACTACCGCAGTCAGGTCCTTCGCGGGTAGCACTAGCAGTGCACCTTATCAAATTTCGACGATTCGAGTCCGAAATTATGCAAATCTTGCATCAACAGCCACCACTTGCCTCACGAAATTTTGAACACTACTCTTGGCGGGACGATATGCGTCAGAGACTCTATGAGTGGCGCACTACTGTACCTTTTCACGAAAACCCAACCCAATTGGCGCCTATGGAGATCTTTGATGGTTATCTTTACAACTCACTGGTTCATCTCTTCTCCCCATCCCGCCACATATCTATTCTATCCGCCGACGACTTAGTGTTCCTTGCTGATTGTGCCAAAAGAAGCATCGAAGCGTATCGTTCAAGTTTTCGCGATGGCAAACTACGTTTCTATTGGCGCACCATCCATAACCTCTTCCGCTCTGGCGTCTCTCTTATCTATTGTCTGAAAAATTGGCCACAAGGGCGGGACCTCGACACTCGCTCGGCACACACAACAATCAACTTATGCTCTTCAGTCCTTTGGGGCATGGTCGAACGCTATCCAGAGGGCAAACCTGGTCGGGATACCTTCGAAACACTGTATCAATCCTTTCAGCAGTCCAATACCGAGCACTTGTCCCACCTACAAACCCAGTCTTTTCCATTCGCTGATTCACTTGGATTTGCGCCCGCTACTCTTGACACCTCAAAGGTGTCATCTGGCCCGATACCAGATGACTCCGTTCTAGAAGATGTCAGCTTGCCGCACTTGTATGCCTGGGATCTGTGATTAAGCGCTGAAAGCACGAACATGTTGGTGGCAAATTTCTAAAGCTATGTTTGACTGATTGTAACAATATTTAAGATATTCATAAATCTTTCATGGGATCTACTGGGGCAGGATTGCTTTTAAGACTTTTCAAGAAACTCGCCTTGAGCTTCATCATTGGCTGCAAAACCCATGTGTTGTAGGCCAAGATATCACTTTCTTCTTTTGGATCACGCATTACATTGAACAGATAAGGGGATTCCAATTGCCCCGACGACTGGTTCACCTTCGGTTCCCACACCAGATGTAGCTTCCAATGCCTCCACTTGATGGCTCGCAAATCGTCTTTGATGTAAAATAGGAAACCTTCGCGTTCACTTTTCACTGAAGTCGGGTTTTGGAAGAATTTTACCTGATCAAACCCGTCAATGGGTCGATCACTGGGCTTTGCGACACCAGCCATCGCCAGAACTGAGGTGAAAATGTCCGTGACATGCACCATCTCATTAGAGGTAATATTCTCTGGGACTTGGCCAGGCCACCTGATGATGAACGGCACACGTAAGCTACCTTCCATGGCTGTGTGGTAAGTTCCCGACCATGGACCTGCAGTTCCGCGATAAGGTGGACGAAATTCTGGCCCATTGTCTGACGCAAAAATAACAACTGTGTTCTTCCGGATACCAAGCTCGTCGATATGATCCAGGAGTTGACCAACGCGGAAGTCCATCTCAGCCATTGAATCCGCGAAATCTCCGTTGCCTGTTCTGCGCGCAAAGTCTGGATGTGGTAGAGTGGGGAAATGCAAATGAACGAGTGGATGGTATAAAAAGAACGGCGCCTCAGATGCCGCCTTTCTTGACAGCCAGTCTTTGCTTTTCTCAACTAACATCTCATCGATCAGTCGCCTCTTCTCGAGATCGTATACGCAGACTTCTTCAGATGCTTGGCCAGTAACGCCTTGCATGATGTACGGCAATTCGGCAACTTCAGCATCAAACCCCACCGCTGAAGTAAATTGGCTTTCATCGGTCGTCCTTGGAATACCGAACCATTCGTCAAACCCACGATCGGATGGGTATCGTCCCGGTACGTCGCCGAGATGCCATTTGCCATGGTGTGCAGTTGCGTATCCCACCTTTCGTAAACACTCAGGAAGAGTATTCTCCCATGGTGTAAGGCCTTGAGGTTGCCCAGCAGGCACGGATTGCTTGCAACCTGTTCGAATAGGGTGGCGGCCCGTCATCAGAGCCGAGCGGGTGGGAACGCAGTCACTTTCCACGTTGAAATTATGTAGAAGCAGCCCTGAAGTCGCAAAATCATCGATGCGTGGAGTCGCGGCACCGCGAAGAGCGCCTCCACCGTAGCAGCCCAGCTCACCCCAACCGAGGTTGTCTGCTAGAATAAGGACAATGTTTGGGCGATTGGGATCTTTAGACATGATTGGGGTTTGAAAGAATGCGCGCGGATGGTCCGTTTTTGAATAGCGATGGTTGTAGTTGCAACCAGCGGTAGATCCAGGGTTGAAAGAATGAAAGTTATCCTTGGCTGAGAGTGTGCATTGCCTGCATACGCGGTTCTTTGTGAGGAGTTAAACGGTCGCTGTCGTGACCCAATAATTGTTGGGGATCACGCCTTGGAGCCTTCGAAAATCCGACTTCGGCCCGTTCGCTCACCACCGACGCTCACCTCCGAAGGCGAACCTGCACCCCGCAATAACGCTGCATCGGCAATGAGGCGACCGCCGAGAACGACATAAGTATTGATTCGTGTCAACCGAGAACGACATAACTGACGCGTGTTTATCGAGCACGACATAACTGACTTCCTGCTAGTCCGATAAGAGAGCACATCTAGATGCGGTAACTATCAAGGCCAGCCGACCCTCGAGGTTACATATTAAGTTTGGCTTCCCTTCGAGGTAGCCGCAACTTCATCGCATCGTTCATATCATCGATTTTTGCAGTCCGAACGGCTACCTGTTCGTGTTTTCATCAACCTTGACATGGCTGAACCTAGCACACATGTGTCGAAGACAGCCTCCGCTCAAGGACTGGAGGAGAAGCAGTTTGGATTGCAACCGTCCACGTCAGAATACGATGGAGGAAGCGTCTCCTGGACCGTCGCAGAGGAAAAAAAGGTCTTGCGAAAGTGAGTCCCACAACACCGGAAAATGACATCCTATTTACCACCCCGTTCCCAGACTCGACTTCTATCTGATGCCACTGCTTGTGCTTGGATTTCTTGTGCTACAACTTGATCGTAGCAATATCTCCAATGCGTTGACGGACACTATCACCACCGATCTTGGGATCACTTCAAACGACGTGAACCTAGGCAACCAGTTGATGCTTGCGGGCATAATCATCTCCGAATTGCCGTCCAATCTGGGGCTACAGCGAGTGGGCGCTCCCATTTGGCTTACTGGGCAAATGTGCATCTGGGGCACAATTGCTCTAGCACAAGCCTGGGTTACGAACGTTGACTCTTTCTTCGCCACACGGTTCATCCTCGGCGTATTTGAAGGCGGGTACGTCCCAGGAGCTCAATACATGCTCTCTTTGTTTTACACTAGAGAAGAGCTTGCTTTGAGGACTGCCATCTTCTACTTCGGAAATTACTTCGCAACGGCCACAGGCTCTTTGATGGCAGCCGGCATCTTACAACTAGCCGGCCGCAGTGGTCTCTCAGGCTGGCAGTGGCTTTTCATCAGTCAGTCAATTCTTATTCCAGCAGACGGATTTTGCTAACACGCTTCACTACAGTCGAAGGCATATTGACCCTGGTTGTGTTTCTTATATTCGTTCTCTTTCTGCCGAAAAGCCCTATGCAGACCAAACCCATTCACGGTTATTGGGATGTGTTCTCCGAGAAAGACAGAACCATCATGTCAGCACGCATGCATGGCTTGGACCGCAGCGCCAAAGCCAATATGAGTTGGATCGAAGTAAAAGAGGCTCTCCTAGACGTCCGCCTCTGGTTGCATCTCATACTCAACGTGGCCAGTCTCGCGCCCAAAGGCGGCCTCCAGCTCTACGGGCCCTCGGTTATCAAAAGCCTCGGATTCTCCAAAACCAAGGCCAATGCACTCAACTCTGTCAGCAGCTACCTCGTCGTCGTCTTCTCCTTCCTCATCTCGTATGCATCCGATAAGACACGCCTTCGGGGCCCATGGTGCATTGTTGCATTTGCCTGGTCTATGGCGTTTGCCGGCGCACTGCATGGCTTGCCGCTCAATGCGAACAGATGGACCCGGTACTGGGTGTTCACGTTCTTGGGAAGTGGCAATGCGCTTGCGCAGGGATTAAACGATGCATGGCTAAGCGCGAATGCAAAGACTCCTGCGAAGCGGAGTATTGGTCTCGCACTCGTGGTCATGGGCTCTAACTTGGGGGGTCTAGCAGGACAGCAGATGTTCAGAACTTCGGATGCACCAAGGTACCAGCGAGGGTTTCTCGCTATCTTGTGCCTCTACGCGGCGTCTATTGCGATCGCATGCGGTATAATGGCGGTATATTGGTGGACGAATAAACGAAGTGCAGAGGTACATACGGCTCAACAGAACGAAGACCGCGAAGATCCAACGACGCAGCCATTCGTATGCCAGCTGTAGAATGTTTGCAGCGCTGTAGAGATGGTGTAACTAGATATTGCTCGCAAATCTTGATTGTACTTTCATTCAACGTTGTTGAGTTTATAGATTTAATCTTTTCTTCACACTCTTTTCCACGCGCTGGCAACTTTAAATATGTTCTTTTTCTTTCCTAGCTGTTCTATTCCTTCCGTCTTATCGGTTAGCTACATTCCAGGATCAGGCAGCCTCTTGAAAGGGATAATCAGACGGTAGGACCGAAAGCGCTGCACACACCAACGAAATCACCAAGACGTCCTTGGTGCCTGTTATATACGTAGCAATTGTCGCAGCTAGATTATCGACGTTGAACAATAGCTGGAATTTGTGGGCGCTGATGACTAGGGTTAGGGCGACATCGAGGTTGAATGCATCAGTGAGAGGTGCATTTAGCATGTGATCAGTGAGATGGGTTGATAGTGTGGCAACGAAATAGGCGCAGCTCAATGTCTAGAAAAGTGAACAACTGTCAACGAAGATGCACGACAAGTCAAAAGATTTTCTTGAATAAAATCCATAGACTATATTCTCCACAGCGAAGTCGAGCAGCCTTGCGTGGAGTTTCCGCGAGGCCGTTAGCGACCCTTGTTGGTGGGGCATTACGCACGGGCCACAAGCACGACTCGGATTCCTGCACTGCTGTACTTGCTTGCTGGAAGAATGGGTGTCGGTGTTCTGTATTTAGATTCCTAGCATTACTTTGTACCTGCCCTAATGATTGTATAGGATGGGATTGGAAGAGGCTTACAAGCGGCTGCCAGCGCCTGACCCCTGGTTTCCGCGGCCAAGCTGGCCCGGAACCCCGCTTCCTAGTGCCCAGCTGATGCGCCTCAGGCCCTCCTCCATGTAGTCGCGCGGGTGCGCGAATCCAATGCGAAACATATCCAGTGACTCGCTGTCAAAGTTTCCTCCCCATGCCACGTAAACCTTCTGTTTCCGCAACGCTTCCTTGACCTCCTCCACCACTGCTCGTCTGCCGGCGAGTTCCGGGTGGCGGCGACGATACGCCTTGCCCAGGTCCGCCCAAACGAACAGGGCCGCGTGCGTGCCCGCTGTGAAAGGGATGGCGTGCCGCCGCAGGAAGTCGGTGGTGAATGTGTACGCGCTTGCCAGCCGTCGTCGGTTCTCTTCCAAGTAGCCTGTCGTAAACCTGTCATCTTCCAGCATCTGCGCCACGACGTGATCTGTAATAGAAGACGGGTACGAGTAGATAGCAACCGAACCCAGAGCCGCCTGCAGCCCATAATTGCCCGAGACGAGGCATCCTATACGCCATCCGTTGGCACCAAAGTCCTTGGAAACTCCCCACAGCACATGCACCAAGGCGGGATTGATGATACCGTCGAGGTCCAGGGAGAGCACCGAAACGAAGCCTGGCTCACTAAAAACAGACAAGGCGTAGACCTCGTCGCTCACCAGATGGATCTGGAATCTCTCACAAAGCAAGAGCAAGGCCTGGAGAACATCGCGTGGGTAGCAGCGGCCTAGCGGGTTGTGAGGTGAGCATAGGAGCAGGCCCTTCACGACGATGCCTTGCTCTCGTGCACACATGAGGGCCTCCTCATAGCACCCAACGGCTGGCAGGCTTAGCGGGTCCAACTCGCCAAACGTGACGGGCACCGTCCGCACACGTGGTCGTAGGCTCAGCGTCACCTCTCCGTAGTATGGCCTTCCTAGGAGGAAAGCGTCGCCCGGATTGGCTAAAGCCCATACCGTGTGCTCGAGCGCGCTGGAAACGCCGTTGGTAACTATGATCTGGGAAGCTTCCACGGGCCGATGTGCTTTCAGTTGTCGAGTCAGGAACCTGGCCAATGCCTGTCGCAGTCGTTGGCTACCCAGTGGGCCGTCTTGATACGTTAGAACGCTGCTATATAGATTGATGTGGTTCGCAAGAAACTCCTTGAGCTCAGCTTGCATCAGGTGGTTTTCAGCCACGCCTAGGTTCACATAGCCCCGTGAGTCGTGCCTGTTCCATGGATCTTTCATCACGTCCCACATCTCATTGGATGCGCTACTGGGAACTTGATCCTGAGCTCTTTGCGAGAGCATGACGTAGGTAGCGAATGGTCGCCGTTCGTGAACCTGTTGAGACGGAGGAGATGTCGACCAATTGTGGAGATATAATCCTCAGTCGAGACTTTGCAAAAGTTCTATAATCGCCTAAGGAAGTCAATCAACAATTAGACTAGAACTTGCAGTTACTGAGTATGTACTGAAAAGAAACAGATGCGCTTAAATACTTTTACGCCTGCTTCTTGATCTATACTATAAATCAAAAGTCTTGTACATAAGCCTCTCGTGTGGCACAGACTGCGATATTAGATAAGACACAGTAATAAACAAGGCATGTAAGGCTGATGTAAGGTAATCTGGGGCGTATCACCCCTGCTCTCATCATGGTCATCTTGTGCAAAGCCAGGTATCGTTAGAACGCGTCATGTAAACAAATATCAAGTGTAACGAATCTTTTTTACACGTATGTAGTCCACAAGGGTTGTAAAGCTACGCCATTATTTCAAAGTACTAATGAAAATAGGATCTCTTGTTCATGAATTAGTATAACTCTCGTAAAGAAGCTGATGATGGCTAGAGACAAAGAACACAGGTCAAAGAGCAAGAAGGTAGTGTATAATAATTGCTCATTTGCTGCTATTGCCTCCATCTTCCCACCTGTAGAAGATTGTGATTGGCGCTACCTCAGGTTGCGCAAGGACTTCAACTTGCAACTCCGATCTTTGAACGAAGGCGGCACCCTAGGACTTCATAAGCTCATAGGCTTTCCATGTGGATGGGACGAACCGTTCGAAATCCAGGACGAGTTGGAACTGCGGCCGCAGTCAAAGCATCTGGAAGTGAGGATCCTGAGGAGGTCAGACGACCTCATTGTGCTTAAGACTGGGGAGAAGGTGGCTCCAGGTCTGTTGGAGGAAGCGCTGTCGAAAGACGCGGCTGTACGAACCGCAATCTGCATAGGTAATGGGTTCTTCGAACTGGTCCTTCTCGTCGAACAGTCGCGTTCCCTCGAACTAAGTCAAGATGCTTTTGTCGATCACGTTTGGAACCTGGTTAACGATATCAATCCCCTGCTAGATCAACATGCGCGCATCTCATCCAAAGCGGCGATCATCCTGAAGTCACCCGCAAAGGAGATTCGACGCTCCGACAAAGGTTCTGTGATGAGAAAAGAGGTACAGGAAGATTTCAAGTCGGAAATTCAACAGGCCTATGAGGCATTAGAGTCATGTGCTACAACCTGGATCTTGCAGCCAGACAACCTCAACTTTGAGTTGGTCGATTTGGTAAAGAGCTTGTTGACACACTCCGGTCGTGCAAATGATGCTCTTGGTCTCAAAGATGATATGTTCGAGGCAGGCCTGGACTCGTTGGGAACCGTTCGTCTTACTCGCGCTATCAACGCTGCGGTGCGGAAGGTATCTACAGTCACCCCGCCCACAATCAAGCCCGATTTTGTCTACCGCAAACCAACCTTCAAGCTTCTTGCAGACGCGTTGAGGCCTTTGCTGATGGGCAAAGATGAGCTTCCCGTTTTAGAACAAGGTCGGGAAGTGCAGATGAGATCTATGTTGTCCAGTTTTCTCGACACTCATCCTGCCGAAATGGCAGGTGACGGTGCGGTTGTCCTCCTCACCGGATACACGGGTAGCCTGGGCGTTCATGTACTCCGACAGTTGGCAACCAGCAACCGAGTTCACCGAGTCATATGCTTGAATCGCGCAGTTTACAGGGACGGCATGCGCTTGAGTCCATCTGTCCGGCAGGCGGAAGCCAACGCAGTCGCAGGGGTCTCTGTTCCGGTCCACATCTGGGAAAAGGTCGAGTTCTTGGACGCTAACATGCAAGCACCGGACCTAGGCATCGGCAAACAGGATTTCGTGCGCCTCGTAGGATTCGTGACGCACATAGTGCATCTCGCGTGGCCGATGGACTTCAAACGTAGCTTGAAGAGCTTCGAACCTCACGTCCAAGGCACGAAATTGCTGACCGACCTTGCCATTGCCGCACACGAAGCCAGCGGGGGAGCCTTGAGACCGCGGCTCTTGTTTGCTTCGTCCATCGCAGTACTTGCACGATACGAGACGAAAAAGGATGTTTTGGTGCCAGAAGCAGCCGTTGACGATCCCCTAGTCACAGCTCCAATGGGATACGCAGAGGCAAAGTGGGTTTGCGAGCAGCTGCTCAGTTCAAAGGAGCATCAGTACCGAGACAAATTTGATCCGATGATTGTCACAATCGGCCAACTGAGCGGAGCAGAGGGCGCTGGCGTGTGGAAGGTGGAGGAACATTTTCCCACGCTCGTGAAGATGTCGCAGAAAGTATCTGCTTTGCCTGCACTGAGAGGTGTAAGTTTAGGATAATTCCCCATGTACCATGGCTGACGAGGCCTTGCAGAGTTATTCGTGGTTGCCCGCCGACCGAGCAGCCAAAGTGGTAATCGAATTGCTTTTTCAACAAGACCCACCAAAGTCTGTTTTCTATCATGTCGAGAATCCCATTCGTCAGTCAAATCACGATCTGGCTATCGTTCTACAGCATGAGCTGGGCTTGGTTGGACCACTGCTGCCGTATGATGTGTGGCTTACAAAAGTTCGTGAAACTGGAGACGCGAATGAACTTCTCGAGTTCTTCGAAAACGACTTTGAAAGGCTTTCTGGCGGAACTATATCTTTGGACACACAAATAGCTAGGCTGGCATCCCCAACCTTGCAGAGGACCAGCGGGGTGAAGAAGGAGTTGATCGAAAAGTATATTGAGACATGGAAAGCGATGGGGTTCTTGTCGAGAACGGATGGAAAAACTACGTAGTAAATCCCAACTCTTGGCACATTGAGGCCGTTTCAACCTAGACCATTTAGCTATTCTACCCTATGCTCGGAAGAAGGAAAGATTCAAAGTATTTATCTAACGTCTCTACTTCGGCTAACGGTGCCGTGATACCAACCCACAAATCCGGCCGGATCACAGCTAGACCACCATTTTCACGATCGGCGCCCCACATAGTGTGTGCATTCTCATCAGGTGCGCGGTCATCAAACACAAAGGTGGCCACCTTTTTCAGCTTTTCCATTCCTGGTGACAACAGCTCGTCCAGCTCGAATGGAACGCATTCCACGACCACGACAATGTTGAACGTCGATGGACCTCCAAAGCGTTGGTAGAATCCCAAGGGACTAAGGGACTCAGTAAATTGGCTGATAGCCTGACGCACTGGACCACGGAGTGACGAAGCGAAGAGCACAATGTGGAACGTGGCTGCACCTGTCAACTTGTCGTACAGGTAGCCTGTCTCGGCGGCGGAAAAGCAGACTCGTGGGTTTGGTGCGCGCACTCCGTTGCGAACATTCAAGGCTACCTGCTTCTCCTTCTCCAGAGACGGGCTGATGACAGAAGCCTTGTATGGTGCATCCACGCCAAGCAGGAAAGGGCCGTTCCCTTGAAAAAAACTTGCCAGAAGTTGCAGGTCCCTCTGCGGAGACTCGCCCGTGGGTTCCTGCTCGAGTGATACAGGTTTCAGTTCATCGGGCATCGAAGCAGCGACCGAGATATCAACATTGCACACGAACCGCAGATATCTGCCGGAGACCTTGATGATACGAACTGCATGGGGACGCCGCTCAGCAGTGTAGGTGGGCAGAAGAGCTTCATGCCGCGCTTTGTTACGGGTTACAAGACCCAATTTCCATGCAAGATTGGCAGCATCCATAATCGAGGCGTTCAGGCCAAAGGCACCCATGACGCTATGAACGTGCGCAGCATCGCCGACGAGGTGAACGCGATTGTCTGGCGAACAAAAGGACTCTGCGACTCGCTCCGAAACTACGTCTCGTCAGAGTAGATCACGTCTTGCAGCTGGCGAACTTACTTTTCCAAACGGCGAACCAGCTTAGCGGCGCTGCAAACTTGAGCGTGTAGGGAGCGAAGATCTTGTTTGCCTGCTCAAGAACCTCTTGAGGAGTGATGCTGTGCACGTCGACATTGCCTCCAGACTCCGCAAACGATGCATCTTGGGCCTGTCGGGAGGAAGCAAGGGGGCCAGTCTTCGAAACGTCCAATTGCGTGTATAGTCTAGCAGATCAGCTGAGCCTTTTCCAGCACCCTTGTGCACATACCTGATGTACCCGTCCTCTCTGGGAATGATCACACATCCACCATGCTTCGAGCTGATGACGGAGCCAAAGACGAAAGCATGAGGGTAATCCGAATCGTAACGACAATCCATGATACCCCAGTATATGTCTGTGCTCATGCCTTCGAAAGGGATCCCCAATTGTTTGCGGACCGTACTAGCAGCTCCATCGCTGCCGACCAAGTACTTCGCCTTGACGAGCTCCCGCGCACCAGTGCGAGAGTTATATAGCTTAGCATGAACCGGATGAGAAGAATGCTCGTCGATTTCGAATTTGCTCATAGTCGTGCTGCGTTCGACGAGTGCTTTGTGACGTGTCAAGTCACCGGATGTAGATTCTCTCAATTTGCCCTTGAGTGATGATGTGAAGGCCTCGATAGCGGGAATCTGATTGGTGAGATGGACCGAACAGCAGTTTCTTGCCGTCCTTGTAGATGGCTGTTCGTTCGATCAAAGGTCCTTCTTCCGCGACCTCCTGAGCAAGACCCCACGTCGCCAGGGTCTCGAGGAATCGCGGCTGAACGCCATCAGCTCGTCCTGCTACGAGAGGAGCATCGGCCTTGTCTGATGGTAGTAAGCGCCGCGTCGTTGCAGTTGCGTGATTAACATACCAATGATACGAAAAGTCACGCCTTGCCTGGCAAGACTGATGGCAACTTCGAGGCCGCTGGGTCCGGCTGCAAGGTCGCGTCAACAACAGAGACATTCCATCCTTTTCCACTCTACCTACCTCCACAGATGAGCACGTCGATCTCCTGCTGGGGCTTCCACCAAGATGGGATACCATGTGGTGTGTTGGTGCCATCGTAAAGCGTTGGCCATGTGCGCAAGACGTTGATTCCAATCGCATTATGCCTAGAGCTGGTCACTACCTCTTTCGAAGGAGGTAAGCTGGAACTGTCATCATCGTGTTCGACCTCCCATCGCCGAATTTCGCTACGCTCTCAAAACCCTCGCTCCCATGTGAATGAAGACACTGATCTTGCCATCGCTCAATTGCAAATTGCTCGTTTCAATTGTCGTATCACTTTTCTTGATTTCGCAACTAAATTTATGTTTTATTGTCCAGGTGAACCTTAGAACGTACTCAGTGGGCGAGGTCCGCCATACTCCGGTCCGCGGAAGACGCCAGTCGGCGACAAAACGTACTCCAGTCTCTTGGTATCCCAAGCTACAAACATTGTGAGAACCTCAACCAGGTTCTGCCCATTTCAACATCCAAAATATCTCATACATCTGTTCCGTCACGCGCCAAGATTGACCGGGACTATGGACCCCAACTCAACCTCGACCAAGCTTATCCAGCTCGGTGTGCTGGTGCAATCGGCGCTAGCTACACTGATAATATCGAGCAGAGATGGCAAGGACTTTCTCCCTCCGAAAGCGCTGTTCGATGCCCAAAGAACGATCCTCTCTGCAGCTGGCATGCTCACTGAGCTTGGGAGCACACCGAGCAACCGCCTTTTGGAAGTATCGACGCAATATTTCGAGGCACGTGCTTTGCACATAGCAGCTGAAAAGCGGATCCCAGACATGCTTGCCGGCTTCGATGAGAGGGGTGTTGCAGTAGAGGAACTGGCAGAGCAGGTGGGCTGCGACGCCGCGAAACTATGTCAGTATCACCGTTGAATACGTACATGGGAAGACCTCAGCCGTGCTGATTGACATTTCGATGATGTTAGCTCGGATCATGCGCTGTTTGTGCTCCATCCACATCTTCAAGGAGGTTCAACCCGACCGCTTCACGAACAATGGTGTGTCGGCTGCTTTGGTGAACAACGAGCCTCTCAGGGCATACATCGTCATGTTGTACGTCGGTGCAGGTCCTCAAAAGAAGACAACATACTGAACTCGCATGCATAGTGCATTTGACACATACTCGGCTTCTGACCACTTCCCTCGATCCCTCTTCGATAAGAAAACGGGCCCTTCGTACGACGTCGCAGAGACTGCGTTTCAGGCAGCGGTAGGCACGCACAAGCCACGGTGGGACTGGCTCGAAGAAAAGGTTACCGTGCAGGACTTGCAAGATGGCCGTTGCGGTACCAAAGGGGAACACAGCGGATATCCCGGCCCTTTCGGCTCCGAGCTTGACAAGGCAGTAGAGGGCAAGGCTGGCTCTGAGCTAGTAGGGCGGCCGGAACTGCCCATCTTCGGTCTCGCAATGGTTGGCGGAGGTGAAGTCTTTGGCAAGGCTCATCTGTATGGTGGGTGTCTTGAGTAACAATGAGGGCGTGCAGCAGCTAACAACCCGGTCAGATTATCCCTGGGAGTCGCTGGGCTCCGCCCTCGTGGTTGACGTGGGCGGAGGCGTCGGCGGGTTCAGTCTTCAGCTCTCGCGAATCCATCCGCAACTACGATTCGTCATTCAGGATCGTGCGGCGATGCTGAAGCAAGCGGAGACGGTAATCTGGCCAAAAGACAACCCGGACGCCATCGCGCAACAGAGGGTGCAATTCTGTCCTCACGACTTTTTCGAGCCCAATCCAGTAAAGGAGGCCGACGTGTATTGGCTTCGATATGTCATGCACGATTGGTCAGACGACTTTTGCGTCCGGATCCTTGCAGGCATCAAGCCCAGCATGGGACTGCGGTCGCGGATCCTGATCTGCGATCAAGTCATGAACACGACGCTGGGTACAGAGGAGCTCACCGCTGCACCTGCTCCTCTCCCTGCCAACTGGGTAAGATGACGACCTAACGAAGTGCATCGGAGACTGACTCGACAGGGCTATTACACGCGCTACTCGCATCAACGCGACCTCGCGATGATGGCGCTGCTGAACGGCATCGAGCGCACGCCTCGCGAGTTCCGCACCGTTATTGAGAAGGCGGGACTGAAGTTGCTCAAGATATGGGACTGCCGTAGCCAGGTTTCGCTGGTCGAAGTTGTACTGCCGGATTCGGAGCTAGTGTGAAGGAAGAGAGTGGCGAGTCAAGCGAAGTGGGCTGACTAATATATGAGCTAGCACAAGGTCACGTGCATCATGCTTCCCCGCACGTGCTCAAACATCATCCATGTATATGTGCATCATAGTCCATTTAGCTTCCCATAATGACAGCGACCTTTGCAAACTATCATCCATACTTCATCATTCATACTCCTTCGCCTAGACTTACCGGCTATTCCCTTATCGCGATGACCTTCACGCATCACAATCCGTGGTGGTGCTGACGTCCTTCCAGCTCTCGAGTTCGGCCTTGTACCGCTCGATGTGACCCGAAACCATCTTGTAAGCATCGCTGCCCAAGCTCAGACGCGCTGGTAGCTCTCGTCCCTGGCATCGGCCCGTTCCGGTGAGTGCCTCGACGATCAAGCGTGCGCCTTTCTGCGGGTCGCCGGGCTGGTTATGGTCGTAGGCCTCGAGACCCGCGTAAGTGCCGTCGACGCCGGCAGCCAGGTCTGGGATGCGCTTCGCCGCAGTCGTCTTATGTCCGGCGCTCAGGAAGTTGGTGCGGAAGTAGCCAGGTTCGATGCACGTGATTTTGATGTTGAGATGGGCGACTTCCTGGCGAAGCGCCTCGGCGAGGATGGTGGAGCAGGCCTTGGTGGCGCAATACATGCCCGCAGCAGGCGTTCCGTGCCAGCCACCAATAGAGCCCAGGTTTGCGACGACGCCAGAGCGTTTCGCACGCATCACTGGCAGCACGGCGCGGATGACGTTGAGCTGGCCAAAGACATTGGTGTTGAATTGCGCTTCGACCTCGCTGCGGCTGCACTCCTCGACCCCGCCAGCCAAGATGTAGCCAGCGTTGTTGACTAGTATGTCGATCCCGCCAGTCTTCTTCACGATCGTGTCGACCTTGCTGCTGAGCTTCTCGTCGCTGTCCAACACGTCGAGCTGCTCCGTGATGGCACCACGCTCAGCAAGCTGGGCAAGCTTGGCCGGATCACGCGCTGTGGCAACGACTATGTCGCCGTGCGCCAGCGCAGCCAAAGCAATTTCCTGGCCGAAGCCCGATGAGCATCCTGTGATAAGCCAGACTTTGCCCATGATAATAGTGGTAGTAGTGGTGATGGTGGTGGTAATGGCGGTTGTCGCGTTGATTCTGTACTTATACTTTGTCTTTGTTGTGTGGCGTGGTTATGCAAGGGGGGGCCGGAGTCGGCAGGTATCGAGAGACCCAACTCACGGACCGGAGTATACAGCGCAACACGGTTATTATACAATGTTTGCTGTTCAATTTGCTCCAAATAGCGCCAATTTTGCACTCGGAACGTCATGACTGGCTCTACCGAACCCATTCGTAGTCTCCACGGCTTCAAGGTAATGCCCTTCTCATCGTTTCCATTTTGCACGTAAATCTCACGCACCTCCGAACAGTGGTTTCTAGTCGTGCTCGCCATAGTCTCCAGCCTCGGCCTGTACGCTCTCGACAACACCATCGTCGCCAATATTGTTCCCGTTATCATCCAAGATTTGGGCCAAGCAGAACAGCTAGCCTGGCTTTCCGTAGGCTTTACCGCTGGGGGGCTCTGCCTTCTCCTACCCCTAGGCAAGATATATTCTCTCTTCGACCCGAAATACGTCTACCTCACTTCGGCTGTCCTTTTTTTCGTCGGCTCTGCTCTGTGCGGTGCCGCTCCCAGCATGAACACCATGATCGTGGGTCGTGTTGTTGCTGGCATCGGCGGCAACGGCTTGTACATGGGCTCTGTTACCCTCCTGTCACTCAACACATCTTCCCGGGAGAGACCTGTGTACCTGAGCCTTAACGGTCTAATCTGGGGTATCGGTACCGTTCTAGGGCCAATCCTGGGAGGCCTCTTCGAGAGAGTTGACGCTGGTGGGTGGCGATGGGCCTTCTACATCAACCTCTGTGCAGGTGCGCGCCCGTGTGTCGAGACAGAAGAATCACACTGACTCGGGACTAGGCGCCGTCATCACTCCCATTTGGATCTTTCTCCTCCCCTCGGCATCACCGTCAGACAAGCCCTCTAAACGCTCTCGCGCCGCCCGGCTGGACTGGCTGGGCACTATCCTCATCCTCGCTTCTATGCTCCCTTTGGTGCTAGCAGTAGACTTTGGTGGCAGGCTGTTCAGCTGGCGTAGCGCTGCTTCCATTGTTTTGTTCGTCCTCGCCGCCATTTTTCTCGCCTTGTTCGCACTGCAGCAACACTTCAGCTTTACTACCAACGAGCGAGATAGACTTTTTCCCATGCATTTCATGACCAATCGCCATGCTGTGCTTCTAGCTGTACTTGCTGCTGCATGCGATGTGTTCACTTTTGTCCCGATATATTACATCCCTCTTTACTTCCAGTTCACACGTGGCGATGATGCTCTAATATCAGGGGTCCGGCTTCTTCCCTATATTGCACTTCTCAGCGCTACTATGTTGGCCAACGGCGCATTCATGTCCAAGGTCGGGCAATATAAGGCATGGTACGTCGTCGGAAGTGTACTCGCGCTCATCGCCACTGTTTTGTTGTGTAAGTCAACCGGTGAAATTTTCGTCGTGAGCTCATACGTCAACAGCTAGAGTAACAACGGATACTCCGGCACAGAACGTATACGGATTCGAAGTACTTCTCGGTTTAGGCTCAGGCGCATTCGTACAAGCCGGCTACGCTGTCCTCTTCTCCATCCTTGAGCCTGCGGATATGGCTTTCGGCACTAGCTTCATGATGTTAGGTATCGGCTTGTCCAATTTTCTCTTTTTTCGTGCATTCACTGATATCAGCCCAGCGCAACTTTGCGGTATCACCTTTGGCCGAGCTATTGCTAGCGCAATCTTCGTCAACGATGCCGTCTCCTCGATCATGTTGGTGCTGCCTGATTTGCCAAGCGACCAAGTTCAGCATGCAATAGAAGGAGCAGCAGGCGAGCTCTTTGCCAGCCTCGATGAACAGTCACGGATAGCACTTTCTCACGCGTTGGTCATTTCGTTACGAAAAACGTGAGTAATCTTCGCTGATACACGTCGATCACTAAGTAATCTCGTTTCATAGATTCATACCTTGTTATGCAGCGGCAGCATTGTGTCTGGTTCTGTCCATTGTACTTCCCGTAGGTTCGTCCACTTCCTAGCAATCGCCCGCTAATATTTGCATAGCACAAGCAGATGCACGCAACTCCACCGTCTGACTCGGAAATCGCACGGCCAGAGAAAGACGATGGTCGTGTCAAGCAAGCAAACATACTTGAGCGTTGATGGAATTATGCCTTAGTGCGAAACTATGATCATACGCTTATGTAGTCGACTAAGAGGGATCAGATGTGTCAGGCTCTCTTCTTAGTGGTGATGAAAACTAAGAAGAAAAAATGTCCACTGGTGCGCAGTCTTGTGTGTATTGAAGTTCGTTCAATAACCGCTATTGTGCAAGAACGGTCCAAAGCACCCCAATAGACATACTATACAGTGCGACTCAACACGGCGGCGTTGATGCTCAACCCCACCAAAGTCCAACTGTTAACGCGAGTCTACCACCATTCTCATCTCCCTCACCGGCATCAACCGGCGCGATTGCTCGCACTCTGCTGTGTGGTTTTCTTTCAGTGTAATAAATCCGCTACATGCCAGGGAGCGTGTACCTTGGTTTCGTGTTGCATCCTCCCATATCGTAGTGGTTAGTTCAGCCATAGACGCTTCGTCTCTTCACAACTACCCTTACTCGTTCCTCGTTACGCGTTTCGTGAGTAGAGAACTGAGATCGCGAATGTAAACATCAGTATATCAGCAACTTTTTATGACAACCTTTTCTTCACCAAGAAGCGTTTATAGAGCATGCATTGGTCACGTAGGACACAGCACGCTTAAAAGAGTTGCAGAATGACACCAAGTCGTCACTGAAAAGTTAATCACCCTTTCTCCGTCAGTGAATCGTGACATATGCAAAAGCAGAAAGTTATAGGATACAAACAGCATTATATTTCTGGTTTTGACTCTCTATCCATCTACAACTGGAGTTTCTGACCTCCCGTGACCAACCGCTGGAAGACCAAAGAAGGACCATACCGCCTCTGCACCGTCTGCAAGCGCTTCACGTTTCGCTCACCATAAGACTGCAACACTTGCTGATTGTGATCTGAGTAGTTCATCATTCTGCAATAATCAGTTTCCACTAGAACCAGCCAGCACGACGCGTAAACTCACATATACGGAAACAAGATGCCTAGCACACTTGCTCGTACCTGCAACGTGCGTACAAAGATCTCCCACGCTGGAAACACCTCCTCGCTGTCCGCTCCATTGTTGAATATGATGCCAAGGTAAAAGACTAGAACCGAGTCAAAAATACTGCGTTACTTCCCCGCTGGACTGCAATCTTACCAGAAAGAGTTGTGTTCGGCTTTGCTTGGCCAATGCCCAAAGCGTTGTGTCCGCGTCTTATGCCCTCAGCAATGGCATGTGGTGTAATGGGCGTTACGGTGTGCAAACCATTAAATCCACCAATGTGAGCCATGGAAACGCAAAACTTCTCCCACAGATCAAATAGCTCGCTAAAAAAAGCTTGATCGGGATACACGGTAAATGTATAGTGGGATTGGCTGCAGCGTGTCAGTCATATTGATTGAAGCCGACCTATTTGCGAAATCAACTCAAACCAACCCGTCAGGGAAGCCGGCGACAAGCTCGTTGGCTAAGTTGCCATACTTCCGCAACTTCAGGGTCTCGTTTGTGTGTGGAATCTCGCTCCATGCGCGCAGCGACTCGGGCAACGAAGTTACGTTTCTATTGGACACAACGGGCGTATAGCCGTACGTTGTGTTGTCAGCGAACACGTATGTTGGCAGCACGTGCACATCCTTATCCTCGATCGCGGTCTTGACGTGGTATTCGTATATCGCCTTCTTGACTGCTTCTATGGAGCTGTGCGGGTACGTGAAGCGGCCACCGAAACAACCATAGCTAGGATACAGGACCAGCTCGTAGTGCGAGACGACACCAAAGTTGTTGCCGCCGCCCTTGAGCGCCCAATGGAGGTCGGAGTAGTGGGTGGCATTGGCAAAGACGGTAGTGCCGTTGGCTAAGATCACGTTGTGTCCGGCAACGTTGTCCGCGCCCAGGCCGTGCCGATTGTTCAGGTACGAAAAGCCGGCGCCCAGCACCAGACCGGTTCCAACGGTGCCGAACCGGCCTGCAACGACCATGTACCCGCGCGCTTCAGTGGCTTCGTAGACTTCGGCCCAGGTAAGACCGGCGCCTACGCTCACCGTGGCAATATCGTTGCTGAAGGTGATGTCTTTGATAATTTTCATGCTCACCAAAATGCCATCATCGATGTTGGCTGCGGCGCGGATGGCGCTGTGGCCGCCCCCGCGGATTGCAAAAGGACATTCGTTTGCGGTGAAGATGGATACGGCGATTTCAACATCGGCAGTTCGTGCGGGGAGGAACACGCAGGTTGGGTTCAGCCATTCAGTTGCCGCTACAAGCTGTGGTCAGCATTGGACTTTTTTTGCTCATCAGAAAGGAAGCAAAGGGAGCTGTGTTCCACAAAGAGGCCAAAAAGAAGCTGAACTTACACCAGAAAGACGTTTTGGTCTTGTAGTATATGGACGAGTTTGATACATCTCGCGAGAAGGTTGTATTCGGCAGTTGGGCGGCGAGTTGCGAACACTGCAAGTCTTACTACAGGGCATACAGCGAGTTGGTGAGGGGCCATCTTACGCATTGCGTTACGGCTGCATCCTGATAAGACAATGCAGTCACAACGCCGAGCAGCGTAAGTACGCTAGCTAGGCTTCCAGCGTGCATGTTCTTGCTAATAAAAGAATTGACGCATGTGTAAGGTTGTGCCTCTTCATCGTATCCTATATATGAGATCGTCCCGGGATCCTATTGGAGTGAAGATACTCCGGTCCCGTTGTATGTCTCGAAGTGACCTGTCTTCGGCCCTGTACGCGGGTCCCAATCGATCTTGCTGGGTATAAATTCACCTGAGTGGTTCGCTTACCTATTTATACCGTGGTCTGGATTCAAAAGACAGCGACCTTTTCACCGCCACAAACCTTGATACCCCTAGCAACATGAGACTCATCTATGGTTTGCTTGCATTGGCCAGCAGCCAGCTTATCGCAGCTGCTCCTGCGATTGCTGCTGATGTCGCTTCGGGCGAAGGTAAGCCAAATACTACGGTTCACATTGTGCCAAGGCTGACTACTGCATATCTGTAGCTGTTTCGTGCCGCGATGTAATCATCCCTGTCCATATAGCAAAATCAGCTGCAGGCAACTTCTCCACCGGAGCTTACGATGTCAATGTTCTCTTCGCATTGGCCGCTCGCAAGACGCTCGTCGCAGCCGACTACAACATCTCGGCTCGTATTTGCGAGCCCCCCTCTCATGTCGCTGCCCTCGATACGGTGCAGATACTTGCGCACGGCGCCACGTTCAACAAAAAGATGTGGGACTTCCCGTACAAGCCACACATGTACAGCTGGACCCAGAGGATGACGAGTGCGGGATACACCACTATTGCTGTGGACCTCCTCGGTACGTATTGCCTATAACTACCATTGGAGCTCACCTGATTTGTGTTCGTGCAGGTACTGGGAACAGTAGTTTCCCGGACGGGCTCCTGGAGGCCCAGACGGAGACGTGCGTACAAGCGATGCATCAGGTGGTACAGAAGATACGTGAAGGAATATACGTTGGCCGTGTATTCAAGCAGATCGCGTTCGTTGGTTTCTCCATAGGAGGTATCATAGCGAACGGGCTGGCCGACAAGTACCCCCACGACGTCGACGTTTACGTCTTGATCGGCATCTCCTGGGATCTGACATGGATCTACCCGGCCTTCTTGGCGGGCCTGCAGACCTCGGCCCGGACCATAGACCCTGAGCGCTGGGGGCATCTAGAGGCATATTACCAGACGCAACCCACGCTTGCAGCACGGGAAGTAGCGTGTTTTTATGGTGATTACGACAAGGAGGCCCTGGAGACAGACTTTGCCACGCGGGATTTCGATACCCTTGGCGCTGCATTGACGTTCACATACCATCTGGTCGCTGCTCCAGATTTCACGGGACCGGTTTTCCTAGGCATCGGTGAAAGTAAGGCAGTCCGCATGAGGCGTTGCTGTTGAGCGAATGTGGCTGACTGCATACAGACGACGGGACGTTTTGTGGCGGCCCAACATGCGGCAGCCAGCCGTACGCGGTTTACGACAAGTTCCCCGCTGCCTCTGCTCACAGCGTCAAAGTCTATGAAAATACTGGCCATGCAATCTTGTATCATCAAAGCGGGCCGCGGCTGATGGATGACGTACGGCTTTTCTTGGCCGCTCATCGGCCTTGAGAGAAATCGAGGGCTCGCGGAGGGTGGTAACGTGTTTTTCCGCCTGGGTCAGTGGAGACAAGGTTGTTGGCTGTTGTTCCATGTAAACTTGTCAGCATCTACCTTTTTATCAGATTGTCTCACTCGAACAGGCACAGTCTCTTGCCATAAATACAACCTGTAATGTGACCAAACGACCTGAACCTCCCATGAACTTCTCGAGATTTAAGCTAGTAGTCATCACGTAATTGTCACGGGATTGATCTGCACATTACATTCTCCGTTAGCCGAACGTAAGAATCTACGGTCTAGATATTTAGGTTCTACATGATACCACCAGGAACAGAAATATAGGCTGTCGTCTAGTCATCCAAAATTCGTTCGAGTTCTCCAAGATCAAGGCAAGATCTCTATCTGCGACTTCCCTTGGCTCGTGCTCACAATCTGCAGCAACTGATCCATCAATCCTTTCTCGTAGTCTTCAAGAACCAGAGTAACGCGCTTATAGGTCGATGTCTCAAGTGGCTGTGGTTGACGAGGGGGTTGGGAGAGCAGGGAGTCCTTGGGCACTGGCGTTGTATGAGCTAATCCGGATGGTATGGACCACGGTGCGTTGCTAACGGTTGGCTCAATATGTGTCATTGTGAGCAGATCGAATGATCCGGAGTGGCCTCGAATGGGTAGTTATGCTCGACCCTATCAGTGTCAAGATGCATGTCATTGCTCACGGAGAATGGAAGAGAAAAGATATGTTCGGTTGGCGTTATGGTTGCGGCTCTTGCAGTGAAACCGAAAGACGGAAAGGGTGTGAGATATTGGTCAAGACCCATGGGGTCTTGACCGGTTTCCTCGGCCGCGAAACCAATGTTTGTCTTCAAGATATCGTCGTCGTGACCGTTGTTCGTATTGTTGTTGTCGTCGCCGTCATCTTCATCTTCATCATCATTGTCCTCTTCCTCTTCTTCATCGTCGTCATCTCCTGCAACATTTATGAATCTGTGTTGGTCATCATCCTCGTCACTTTCGACATCTATCGTATTCCGATCTGCAAGGGTGACCAATGTCGAGGACGACCCGCGTCGAATGAGGATCGTGTACCTGTTCTTTACATCGTTACGAGAACGGCCAAAGAAACGTTGGTCCCGGATTGCCTTCCAGTTGCGGCCCGATTTTTGCACTGCTCGCAACAATTGGTCATCCTGGGTTGTTTTCAGCGCTGCCATAACACACAGAACGGTGCGCGCGGGCCGGCCCGCACGCCACAGAAGCAAATGATCATTTGACCAACCTCGTCTTTCGTCCACTCTTTCCGATTCGACTGAGGGTCCAGATGGTGCTGCCATCGCTTTGCACATTCTACACCCAGCAGCGTCAGTGTACGCGTACTAATGGCCGTCTACGAGCGAGACTTACGGTCTGCGCTGCGGCATCCAACTCCCTCTGCAACAAGAGTCCAACTGATCGATAAGCTTAGGCTGGAAGATATGAGAGTTGGGCAGACTTATTTACCGTTGGCCAAACGTTTGCACAGCTTCACGGAGCTTCGCATTCTCCTCTGCAGCCCAGGGGCCTTTCTTGAGTCCCCCACTCACGTGGTTGACCCAGCGCTTACGGCAGTCCTTGTTAGACCTATCCGTAAAGTTGGCAGCAATTCGATTCCAATCCCAGACACTGTTATAAGCTGGACACGAAAGTCTTAGCGAGTAAACAAATAATGTGCTAGCTACACTCGGCTGACTGTGACATACAAGAAGTGACTTACACTGCTTCATCGCTTCTTTGTACAGCAACGAGTCCTCCTCTGCAGTCCATCTTCTTGGTGATTTTCGCATTATGAAAGTGACAACAAGCGTGAGAGAAGACGACCAACGCATAAACAAGGTTGTGGGCAAGGCGGCTCTCGAGGCTGAATCCAGTGCGAGTAGTCTCGACTTCCTTATCAGCTAAATTTAAAGATACAAGCGATGCAGGTATACAATATGCATTGTCAGGCCATCCTGCAAGCCACAATATCGCACTATTTGGAACGCTCTCGAAGTGGCGGTTCTCTCTACGTTCTAGTGACACACTGATTACTCCACTGTTCTTGATTCCCACGAGGCTTAACTGCAGATGGCTTGCCAAGAAGCCAGTAAGCGCTAGTATCAAGGTGAAACCTAATTAGAGGCGGAGTTGTAGAGGAGGGTGTGCAACCGGAGTTGTTCGCCTCTTTACTTGGCATAGAACCTCGAAAGAGTGTAGTCGTAGAAAGGTGATAAGCGACTTGTAGAAAGGATAGGTAAGCGAATACGAGCTAATTGCATAGGAGTCGAAATCAGATCGGCCCCAGAGACGGTTTTAGTGAATTCTCAATGGTCAACCTGTTTTTGAGGCCATCCGGAGACGAAGTACAAGTATGTTACGAAGACCAAAGAGAATAAAACGTTGAATTCTAGCATACAGAGCATACCGCAATGATCGACTAATAATAAGGGCGAACTCTTGCCTCACATGACATTAATCATGATAGCCCTTAAACCGAACCCAGAGCTTTTGGTGGTCGTCGGTATTCAAAGGCCAATGGCGAAAGTCCTCATCCCAGTCGCTATATCCTTCTTCGATCCACCATGGGTAGCCTGTGGCTTCGATTTTAGGATCGCCCCATAGGTCCATAATGCATTCAGTGATTTCTCCGTACCAATCCCAGCTTTTCCCACATGATTTCATCAGCATATCGCATCGAACGAGGAGTTGCCAGCAGTGATCTAGGTAGATCCTCAGCTCATCCACGTTGTCCTTGTGCAATGGATCGTCAGCCACTGGAATTCGACGCGCCGGTACATAGCCTGCAAAGCCCAATATCTCCAGTCCCAATTCGACTGGCAGTTTTCCCGCTTTACACACCAAAATGCGAGTACGCGCAACATCCTCCTTTGTCGGAACATATCCATAACCTGGCTGTCGTCGCTCCTCCACAGCTGTGAGGCCTAATAGCTGATCGTGTGACCAGTGATAGTCGGCAACGTATACGCCCTCTGCGATGCCAAAAAATTCCCGATGAGGATAAGTATACGTGTCAAGATTTGTCTTCGCAGTACAGCGGAACAAGGTTCTTTGGTAGGACGTGGTGTTCCGATAGTCTGCGACGGCGATTCCAGCATTATTTTCCTCTCGCGCCGCTGGGTCATATGTCTCGGGCTTCAGAAAGAATACATTCAAGCAAATGTACGCCATGAGAGCCGAGCGCATGACCTCGGCCCAGCCGTAGTCTTGGGGACGGTCGTACGGGAAGGACCACCAGTTCTCCGCCAAGTCGAAGTCCGGACTTGCGCACAGCCTAAATAGAACTTCCATCTCATCGTGAAGAATGAGGATCTTAATGAGCTCCACGGAAGTATGGTGGTTTTCTCTAGTACTGCTACATGTTTGCGGACAGCTTCGCCAGCTCTCTACGAGGAAAGAGGCACGCTTTTCGATGTCGAGGAGCGGGCAAGTGCAGTCCACCTTCAAGGCATTCCCGATGCGCCGGGCGCATCGGTGCCGTAGGTGGAAGATATTGTTCGAGCGACACTGGTTCAGAGAGCGGGTAATCTTTTTTTCGATAGCGGCTGTGATAACGATGTCGTCAAGCTGGGGCGGGTCGTATGTTGGTTGATATTTTAGGCGTTCTGTTTCTGAACACTGTTCTAAGGTTTTTGCGAATTCTTTTGCAAAGTGATCGAGTTGCCTGCTTTGGCCTGGCTGGTTTCCAAAATACAGATTTGTCCTTTCGCGGTCACCATGGTTCCTTGATATGATGCCGAAGGCGGACGAGAGGGACTGCCACGGGAGACGATGTACCTGGTGCGCCATGCGGTTGAGCGAGGAAGTTTGGAAGAGAAAAATTCCGACAGGCTCAGCGCAATATACCGTATAAACTCGATACCAGTTTACGCAAGGCTAGTTTTCGTCCATGCGCAACCAATACCGTAAAACTCCTGCTCTCTGGATTATCGCTAGCAGGGGGGTGCAAGGGCTGAAGATTGTGAAATGTCTATTGATTCGCTGCAGTTGCTTCTGACTGCGGGAAAAGCGGAATTCGTTGGGTCATTCTGCCTTCATAGGCTTAGTACCCGTGCTGAGCCTCAAATCTCCCCTGCTAGCGATGATCCAACGAGCAGGAGTTTTACGGTATATGAATCCTTAACAGCTGACACGGAAGAATGAAACTCCACAGGAACAATGCCTACGATATCTCGATAGCGGCCGCTAGGGATGCCAATTCATAAGTACGATTCGCCAACCACTAGGTCTTCGCTAAGACCAACGAGGATATCGCTGCGCGCACAACATTTCGATCGCCAAGTTTCTCTATCGTACGAAAGGAAAGTCATGCCCCAGAAGCAAGCTATGGGTAGTCGACTAATCAGAACGCTTCGGTCTCTGCAAAGCGAATCGAAAGTCATTACGTTCAGAAACATAAGCAATGCTGACTAAAACAAGCAATCAGCTTGTGGACGACTTTCGGCGCCTTATAATCGTTGAGTCTGCAGCAAGAATATATACAAAAGAAAACTGGACGGTTCGCCCAGGAAATTACGCAACGACCCCCATCGTTCCACGGACCAGCCCTGCCTTGAGCGACAAGCGCTATCGCGAACCTCTATCCGTCCTACTTGCAACTGACCTTGACCGAGTTAACCATGTCCGTCTTCGACTTTACGGTAAGTCCCAGCTTCTCCTGCTGACCGGCATTCATCATGGTTCTAGCTGGCCCTGAAGCCTGACCGAAATCCTTGACATTGGCGAACGCACCGAAAACGGCGAAGATGGCCGACGATGGGTTATTCACGACTCTGTAGAGGTCAAAAGCTACGTCACCTACGCCTCCGACAATCCTTATAATCCATTCAAGCGTTGCCAGGCCAAGAGACGCGAGTCCCTCGCCAGCGACTGGAATGAAGCCGAGAATTCCTGTGATGAAGAAGAGAATCATCTGCTTCATTTCCTCTTCCGAGATCTCCTCGGCAGTATCGTGGACCTTGTGCATGGACTCGACACCCTGAACCAGCATATAAACTGGAAGCTCAGCTGCTTCAACAATGGTGTCGTCGCGCCAGGCCGACATATGGTACTGGCCGAACTGTTCGTACGCCTGCGAAAGTTGGTCTCCAATAGACTTGTATTGGTCAACAGCAGGTGCGATACCATCTTTGGGATTAGGCACTTCAGCATCGTCGGCGACCACTGCAATCGACAGTTAGCAGATGGACGCTGGCTTTGGATGGCAGAGGTTTGAATGACGAGACTGAGAAAATCCACAAAATACCAAAATGAAGGCGACTTACTGGGAAAACTTTTATTGTACAAGTAGCAGTCGTCCGAGCTGTCTCCGAACTGGCAACCATTTTGAAGGTAGTAACGCCAGTTACCGAATTTGATCCATTCGCCTGGGATTCCGTAGTCGTCGGACATCTTTTTGTTGAAGTGGTCGCCGTTCTTGACGGAGAACCGGTACCTTGAGGAATCCGCATTGCCGCTGGCTGGCGTCCCCAGATCAATGTGATAAACCGTGGGACAAGTTGCGGAATCCAGTTCTCTCCATCAGTGCACTCACTATTAGGTATACAACCTGGTGCCCTTATGTTAGCTCTCGCTCGGTCACACTGCAGTTTGAGCCATCTACTAACCGTTTTGACAGCCTTGACCGGATGAGAAGTCGGAACAACACGGTCTTGAGTCAAGCTTGTCGCAGTCGAAGTACTCTCCGGCATGAGCACGCATGAACTCCAGAATCTGCGGCTGTATGGACCCCAGTATATAGCTGCTATACCATTTGAAGTCGTCATCGAACCCATTATTCATGAGGTTCTGATACTTCTTCAGTGCGGCTTTGTTGTCGTCATAGAGCACATGTATGAGGAACAAGTTGACGCAGTGGCCCAGTACGCTGAAGTCACTGATTTGGCTTGAGAGGTCTTCGAGACTCGAGGGTGGTGTTCCGCACTCTTGTGGCTCGGCGGGGTCACAGAAGACGTCACACATGGGTGATCCATCAATCGGGTAGTCGCCACCATCGCCACCATCGCCCCCGTCACCGGACCCATATTCAGGAAGATTGGGATTAGCTGGCAGAACATTGTTAGCGGTTGCAATAGGCGAACACAATTGGACCAAAACACTTACAGATTAGGCCGTCGTCTCCACCGCTACCGCTACCGCACTCGTTAAAGTAGGTGTAGGCTGTATTACTTACAGAGAGGACATAGAGTAGATTAGCTCAACCTAGTCTACCTTGGTTAGTAAAATGCATAGTATTAGGACAATTAATTAAAGAGTAAAGTACGCCGAAAGCTATCTATAAAACTGCGCTTTCTAAGTTCTATTTTAACTTATTATTCTTAAGAGCTTCTCTAGCTCTAGTATATCTATCTAGGTAGATAATTTTAGCTCTATTAGAGCCTTTAATATCTGTAAATCTTATTATTGCTCTATCTTAGCCTTTAGTCTTTTTATTATACTCTATTAGGTTATAGATACCTCTAAAGTTTAGTAGGATATAGCAAAAATTAAAATATAAATAGAAGTCTAATAGTAATAATATTATAGTTAGATCTTAGATTTATAATACTATACTACTACTATTCTATATATTCTATTTTATACTCTCTTTTATAAAAGTTTTAATATAATAATTCTTAAATTTAAAGAGTTATTTTCTATTTTTTATTTAGAAATAGTTAGATAAAGCTAATCTTAATTAGAAAGTTTTAAGCTAATACTAAATTAGAATAGAAAGTTTTAAACTAATACTAAATTAGAATATTAATTTATTTTAGAGTTTTAGTATATTTATACTTATTATATAAGTAGATAAATATAATATAGTAAGATTATAATATAGTAACTTAGTATAGAAGCTAATACCTAGCCTCTTTATATATAGTAGATATTAGTAAGAGTATATAATAAAAGTATTAAAAACTAGATTAACTATTTCTTAGTAATATTCTACTTAATATACTAGTATAGATACGTATTTAAGAGCCTAGGCAGCTATTAGCTAAAGTTTAATTTAGTTATAAACTCTAGATTATATAATAAACTATAGCTAGGTTATAAAAACTCTAGAAATATTAGGTTATTAATTATTAACCTAAAAGTACGTAAAAATAGGTATATATATACTAAGCTAGTACCTAAAATCTAAACCTAAAAATTAGGTAGACGTAATATCTAAACGCAAAAATTACCTAAATATAATATATAGACTTAAAAATTAACTATATATAAAAATTAACTAGACTTAAAAATTACCTAAACTTAATATATAAACTTAAAAATAACTGGATATAAAAATTAACTAGACCTAATATATAGTGTATATAGAAAAGGTATAGAGTTATATATACTTTATTACTTAATATAGTTAAAATAACTAGTTCTATAGTTATTAGTTTTATAAGTTTAAATCTCCTAAATATAATATTTATATTTAAATTTTATATTAAAATATTTATAAAACTAACCTCTATTAGATTATATACTTTTTAGACTTTAATAGTAGGTATTAAAGTATATATTAGCGTTATAGTGCTCTAGCTTAGTATTTTCTAATATAGCTAATTAGAGTTTTTATTTATGTAGTAAGAGACTAATTAGAGTTTTTATCTATAGAGTATTACTTAATTAGTATAAAGAATATCTATATAAGTAAAAAATATAAAAATAAGCTAAAATATATTAAAATAAATAACTTTATAATATACTATAAACGTTTATATAGGCTTTTTGTATATTTTTTTATTATATAATAGTATATATAGAAAAGGTGTAGAGTTATATATACTTTATTACTTAATATAGTTAAAATAACTAGTTCTATAGTTATTATTTTTATAAGTTTAAATCTTCTAAATATAACATTTAGATTTAAATTTTATATTATAATATTTATTAGACTAAGCTCTATTAGATTATATACTTATTAGACTTTAATAGTAGCTATTAAAGTGTATATTAGCGTTATAGTACTCTAGCTTAGCGTTTTTTAATACAGCTAATTAGAGTTTTTAACTATATAGTAAGAAACTAATTAGAGTTCTTATTTATAGAGTATTACCTAATTAGTGTATAGATTACCTATATAAGTAAAGAATATAAAAATAAGCTAAAACGTTTTAAAATAAATAACTCTATAATATACTATAGATATTTATATAGGCTTCTTATATATTTTTTTATTATATAATAAGGTTTATTTAGTAGAACTAATTATACTTAAATAATTAGACAGAATAAGTCTCTTACTATAGTAAATATAATAACTATTTATAGATAGTAAAGCAGATAATATAAGAGAGATAATATCTTAATTAATAAGTATAAATATATAAAAAGGCTAATTAATATTATTTTAGTTATAAATTCTATAGTATAAAAATAGGTACTATAAAAGGAGAGCGTCCTTAAAGAGTAGGTAAGGCCTTATAACCTTAGGTAAAGATATATAGACAGTAAAACATAGTATATAAAGAAGAATATATAGAACTTTCTTAAGTAGCTCTATAACCTTCCTAGTACTATAAAAAATACTTATAAAGAGATTTATTAATTTAAAATAGTAAAATATAAATAACGTAGCTAACTACCTAAATAGAAGGTATAAATTCTTAGTAGACCTAATTATCTAAGATCTCTATATAAAGTATATATAAAGGAGTTTCTATCTATATAAGTTTAAATAATACTAAAGCTAATTAATTACTAGTCTTTATATTTAAAATTATATATAAACAAGATTAGGACTATAATTATAAAGCGTAACTCTAAGTATAAAAGAAATCTAGAGGTATTAATAGATAAGTATAGTAGAGAATAGAGATATTATTAGAGAAGTAAAAGAAAATAAAAGAAGAAGTAAATTTCTAGATAGTTATTATAGGTAGAAACGTTATATAGTAAGTAAAGCTACTAGTAAATATAAAAGATTTATATAGAGATTAAAACTAGTAAAGTATAGAAAAATACTTACTAAAGTTTTAGATTTTAGTTAGGTCTATACGTTGTGCTAGAAGCTTAGTATATTAGTACCTACTATTAAATTTATTATATATACCTTAGTATCTACTTAACTACTTACCTACTCTACTAACTAACTATACTCCTAACTACCTATAGACTACGTATATACTTAATTATTAATAGTAATTAGTAATATTTATTATAAATTACTTTTATTTTACCTACTAATTAATTATATACTTAAAATAGTTAATTTTAGATATATTACTTACCTATAGGTAAGTAACTAGGTAGCTAATACTTATAAAATTATATATAGCCTACTAGTCCTATTTCTAGCTTAAATATAAACTTTTCTAAGAACTTTTAATACTACTCTAGCTAACTAATTAAAAGCGTATTTTTATACTAAAGTACTAAAGTCTACCTAAGCTTTTAACTTATAGGCTATAGTAGACTCTATATTTAATATATCTATATCTAATACTAATATAGTAGGTTTTTAAACTAGGTTTATAGTTCTCCTTAATATATTCTTTTTATAAGTAGGTACTAAACGTCTAGTAGTAACCTATTAAGTCTATAATATAAAAAGAAGAAGCTTAAAGAAGTAAAGCCTATATAAGTTTTAGAATATATACCTAATAATAAAGTTATTTATTAAACTTTAGTAATTCTTCTTTTAATATATTACTTAATACCTCTAACTCTAAGCCTTCTAAAACTCTTATAAATAAGTAATTATAAGTTCTTTATATCTATAATTACTCTCTTCTTTTAGACTAATATATAATAGAAATAAAGAATCTAATAAGAGTAATAATAAAGAAGCCTTCTATCTAATAGATATTATACCTATTATACCTATATATAATAGTAAAGAAGTTAATAATACTAGCTCTAATATAGGAGATACTACAGAACGCCTTATATATAATACTAAAAAGCTAGGTAATAAACTCTTTAGCTTTTAGATTTTATACTTAGATTTCTTTACGTCTAATATTCTAAAGACTATATATAATATCCTTCTAAAGCTTATACTCTAGTATCTAGGTATATAAAATATATTTTATGTTCTTTCTAAGAATACTAATATTATAAAATAATTAGTAAGCTTTAAGAGTATTATATTAAATATTCTTTATAAGACCTCTAGTATTCTCCTTATTACTGCGTTAAAAGAAGATATACTTAAATAAAATAATTTAAGATATTAGGTATATTTTCTAGCTTTTATATTAATATTCTTCTCTATTCCTAATAACTCTCTATTTAATCTTACTAATATTTATTCTTATAATATAATATATAGTACCCTATAGGTTCTTACTAAGTTTATACGTTAAAATAATTATCTTACTAATAGAAAGTAGAGTCTTAAGAAGCTAAAGAATTTAAAGTAAAGTATAGTAAAAAAGAAGTTAAAATCTTAAGTAGAATAAGTAACTACTAGTCTTATAGTAAGTAATAGTAGCTCTTAAAGTTACTTAGAAAACTTTAATAACTAACTCTTTATTAGTCTAACCTTCTTTCTGAATATACTACCTCTAGTACTATTAATACTCTTAAGTTCTAAGCCTTTAAACAGTATTCTATAAAATATTAAAAATTAAGCGCCTATATTTACTAATTAGATAATAAGAGTAATAAGAAGGTTTATAACTCTACTAAGCCTAATATACCTATAGGTAATACCTTAGATAATAATAGTAAAAGAGATAAAAGAATTAAAGACCTTCTGGAAGAAAAGATTATTTAGTCCTATATTAATAAAATTCTAAAGACTAAGGTAAAATAGAGTACTAATAAATAATTACTTATTAATAAAGCTAAAGCTACCTAATCTATATTATAGTAAATAAAGAACTTATAAGTATATATAAATAATTATTAAGCGTATTATTAAGATCTTACTATACTATATACTATAGGTACTAACTATCTAGATAATATAAAAACTATCTACTACTCTAATAAGTGTTTAAATTCTATTTAAAGGAAGTATAAGAAGAGGTATAAGGGTTAGGGTTAGGGTTAGGGTTAGGGTTAGGGTTAGGGTTAGGGTTAGGGTTAGGGTTAGGGTTAGGGTTAGGGTTAGGGTTAGGGTTAGGGT